TTTTTTTTTTTTTTTTTTTTTCTCTTTTTTTTTGCATTGGGATGGATTACGGTGTGGGCTTTGTGTTTAGGGTTGTTGCGCAAATGTTCATATACACGAATGGCTGTACAATAGCTTTGATTTTCCTGAGTTGGATAAATGTACAAACAAATACAATGATTTAGATACCACAATTTTCAGGGCCTTGCTGCGTACGACCTACTGCGAAGTGCTGGGTGAAAAGGGGTTTGAAGATACGAGTGATTAGGTAGATGAAAAGAAGCCAAGGCCACTTGATGGGTTCACAATGACCCATTCATGCCTGATGCTACATGTCGGTAATTACCTTAGTATTTTGGGCAACGGAGTCGGGGTGACCTAAAGTTACTGTGGAAGGAGGTAGTACCTACCTAAACATTGCTACCGGTGTCATAAGGCAGGAGCAGCAGGAGCAGCAGGAGCAGGAGCAGCAGGAGCAGGAGCTATGAAACCCGGGTGCTCCATGCACGCATCGACCCCGTCACTACACTCCACCCGGGACCTGCATTGGGTAGTGTTGCACAGTAGAGCAGAGCCAAACCCCCCCCCCCATGTTCAAAATGAACACACATCCACCGGACCACCACCGAAAAACAAATCCACAACAATTGAAAAGAGAAAATGAAAGATACGGAATAAAGCAAGAAAAATCAAAACGAAGGAGAGATTTTACGGGAGGTTTCGGTGGTCATCGCACAACTACCTGAATGCTCTGTCTACCTGTCTACAGTGTGTGTATGTGTGTGTGTGTGTGTGTGTGCGTCTGGTGATGTATGAGTTACACTATGCGCGCGCGCCGCCCCCCCGTTTCTCCAGACAACCACAACAACAATATGTCATCATCTTATTAATGTGACCTGGTCTTTTGACATCCTTTTACTACATGGAGGAGTTGTAGGGATAGTAGCAGGGCAGAAGATATTCCTAGATCCAGTTTTCAAGGCATTATGAGAGGGCAAAGCTTGGAAAAAAAAGAAAAGGCTAGGTACTTGCTTCACCTCGGGGTTGACGACTCTAGAGGAGCAACATAGGGGAGAAAAATGGGGGGAGTAGAGATTCTTTAAATCGACATCATACCTACATAATCTTCCCTACTTCCTGGTTTCTAGAAGGGAGTTGCTTCTTGATTTTCGAATTTTGGTGAGGCGGCGGCGGACATCTGCCTTGGTTGGGACCGGGTCGTAGATAGAGTGGTTTTCTTGGCTTTGATAGTTATGATGAGAGCGAGATTAGACTGTAAGATTTGGGGGTCGATTGTGTTATGATGTGTTAAGTTAGTGCTCTGCGGACTTTGTTTTGTTTCGGTTTGTTTTCTTGGGTGGAGGGGGGCGGTGATGATGATGATGATGCTGTTGTTGCAACTGCTGGGTGTAGTACTAGTACGTACTGTAGTTTGATGATTTGTAGGTGGTACAACAACAGCGGATGCAATATAGCTGCATGTACGGTATACATCCTTACTGTATGTACAGACTGTACTCCTTGAATTCCATGCCACAGGCTCAGACCTAGTGAGATCACCTGAATGAGTGCACTGTACGAAGTACTCTCTGTACTATTGCTCCACTTCTCTCGTACAGATAACTACACTGTCACTTAGGTCTTCGGTGGGTTCTCGAAGAGGGATCCCACATCGTCCCGACTCTCTGGGCAGACGTTGCAAAGGAGTCGAGCCATCGAGCCACAGGCCCGTCCTTTCCCCCCGCGACGTGACGATTTGTGGGGAACTCCTATGATGGCCGGGTTTGTCCTGTGCTCAGTAGTTCTGGACGTCTGAAGGCTTCCGTCACGATGGAGCAATCATTGCGTCTCCTCTTCTCTTCTCCCGGTGTCCTATTGACGAATGGGGGTGAAGGGGATTGTTGGAGTACTCCATCTTGAGTAAGGGAAGGAGTCGACGAAAGACGAGAGGCGTAAATGATGTGCGTATGCGGCAGGGATGCTCGGCCGTTATCACTCGTTAAAGAATGTACACGAGTCAGTTGTACATGGGCACACCGGCGCAGTTGGGAGGGGGTGGGGTGGGGGGATAGAAGGGTGCTCCGTAAGTAAGGGTATTTTCGACATCGGACGGGACGGGACGGGGGGGGGAGTGTAGGACTAGGGTTGTAAAGATGGGGAGCTACTACTCAGAATGGAGTAGCTTCTGCGCGAGAGGATCAGACAGGGAGGGGGTGTAGAGCTAATATGTACATCATCATTGGGGATGAAAAAGTGAAATACCCGCCAGAAGCTATAGAAAGGGTATGTCATTGGGCGTCTGGTGTCTGTGGGGGTTGTGAGTTGCATGGTCTTTTGTCGATTGCCGCTCCAGATTACTCGTTCAGGATTGAGATCTTCGCGGTATGATGGAGCCATGTTCTTATTTCTCCCATGTCTGACGCGATTATTGCATTGCATGTTTGGGCTGGCCGTCATATGGGGGGGCGCGCGCAGGGGGGTAAGTGGCTTTGTTTGTTTCGATGAGAATGCTTTGATGCTTGACATTTGGCCTAGGCGGATGAGTTCATACATGATGTACTGTGTCTGCGAGAGGGTTCAATTCTGTAACTGTCTCGCAATGCACTGAAACCCGCTTCTCCCCAGTTGGGTGCGGTGATTGGAGGAACCAGGAACTGTATTTCCGGCGGTTGCGCAGGAGAATAACATGCCCATCCTCTCCACTCCATCGGATGGGCTATACTCGGTACTTTGTTATAGCTATCGTTCTTTATATTCCAGTCTACATAGTGGGATGGTAACAGGTAAACTACGTCTATACCATAGAACTATGACACTATGTCGAAGGCAGATCGTAGAGTGCATAGCTACTTAACCCAGGAGTTACTACTATTAGTACAAACATATATTCTCCTGCTCGAGGTACTGTACCTACCCGTATACCCAACCATCACCGCAAAAGCAGCAACTAAGGAACCGCAACGACGAGCAAGCATTCCATGCACCATGCAATAGATTAAACCCCCGTCAAACAACAAATCGGATGACATTCAGGTAGACAATCAATGGTGATCACGTCTGTCAATCGATTACACGTACAGTTATGGCTTTACCAGGTATGAATCAGGATCGTAATGCTCGTTTCGGTGGTCATGTCTGCCCGTCCGGAACCATACATGCTATAATTCATCATTATTAGGACTGCAATGTCGATCATGACACCATGGCGCATTGTTGCAGACCCGCCGAGGATGGGTGCGGTCAAACAATTTGAGAGTACTGTCTATATTGTTTTGGTCAACAGGCACTTTCAACAAGTCGTCTCGATGGTGTAGTTGGTTATCACGTGGGTCTCATATCTTAGTATGACTCGGAAGTTCACTTCTGGGCGATCCCAAGGCCGGGAGTTCGAACCTCCCTCGGGACATCTCCTTTTTTGCTCATTTTATGACCCATGTCCACACAGCAATTACTGCAGAGGTGGGCTAGCCGCGTATACTGTATCTCCTTTGAAGACTGTAGCACTCAGACTATTGCCGGACGTCGTAGATAGACCAGCCGCGATAAAATATCCCGTTGCATCCACCTACTGTGACTTACACTTAGGTGTCATCAGGCACCCTTACGGTCTTGTATTGCACCTGAAAACGACGTATGCGAGCAGAAAAGTTCCTGGGATGGCCCGTCATCGAGCCCTCACCGCACGGTTGGCGAGATTGTCCCAGGCATGGCTCGACGATTCGGAAGCCCAGGCTGCTCTGTCCGCCTGGTTACTTCCAAATCGTCTCGAGCATGTCACAGCATGCCCTGAAGGAGCAACTGCACATTCTTTCCGCAGGCCATCACGAGTTCACTAACGCGGGTACTTGACTCATAGACCAGGAAAGTGTTGCTGTTGGCTAGGTCGAATGATCCTTATCCATCGAAGCAGGAGAGTCCGACGGCTTGAGTTAAGTGCATCTTCAAATAGCACTCTCCTCGCCAATCACCCGCCCATGTCGAGATGTCTCTTGCAGCACAACCTTCGGTGAATGTCAGCACCATGCCCCTTCAGCTCGAATTCGTGGTTTTCCTAACCACCTGATATCCCATGATATCCGAGTCAGTGCCGAGGCTTGTGGCTAATACTTCGAATCATATCGACAGCCACAAATGCAGTAGCCAGGCAACCATATTCACCATATTCTGGGCTAGGATAGCCCCCGATGGTCCCTTCGCCCCAGCTCCCACCTGAGCAGAGACCCGCCACCAAGGTGAGCCAGGCGTCTCGGGGGCATATGTAACGCAGTGTGTTGTTTTCTGTCATGTGGCACCGTCACGTAGGACGCACGCTGCTTGGTCTAGTGTACGAAGAGGCACTATTAGCATCGTTTGCAGCGAAATGGGCTCTTGTTGAGTCACTCAATCATCCGCGAGTGTAGATCATATAGTGGTCGGATTCATGCCCAAAGTCACTGCGCAACGACTGCCGGTAGCACTCGTAGTATCTGGCGCACGTATGCGGCACAAAGGTCCAGTGGTCACTTGCCAGTGTTATTGCGGAGCGTCCCGTGCTCAGTGTCCTCTTAAGATAGCGATCCGTTGTTGCAGACTTCGAACGCTGTATTTCATGATCGTCTGATGAGGAAAAGGTGGCGATTCACTCGCACGGGTCGATGACTGCCTGTTTTGCGCTGATCTGTGGCTTCTCGGCCGTTACAGCTGCGGATGATTGTTTGGTGGTCAGTTTCCGGTGGCAGCCAGGAGAATGGGGCCAGAGCAATGAAAGCATGGTGGATCGCGTCAGAACATGATACCCTCCGTGGCCTTCACGCTTTGCTCCACCACCAAATCGGTTGCAGCCATATTCCACGCCAGGCGACCCGATGAGCAAGCATGACGCACTCAGTATGTTGCTGTGCCCGTCGCACTCTCTCTGTGTCCGGCCGCAGTGAACACTTCTGGTTGGGGTTATGGCCTTCATGGGGATAGGTTGAAAGTTGAGCATGGGGCGGAGTAGAATGGACGATTCTCGTTGCGGCAGTGGCAAATGCTGATTGTTCGTGGTGATCGTGTGCTCGCTTGCGCGGTTGGCCCACGCTCGGACTTTGCGGTGTCTCTGCCATCACCACGGTGGAGCACGTTTCGCCGTGTCACATCATCCTGGCTGTAGGTCTATCTCGGTACTGACGGTACGGCCGGCTTCGAGTGTCGGGGGACACCGGTGCCGACCGCGATCCGAATATGACCGGCCGTGGCCATGCCCTTTGCCCTAGTACGGGCCCGGCAATCGGAGGTTGAATCGTCTGAATATCTCGAGCTTGGCTGGCTATAAGTTTCGACACAACCGACCGTAGAAGTAACGGACTCTGGGTTCATAGAAGACTCTTCGAGCCCAGTGAATCTGGTGTCAAGGCCCGAGGACACGCCGGGGATTGGAAAGCCTCAGACCATAGCTGGGTATTATCTCGTCTTCCTCTCCCCCTCGTTGTCCTGCTCCTTGCTCTCCTTCGGTGGTGCGGTGTAGTCTGTGATCAGCGTTTGGCATAGACTCCAGTTTGACCTGCGTGGTTGGGATGGTTGAACCCAGTGTGAACCAGCTTGTTGGAATCAGTGCTTTCTTCCCCTCTTATAGTAATGCTGTAGGTCTCCGACCATGACTACTGTGCATGCTTGCTAGTTGACTATCGCACCGATCACTGAAATTAGCCTCGACAAGTCCGTCTGTGGTCCTAGGGCCTTCGTGGCACGTAAGTGGTTGAGTGCCTTCGTGGTGAATAGGATCAAAATCGAGGAGTGTAAGCTTGTCGGATATTACCCTGTCAGACACGGTTGCCAGTCTCAAGCCTAGTCCTCGGTGGTGAATCAGGTTGTGCTGATGGTTGGACCATTCGCAATGGTTGTGGTACACGAGACGCGTCCCCGGCGGACTCGTGACCGCCATGCAGGGAGGCACCTATTGTGTATGTTTCGATTTTGGGGCTTAATGGCTCGCGATAGTATGAGGTTTTCATTAATGATGAAGCAATGTTGCGCTGGTGAGTTACTGAGTGATTATGACCGCTTTTGTGATATACCTCATCCATTGCGTCGTGGTGAGAGGTTGCCGTTCACTGCAACGCCGAGCTTGTAGTGCCAAGTCCAGAAGCTTGAGTTGAACCCCGGCGGGTATCCTGCGAGTTTGGGTTCGGGATCGAGTTGAACCCCCTTCTTCCTTCGGCTTCGACTTGGAGTGATGTCGGTGATTGCGCTCTCCATTGCGCCGCTGTGCTGCTTATTTCGCTTTTGCTGGACTCTGCTTTACAGTTTCCATGTATTTGCCTGTTTACCTTGGTGTTTTGTGGTGGAATCAACGTGGTAGAGGGAGCCATTGTGGCATGTAATTTATCTAGTAGACAATGCAGAATATATTATGTAGTATAGCACATAGATATTCCACAGTACGATATATACATATGATCTCCCAACACAACTACTATAAACGCTAGTAACACACACTCGTACATACATAGCCTACACAAGTCAAACAGAATCACCGTCTTAAAAGGGAAGTGTGGCTACTACGGAAATGAAGAAGCCGTATATACTGGATCTTGGAAGATGCCATCACCAAAGCCGATACATGCATGACAGACCACGAACCGCATTGTCATGACCAGAGCAACAAGTACAGCTTGTAAGGAACAGCAGAATAGTCAGATATACAATATAAATATCATGCGGTAGCCTGTACACGGTCAAAAATCAAACGGATCATCAAGATCGGTCCGGTGAATCAAGAATGCCTGAGGCGAACAACGCGCTTCACTCGAGACCCGCAGGCAGTCGCGCTACGAAGCAACACGCGTAGCAGCACAACAAAGCCCAGGAGAACCAAGGCAGACACCACAATATTAAACAAAACTACGTAGCAAGAGAAAGACATTTGAACTGTTTCGACCGTTCGTATTCATATTGACCGCGTCTTAGGTAGGTCGCGCGATCGTGTTTAGCCTATGGCACCAGCCGGAAGCATAAAGGCCGCTATGATACAGAAATTCAAGCGCGCGCACTAGCAGACCAGTAGTGGACGCATAAAAGTGAAATAAAAGTGCGATAAAGCAAACCCAGACCCATGATACTTGTAATAAAAAGATCAAGAACACCCCAACGTCCCAGTCATACCAGAAACCAACCCGAAAAAGCAACCCGTCGCGTCACCGCTGCGGAAGGACAACTGACGCGCCGACCGCGCAGGATGGCTGAAAAGAAAAGAGCAGGAAAAGAAGAACGCATCTAACCACCGAAACCGTAGAGGGTGCCTGCAAAAGACTGTTAGGATGTGTTGCAAGAAATGAGGTTGTAAAGGAAACTTACGGCCTTGACGCTTGAGAGCGTAGACAACGTCGAGGGAGGTGACGGTCTTGCGCTTGGCGTGCTCAGTGTAGGTGACGGCGTCACGGATGACACCCTCGAGGAAGGTCTTGAGGACACCACGGGTCTCCTCGTAGATCATAGCAGAGATACGCTTGACACCACCACGACGAGCGAGACGGCGGATAGCGGGCTTGGTGATACCCTGGATGTTGTCACGCAAAATCTTGCGGTGACGCTTGGCACCACCCTTGCCGAGACCCTTTCCACCTTTGCCACCTATTGAGAACGCGTTGTGTTAGACACAGGTTAAGATTGGATGATGCAATCCTTCATGAGGGAAGGAATCGAATCTAGGATGAGATAGACTTACGTCCAGTCATTTTGACGGTTTGTTCTGAAAAGGGATTAGAGTTGGTTTAAAGTTGAAGTAATTGATGGGAGGTGGAGATAGGATGGGCGATTAAAATTGTTGGTAGATGTTAAGGGAAGAAGGAGGAGAGGCTTCCATGGGACGGGGGATTATTTGTATAGCGAAAGGCAGAGGGCGGGGAGGGCGTTGGAATCACACGCTAAGACCGAAATCAGCCAATCAACGGACAGGATCCCGGACGGCGGGTTTGATCTGGCCGGCAACGTGACCGAGCAGTGGTGATTCCGCTGCCTGAGACTTGATCTTCCCCGGAATGCCCCCAACCACTGGGATCAACGATCAAAGAGGATCAGAGACATTCTGAGCGATGGCTGCCATTCTCCCAAGCATTCTGATAGCCCCTCATCCCTTCTCTGAGGTTGAGATCAAAGAGGTGGCAGGGGGCATTCTAGATGCGTGATCCTGTGATCTTATTGGCCGAAGGGCGGGAAGGAACTCGCTTAGCGCAGGACCGCCTTTCCCCTTCCCGCCCAGACTGCCTACAGTGCCCTTTGATTTTGCCCGCCAAAAGTGAGACCCGAAATCAGAGCTTATGGTGTACTGCTTTCCGATCGATTTTTTGGATCAAAGGAAAACGGGCGCTTAGGCCACCCTCCATTACTGCCAATTCACCACCCCCCTCACACCCAGATCACTACCCACCCCTCTCGCTTACTACAAATACCACCCCCCACCCGCCTCCTCCATCCTTCTTACATCTCCCCAATCCCGTCGACACCATACCATTTCTATCATCGACAACCATCCACTACTTTATCTTTCCATCTCAAATCGACTTAATTCATCAAACCTAAACATAAAAAATGGCTAGAACCAAGCAGACTGCCCGTAAGTTTCACTTTACCTCACTGTCACCACCCTTTCCCTTCAATCAAGGGGTTCATGGACTCGCGTCATGATCGCGACACGTCTTGCTCCACCGCGTCTCACATCTCTGAACTATCTTCATGTGCTAACCACATCGCTCTACAGGTAAGTCCACTGGTGGCAAGGCTCCCCGTAAGCAGCTCGCCTCCAAGGCTGCCCGCAAGGCCGCTCCCTCTACCGGCGGTGTCAAGAAGCCCCACCGTTACAAGCCCGGTAAGTTCTATGCATCTAATTTAACCTCGAGAGGCGAATGAGCATCGGTTCTAATACAACCATAACAGGTACCGTCGCTCTCCGTGAGATCCGTCGTTACCAGAAGAGCACTGAGCTTCTCATCCGCAAGCTGCCCTTCCAGCGTCTGGTCCGCGAAATCGCCCAGGACTTCAAGTCCGATCTCCGCTTCCAGTCCTCTGCCATCGGTGCTCTTCAGGAGTCCGTTGAGGCTTACCTCGTCTCCCTCTTCGAGGACACCAACCTGTGCGCTATCCACGCCAAGCGTGTCACCATCCAGTCCAAGGACATCCAGCTTGCCCGCCGTCTCCGCGGTGAGCGCTCGTAGATTCATTTAATCTTCGAATGGGTCGATTCTCTTTGACTGGTTTGGGATGGCGATAACGGGGTTCTTTCTTTGCTTTTTCATGACTACTGGCGATACATGATGGGTTTCTTTCTTTGCGAATTTCACAACGGGTCTCGGCAAATGGGTTTTGTGATTTCTTTTGCTGCGCAATAAATAGTAGGCTGCCGAATCCAGCGGCTCTGGGTGGATTGATGATCATGGCGATGCATCCGTCCGAATATGTACATTACAGATGATTTTATTCGAAGTGACTTCCGCTGGAAGCGCCGCCGGATGGCATAGACGCGAAATGCAGGATCTATGACGATGCAATCCAATCCAACTTTGTGATTCGCCTGGTGATGAAGTTCTATCTTTCCAGTGGTAGATCAAGTCTCGGTCGGATGACAGACTCGTAGTGTAGTTTGATGGTGATGTGGTTTTGTCCCTGGAGTGAGGCTCGGAGAAACGTAACGTCTGCGATGAGTGTCCATGACGTGCCTCATTCCTACGTATGCCCCCGTGCATTATCCCGGCTGTTAGATCTAGTCGTTTGCAAAAAAAAAATCATCTGGTATTCTAGCCCTATACCGAGCCTCCGCGAATGGCGGGGGAGGAGTTTTCATCTTCCATTTCCCAAGCGCAAGTTCGTCCATTCGTTGTGGCAAAGTGGCCAAAAATAAGTTGGCGACAGGAACCCCAACCAGCGGGAGAGCCCTACGATCCGTTGTATGGACTGGACTTTCCGAACCCGAAAGAAGGCCAGGAACAGAATGGCTTCTTCTAGTGTCCGTTGATCACCATAGCCTCAGAGTCTTATTCCAAGATGTGCGTCTAGCGGGTTTTTGGTTTTCGAAGGGGTTGTGGGAAGGGAATGCGGTTTCTGTCTGGGGAGATGCGGCCGGCTTCGACGGAAGGGGACGGATTCGTTGGGACGAGTGCTGGCGCAGGAGGATTAATGGTTAGAGTGGAGCATCTTTTGTAATACGATTTTTCTGCAGCTTGAAATCAAGGTCTTGGAAGAGCTAGCTTTGGAAATTGCAAAGGTAGTCGTCCGCGAAAGTCATCGCCTCTGGAAACAATAGTATGTGGTTGCTCATAACTACCTAGTAATTATGAGAGAGAATGGGAGGCCGGCTGGGATCAGGGTCGGGAAGTGCGACCGTCTTACCGTTGCGGCCAACAAATTTCTTGCTGCTGGCTTGAAAGACTTGTATCGTTCTTGTTGTTATTGCATAGCGAGCAAAGAATACCAGGTGGCAGTATTCTCACCGTCTGATGATGCGCAAGCCAAAGTATGAAGTTCAAGTACTTACAAGCCCCTGGTCCAAGCGTCGGCCGAAAGCTGCGCAAGTGGGATTCTGCACAAGCTGCATACTGCCATACACTAATTCTCCCCACTCCCTCTTATCGGTAGTTCATCCAAGAAGAATCCAGCTACGAACCGCCACTCTCGTATCATGATGCAGAATGGTTCATCTTTGGGTCATTCTGGATAGGATTTGCAGCCTCAGAATAGATGCAAAGATCGAAAAACAGCAATAATGAGACCCGAGTTTCGCCGCCTTGAATGCAGAAAATATGGAAGCCTTCACTCTCCGATTGCTGCGGCGCTTATCCGCTCAGCCACCGGGCTACTCAGCCACATGATTTCTACCACGATAAAACAGTTCGTGCTCTGGACTACAGCATGCAATAGAGCCTGATGCAAGTTGGGCGCTCGGCTTCGAGCTCTCGAAAGAGAACAGTGAGACGAATAACGAAACTACAAGGACATGCGGTGATCTGAACAGGGAACATGTCAAATTTCTAGATTTCGCACAGATAGGTAAGCAAGGAGCGGTCGCCGTCGGGCTGGTTGACTTGCGCGGATTACCGGTCATCTTGCTCTAGAGGTCTGTGGGCGAGAACGCATTCGCACCGATTGCAACTGTACAAGATCATGCACTATACCAACACCTCAGGTTCAAGAAGGCCAACATTTTGCCTTACCACATTGCTGTGTCATATGTCGACTCTGAATGTGACCCGAGGAGAATCACACGACATTTGGCGCGGTCTGAGATCAGTTGTTTCAGCAACGTCATGCTGACTCCCGGATTCCAGAGGTTTCTGCTTTTTCTCCATTGTATGGAGTATTCCCGTTGTGTATGATGTTACATGATAGTAGGCCCAGCTACTCTGTAACGATAGCAGCGACAAAGTGTTGGATATGGCAGGAATAGTAACTCCCAACTAGCACCGGGCGAAATCCATGGTGGTACGAGCTCCGGCAGTGCAGCACGCACCGGCTGAATAGCCTCCGGTCGCCGTGAAAAAGGCACGGACGCGATTGCTGAGGCTCAGCTTTGCGATTGTAAAGACAAACAGACTCAAGACACCCAACTGCTAAATAGCCGTCAGTTCCTTAATCTGGCTTGCGATCAGTCCATTACTCCGTGGTCCGTTCGGAGTAACTCCATCCTCATCCACAGATCTCCACGGATCGACGGGGTCCGGAGATAAGGGAATAGGTCAAATGCGCGTTTCCCTTCTCGACTCGTATTTTCGAATCAGGTTAGATGTAAGACGATAGGTAGGGGTTGCGGTGTGACCTTCTCTCGCCTGCACTTTCTGTAGACGAAGGTGAGCTAGTATGGGGGACAATCAAGCCATTGGCGCTACGAGGAACTATTAGTGAAAGGGGGGAGAAGAGAACGCGACCAGCAGATCGTCGCCTGCTTCATCAGAACCGACTTTTCCGTCTTTAACTTTCTTTGACGGCAATGTTGCATAGCTAAAAGCTTTTGTGATTCTGCATCTGACCCAAGCCTCTGAGATAGCGTTTAGATCATACCCTGAGATGGTTGAGTCATTATGAATAGGCGGACACGCATGACTCGATAATTAATTGATATGGGAGTGGTGGGGCGGCGGCGTAGTCCGGCAATCTTCTATTTACATTGGGGTTGATCCTAGGTAGGAGGCTAGGTAGTAGGTCAACAATCTCGACTGTACAATTCAGCTTGTTGTTGACTTGTTACGAGTAGGGAATAGCCCAAACACATGCACTTTTGACGTAGCGCACTATGGCAGTGAGGAGCTAGTAGGATGGTTTACCTCAATCCTAAGCTACCTACGGAGTACTACACCGGATTATCTGCTCTGATATGGTTTTGTGATCACTTGTTGATACACTCCCATCAGTTGTAACCAACAGTAATCGATTAGGCCACAGAATCGGACATTGTGCCCGATTTGGTCCACTTCCAGCAGGCCCCGATGATTGTTGATTTATGTCCGTGATGTCGGGATATCGTCGGGATCCCGCTACTTGCTTGGCGTGTCTGATTCATTATTCTGTAACATTCATTGTAAGTTGTTCTCTCCCAGGTTCGACTCATGATCCATGGAATTGCCCGTTCTAGAAGAACGCTAACCCATCCCGGGATTCTTATGCGATCCGATGCAGCATAAGCTTTCTGAATTGCAGCATGTCACAATGATGTTATGATTTCTTTCAGATCATTGATTATCCTCGAGCAGGCTTTTCTCCAACCTACGCGTGATCAGTACCAGTGCCGTCTTTCAGCCACTCTCAAAAGTTTCGATAGTGTCATTTTACTGTTACTCTATTATTGAACAATCTGAAACGGCCCAATCACTTGATTATGTAAGACATTCTATGCCTGTCTGCTGGACCTCGGTAAGTTCCCCTGTCGACAGATAAAATTTCCCACCATACGTGATGTCCCCACATCAGCACTTTTTTTCCTTCGTCACTGACAAATCAGAAAAGCCACCCGTAGACGCCATCGGGACTTCCGTCCACGAGGTGTGCGGATTCGCCCATGGAACCAGAGCCATGAGCCTCCTGGATGGGCTTATCGGCCCACCTTGGACGCGCCCATGCAGTCTCGCCCGCCCCAGTGATGAAGTTGTACCCTGCATAAGACGGCCTCTAGGCGCAAATGTCGGCAGAACAGACTCTTTTGGGAATTGCTGGGTTGACGTGTCCCTGGATAAATGTCTTAGGTCTCAGACCGGCGAGGATCCGAGGCTCAAGTCCCTTGAACGATTAGTCGTCCCGTTTTACCGGCGCCTGGACATGATGACGCTGTGGTGGTTCTGGTGGGACAATGCCGGGTGGTGCAGAGATTAGCAGAAATTTCTAGCCCCTCTTCCCGAGTCAGTAGGTCGCTGTAGTTATATATCCGATGCCATGTCCCTGCGATTGTGTGGGAGGCTTCGGTTTAAGTTGGAGATCATTATTGGATTATACCTGATCTGACCGTCATCTTTCAGACGTCGACTACAGTGTCTACAGCCTCTCAGTGGCCTGCTACTAACTACGTTTTGTCACGTTTGGCTTTATTTGTTGTTTGGACCAGGTGCCCACTAGATACCTTATTCAGCATCGGTTCAGCAGTGGTGCATAGTTGGCCTGCCGCCTACTACAACAACAACATCACCCTGCCAACCCTTGTCATCCATCCATCGACTACACATCTCAGCTTCACCTTCGGCTCGCCCTTCTCCCTCCCGCAATGGCCAACGATAAGGGGGATCATGGGACTTCGGCTGTGGCCATCGCCGGCAACAAGATTCCGTTCTGGCGTCTATTAACCGACCAAGGTGTGGTCACTCAGGAAATCGTCGACCATCACTATCCTGGATCCGGTACCGATGAAGATCCTTATGCAGTCACCTGGCTCCCCGAGGATCCTCGAAACCCTCTGCAGTTCAGTGAAGCAAAGAAATGGACTTTCACCATGATGATGGCGCTCGCGACCTTGGCCGTCGCCCTCGTATCCTCCGCGTATACTGGTGGCATTGTTGAGATCGAAGAAGAGTTCGGAATCGGTACTGAAGTGGCAACCCTTGGTGTTTCTCTTTTCGTCATTGGTTTCGCTATTGGTACGCCTTCATCCTGATCCCCATCTATCTTGTCTTCATCGACTCGCCCTAACTAAAGAATAGGACCGCTTCTGTGGGCACCGCTGTCGGAAATGTTTGGCCGTCAAATCGTGTATTGCATTACTTACATGGCTCTCACGGCATTCACCGCAGGCAGTGCTGGTTCCAAAAACGCCTGGACCCTCATCATCCTTCGTTTCTTCGCAGGTTCTTTCGGATCTTCACCTCTGACCAATGCTGGTGGTGTCATCGCCGACATGTTTTCTGCCAAGCAGAGAGGTGTTGCGACGAGTTTGTTCGCTGCCGCTCCATTCTTGGGTATGCTTCCTCTGAATCTTTTGCGTCGACTTTCCGTGAACCGTTGCTAACCTCCCTTCCTCAATATAGGTCCTGTGCTGGGTCCGATCATTGGTGGCTTCTTGGGAATGAACGCTGGATGGAAATGGGTGATGGGGTTCCTCGGTGCCTTCACTGGTGTCGTGTGGATTCTTGGATCATTGACCGTCCCCGAGACATACGCACCCGTGCTTCTTCGTCGTCGCGCCGAGAAGTTGAGCAAGCTTACTGGCAAGGTGTACCGCAGCAAGATTGATATTGACCAGGGCAAGACAACCCTCGGACAGGCTTTCAAGACTGCGTTGTCTCGCCCCTGGATCCTGCTCTTCAAGGAGCCGATCGTCTTTCTGCTTTCTCTTTACATCGCCATTGTTTACGGAACCCTCTACATGCTGTTCGCTGCTTATCCCATCGTCTACGAAGAATACCGTGGCTGGAACCAGGGAGTTGGCAGTCTCCCATTCCTGGGCATCATGGTGGGCATGCTCGGAGCTGTGGTTTACAACATTATCGACAACAAGCGATACATCCGTGTCCAGGAGAAGCACGGTGGCTTTGCGCCCCCAGAAGCTCGCTTGCCTCCGTGCCTTATCGCCTCCGTCGCAGTTCCCGTTGGACTCTTCTGGTTTGCCTGGACAGACTACAGCTCTATTCACTGGATGGCCAGTGTGGCCGCTGGAGTGCCCTTCGGTTTTGGCCTGGTCTTGGTCTTCTTAAGCAATTTGTCATATCTCATTGATACCTACACCATCTTTGCAGCTTCAGTGCTGGCTGCCAACTCGGTTATGCGTTCCATTTTCGGTGCTGTCTTCCCACTTTTCACAACCTACATGTACGACAATCTGGGCATTCACTGGGCCACCTGTATCCCGGCTTTCTTGGCGCTTGCCTGTGTCCCATTCCCCTTCATGTTCTACAAGTACGGGCCAGCCATTCGCAAGCGTTGCAAGTATGCTGCCGAGTCCGACGCTTTCATGCGGCAGATGCTGGCGCAGTTTATGACGAAGGCCTCGGTCTCGGAGGAGGCATCTCAGCAGGAGACCAAGGAGGAGCATCAATTCGACCGCACAGAAGCCCCTGCTGCTGAGACACTCAGCGCTGATTCCGACTCGAGCCACCAGGAGAGAACGGCCGAATTGCACCGTACGCGCAGCAAGGCCTCGACTCATACCGTCAATTCCGTTCGCCAATCACTCTACGAGGGCAACCCATACGATATCGACCGTGTCCACACCCGTGAATCTTTCAAGGCTTGATTTGCTCAGCAAGGTCAAGTCCAATGGCCGAATGGCACCAGCTGCTCAAACTGGGCCCAACAAACCTCAAAAGCACATATTCACTTCTCGCCTACTACATAATCTTTAGTAACTATTGCCTCCCCCAAAGATGTTGATGTGAGCCGAATGGCCGCGTCGAGTGAAATGAAACAATCAGCCCTTTTGGGTCGTGATTGTTTGATGATTTGCATGTTGATATACCCAGTGCTTTTATGTACATGCCCGTTGCCTTTTTCCTTCCCCCTTTGTTTTTCCATAGAGGAGAGATTTCTGGTGTTTTCAGGCATTTATATAGAGACTCTCCGATCCTAATAATGATAGTGATAGAATTTATGTATAAGATGTGTACACTACTAGGACTGTATGATTGTATGTGGATAATAGGTACTTATGTATATTGTAGTCATGGACCCCGCTGTTTTTAATTGATTCGGAGATAAGCGATTAAAAGCTTTGCCCCCCCTTCAGTCGGATCGCTGCGCCGACCCTCGGCAAGGGCTGTTGCTTATGCGCTCCCGACATTTGCCTTCCGGACTTTCTCTTCCCCCCAAAGATGATTCATAATCATGTTTCCCCTTTGTTGTCATTTTTGATTACACACTAGCTTACGGCCCTACATCGTTCCTTATCACTCTGTGACGGTAGTTTCAGGCCGTGGAGACGTTTTGCATGCTCGACTGAACCAACCGGTGTGAGACTCGTGGTTCTGCGCTCATTGATGTGGCCGGTCGCCCAACTCTACACCGGGAGTCTCTCGCGACCTCATTGTCCTGGCCTTCGCCAAAATACCCTGTTCTACGTATAGATGCGAGTGACTGTATCAAGCACACCACCTCAAACCACAATAAATCGCAACTATGAGCGCCACCGTCTTTACCAGATCAACGGTTCCCCGGTCGCATCAAATATCCCGATCGCTCCGATCGCGGCGATACCAGTCTTCTTCAAAACCGTCTAGTTCAGAACCGTCAAAAGCCTCTCGACCACCAGCTGATGCGCAGACGGCTGCCTCAGCGTCGGGCGTGCCAGTTGTTCCGGCCTCGTCCACGGGACAGGTGGGCTCGCGATCGCTGCTCCAGGTTATCCAGGCTGGTCCTGTGGGAAGAGTGGCGCGGGCATATTCGCGGGTCCAGGAGCGACGGCCGTATGCGACGCAGCTGTGGAGCTCGGTCATCATCTACCTGTGCGGGGATCTGAGTGCGCAGTTGTTTTTCCCAGAGAAGCCTGCACCGGCACCGGCTTCACCGGGAGAAAAGGAGGGCAAAAGTGCGGCAGCTAGTGAAGAGGAGAATGAGGCAGCCAAGGGAGGATACGATCCGCTGAGAACGCTGCGACATTTGACCGTGGGGATAGGATCGAGTATTCCGACTTTCAAATGGTATGTCACATCCTTCATCTAGTTGACAGACACGCGCGCGTTGTCTTTGGTTATTACGTGATAGGGTGATGTTCCGCACAAGGGTGACAATGAAGCGAGCTGACTTGTTGCTGGTGGGCGCAACGAACAGGTTCATGTTCCTCCACAATAATTTCAACTATTCGTCTAAATTCCTCTCGATCTTGACAAAGGTCTGCGTGCAGCAGGCCGTGTTCACCCCGGTTTTCAACACCTATTTCTTTAGTCTTCAGTCGCTGTTGACGGGCAAGTCATTCGAGGAGACATTTGAGCGGCTCAAGCTGGCTCTGCCAGTCAGTATCTCGAACAGCGTGAAGCTGTGGCCCGCCGTCACCGCCTTCAGCTTCATGTACGTGTCGCCTCAGTTTCGAAGCATATTCTCCGGGGTAATTGCGGTGGGATGGCAAACGTATCTGAGCTGGTTGAACCAGAAGGCAGCGCGCGAGGTCGAGGCAGAGATGACCGAGACAATCGAGCCGGTGGGCATTAGCGCTGGTGCTGCGGCTATCAGGGCATGATCCAGCTGTTTCTTTTGTTAGATTTGTTATTCCATTTGTTTCTTTTTTTGTTTCTCATCTTGGTTGACTTTGGGATATCCTAGACGTTTTCATGGCGTGCGGTATTATTATATGTTATGAATTTGTCTATAGATTAGCAGAACGCAAGACGCGATAGATTAAACATAGACTTGGACAGCAGCTTTATCTGCTCGGTGTACATTCAAAGCGATCGTCGAAACCTATAGAAGACCATTATTGACTCGAAAGTTATCTTATGGAGGAATCGAGGGTAGCATCGAGGGCGAAGAAACCAAGTGGATGACGTGAAGCATGCTTCACAATCGGCCCGCTCCCATTCGCCTCTTCCTCTCTGTAGCCTCGTTCACTTCTTCTCCCCCCCGCTTCGACACCCCCATACCACGTCGCATGGCATGAATGCTCTCCACGCATTGCAGGCATGCCATGCCACCATCAGTCTCCGATACTAGTTTCCGGGGCCTTTGCGGATAGCGACAGCAGCAGCGACTACGGCTCCGACTTTTCGCCCGAAGAAGAGGTGCTGCTGGACGAATTGCTTGCCAAAGTCGCCACGAACCACGCGACCTCCGACTCTGTAGTCGCAAACCCTGCACCGCCAGCTCGACCACTCCCCGTGCCTATTGAAGTCTCCGTGACGATAGGAGATATCGAGGATCAGTATGCAAGTTCGTCGCCTCGCCCGTTGCCTCGGGTGTTTGGGCGGGAGAAGCCTGCCTGGCAGACACGCAGGACTTGGCCGTACGGTGCACGCCCAGCGCAGATTCCAGGTCACCCTGGTACCACGTCTGGTAATATTCTCCCTTTTGCCCTTGCTTGCTTCTGTTTTTTTGAAGATCTGTGCTCTTTGCTTTTGTTGGTATGTTGATCGCGACGCTAACCTGGGGCCCTCCACGAAGCGTTTAGTTGAGCATCCGAACTCCTCTGAAGGCAGAGAGAAGGAACGCGAGCGCCAAGCAGCTCGTCACCTCGAAGCCACCAACGAAGTAACTGCGGAGGAGGATACGAGATCCCCCATGGAGCGATTCCGACGACCCCCGAACAAGGCTTTCTCAGTCACGGACCTGATCTCGCCCGCGTGGTGCGAGCTGCAGTACTGGTACACGCTTACGAAGCATGGACGGAAACGCCGCACCCCGGCGATGAAGATGGGCAGTACGATACACAAGACGCTCGAAGACGAGATCTACACGACGGTGCCGGTTGAGATTACGACCAAGGAAGATGCGCTCGCCCTGCGCATTTGGAATATCATCCAGGGCTTGCAGCTGTTGCGGGATTATGGCATTACACGAGAGCTGGAAGTCTGGGGCTTGGTGGACGGCGAGCTCGTCACCGGCGTTATCGACCAACTGTCTATCGAATGCCCCGATTCAGCCCTGGAGGCGACGGCCGCCTCTTATTATGCCGACATTGAAGCGACGAGGGCGATCATGCCGGAGTATCAGATGTCCCTAACGGATTATCTGCTTGCGCCATCACGGGGCGGAAGGAAGCTGTCCGACGTGTATGCGAGAGAGGACGAAGAACCAGAAGCTGCTGCGCTCGAAGCGACCAGTAGCCAGAGTTCCTCCGAGCAGCTCCCCAGCATACCCAGGATTTACTTGACGGACGTCAAGACGCGCGGCAGCGCCTCCGTGCCGACGGTCAAGAGCTCCTCGTTCCGTCCCACTCAGCTGCAACTCCAGCTCTACTATCACATGCTCAATCGCCTCGTCACCAGCGACGACGTGACCATTGACCTTCTGGCCGCGCGGTACAACCTCGACGCGCAGCGTCCCTTCACCGACGCCTTCATCCACGAAGTCGGCGGTCTTAACGACCAGTACTTTGACGCGCTATCGAACCAGGAATTCGACCCGGACTTCATCTTGACACAAGAGGATGCTGAGAATGCTTCTTCTTCATCCAAATCACCATCGTCCGCTCCAACTGCCAGCCAAGACTTCACCAGCATTCTCACCTCTCACAACAATCTCACATCCCTCTGGACCCTAATGAAGGAGAGCCTTCGCCTCACATTCCTGCCCCCGTCTCAGCCCTCCATCTCCGTTGCCCCATCCATCCCCTCGGAGTTCCAGCCAGCCCTGCTCGAGCCCTACCCTACCCTTCTCTCCCCGCTGCTCACCGCAAAGTACATCTCCTCCAAGCCGACGACGGACGTGGAGAGACGCATCCTGGGCAGCCGGTCGTTTCTCTTTGACCCCACTTCCATGAACTCGTACGTGGCGGACCAGATGGAGTGGTGGCGTGGCGCACGTTCACCCCGCGGGGTGGAGGTTATGGATGCGTGGAAATGCCGCATCTGCGAGTTTCGCGATGAGTGCTCATGGCGTCAGGAGCGGGAGTGGGACTATTCGCGTCGGAGGCAGCAGAAGCTGGATATCGAGATGAATGCCACATGATTCGCTCTGCTGTTTGGACCTGTGGATATATATATGTATATATATATATAGATTTTCCTTTGGGAGGATTGGGTCCGTGGTACTGATAGGTTGATAAGAGCGCTGTCCTCGGATAGATAGGACTACGGTTATGATGTGACTGAATCTTGTCTGGGATGATCTGCATATTCGCAGAGATAGATCCTGTGTATTAAGAAGGGTACTGGTCGAGACGAAAGTCTGCTTTCGCCAATATTAGAAGTGAACCACACTCAAGAAACAATCCATCCATGGAATATCTTAATCTAATCCAAACAAGAAGTCGGAACTGTCCGTATATACAATAAACCCCCAAGTCACACTCCATCTCAACCCTACTAGCACCCCATAGCCACTCAGACACAAAAACGACAAGCTAGAAAGGATACTTCCTAACCTCCTCCTCCGTCTCCAAATCCAACCCATTCGCCAGCTGCTCCTGATGCTTCCGATCCAAGAACTCCAGCAACACCTCCTCATACTTCTCCTTCCCCTTGTAGCGCGACACATCGTCGCCCCAGCTGCGCACCGCCGACGCCAAGCGGCCCGGCACATAAGGCTCTTCCGCGACAGCCGTGACAGGCTCAAAGTACGTGCGGATGGTGAACACCACCCCCCCCGACCGGGGCAGCCGACGCAGCGACTGGCGCTCCGAGCGGAAGAAGTGGTGCTCGATCGCCTTGTTCTTCTGGGCGGTATTCCACGAGACCTCGGCGGCGTCCTCGGACCCGATGCTGTGCGACCACGCCAGCGCATCGTCCACCTGGATGAAGTAGTTGTTGCGCACCACCGGGTCCTCCGGCCGCAGCCGTCGGAAGAAGTTCCTCATCCCCCGCTCCAGCTTCTCCGTGTACTGCGGCACCGACCCCGAGGTGTGGATCTCCGATAGCCGCATCTCGTACTTGTCCTCGAGTCGCCAGAATCCTGCCAGAAGCACCGCGCCCGCCAGGAGGTAGTATTCGCCGTCGGCCCGTTCGAGCATGATGGCGAGGTCGTCTTGTACCAGCCGCGCGCAGATCATCATCGGGTCTTCGGGGAGGGGCCGCTGCGTAATGTCGAAGGTTTCGTGCGTGATTGTGTTGGTTAGCCCCGTCGCGGTCTTCTGGAACATGCTGGGGTAGCGCTCGGGGAGGTAGCTGGCTCTGTTGTTGTTGTTGTTGTTGTTATTATTGTTGTCATCTCCGGGGTTTGGATTGGTGGTGCTGTTTTTGGCTTGGTTGGACTTACAGCTCTTCAAGGAGCTCGATGGCCGCGTCCATTGCGTCTGGGTGCGTGCGGCAGCATCTCGAGCCTCGTTCCTTGATGCGGAGCGCTTTGTCGGCATGGAATCGGAGGTAGTGGTTGTCCAGCTCTAGGGAGGAGGGTGGGTTCACAGTCAGTGGCTTGTGCTATTCGTGTTGTGTATGTGTGTGTGTGTGTGTGTGTGTGTATACAGCAAAGGCCAACTCACCGATCCATTCATCCCATTTCATACTGCGTAGGCCCATGGTGACAAAGTACTTGCTGTGTCGATGGTCAATTTGGCCTTCTGCCCGGGAACAGCATAAAAGTGGGATAGATGATCATGACTTACGGCCCGTATCGAAATGGGCGGTAGGGAATCGGCTTCGTCTTGTGCACATCCCAGTCGGCAAAAGGTGTCGCCGGGGGTCTCTTGAAGTCCGAAGGCGTCCATACTGTGTACCTCTCGTCCTGTTAGTGTCTGCAGGGTGACTTGGAGATGCATGCAACGGAAGACCGAGTTTCAGGGATCTCACCGCCAGGAGTTCGTTTAGCATCCTCGTTCTTGTTCTTGGAGGCTTCGAGACTCGGCGTCGACTGTCTCGTGCGGCCTGAATCGAGAGTCTTCCATGTCTGGAGGGCCTTGTTGAGGAGGTAGACGCCTAGGGAGGTGACGAGGCAGATGAGCACAACGTTGGGAGCGTGTTCTTGGATGGTCTCCATGTTGGGGTATGCTGGAGATGGAAATAAATGTCTCTGATTACCATGGTAGGATATTCTCAAGTCCAAATCAGTCTGGGACCGACATCTTTATACAGATTGGTATATATAGACATGTGTGTATGTACAGAACATAAAGTCAAGGTGTTGTCCAACAGGCAGTGTTACCGCTTCGGTTAATGAGACGCGGTGTGACTGATAGGCTTCTGCGATAAGATCCGTTGATTGGGAACCCCCTCACATTGACATCAATCCCCAACCTGCAACTCGGCCTGCCTGGCTAGCAGGTGGCGGTCTTATCTCTGGTATCGTGTCCGCTCACGCCGGGGGATATCTTTTCCCAATCAGGCAAAGACTCATGTTGCCCAGAGAGAGAGAGAGAGAGACTGGCTGTGGCTGGTCTGTCTGCAGGGTCGCATATGACTTACTCACACGGGCAAACCGGGGAAAATAGACGTCTGTGGTTCATCTACAGCATTTAATTACTGCTATTTGTCTGTGGTCACCGCCTCCGCGCTGCACGATTGTGCAATCAATACTCCTCCGGCTTTGCATCGGCATTGCGTCGTCGAAGCAGACAATACTCTCCCCAGTGACGCTGCAAAGATCGCGGCACTATCGGCAAATCCGGAGTCCAGGTAAGACGACCCAGAAGGCCTGTCTGGGAGGCATCAAGGAAGTCGTGACATGCCAGCTTCTCCCATACCTTTTCATCCTGAGTATAGTTGGGCTCTAAGTCGGTTGCTTCTCGGCCTGGGAAGTGGGAATCCACAAGGAAGGAGCATTGCGAGATTTCCACCTAAACCTTCGTGTTAACACCTGCAGCAGATTGCGGGGAAGCTCTGGAGCAAACTTACGTATTTGCCAAGGTCTTCCTCGTTTCGATCATTCATACCCGGCGGGATCGTTGAGGTGCCTTGCAGGAGAGAAGCCAAATCCTTGGCAACAGGAAACTCGCCAGGAAGCAGTCCACGAAACTCACTGCGAATGAATTTGGCTTGCATACCATGAGGCAGGAAGAAAGATGAAGGGAACCGATACCACTCTTTGCCAAGACACAGGAAGTCCCCGGGTTGTGCTACCCCTGGCTGCTCCAAGGGCTCGAAGACCTTCAGTGGCGCACTATAAGCGGTGACCATCCCCATCGTTCGGAGAAAGCCCGCACTGATGGCTAGGACGAACATGGACACCACCGCTGCGAGCTTGATCTTGGGTGTAAGGCGACCAGCCATTTCTTTGGGGTCACTGGAGCCAAGGTATGATAGCACCATATGCACTGAAATGGATGCATTTAGGGCAAGGAATGGGTACGCCGGATACATGAACCTCTCTTCTTTGTGAGGCTGCGCTGTAAAAATCGCAAACCACATGTAGAAGGGAGTGATGAGAGCCAGGCGCCTCAACAAGGTCTGTTTGTCGGCTGTTTGAGAAGGGAGAACCACTTGAAGGGCCAGCAATGGCGCTGCGGCCATGGCAAATACGAACCAGATATTGAAGTTTAGCAGCAGATTCCTGACATAGAATGTCCACGGCTCGGTTCCAAAGATGTCAGGCCCTCGGCCCTCTCCGCCAAAGACATTGTACGCGACGATGTTCCATGGCACAATCACGAGCTTGCGCAAGAACACATGGTCAACCATGACTTCGGCGACCTGAGGACCGTTAGCGCGGATTTAATAGGTCGCAGTACGGAGTTGTCTAGAACAAAGCATACCAGAATCGTAAGGCATCTGATAGCCCCTTCGAGAACCCCCCGACATAGTCTAGGTAGACTTGCGCTAAAGAAACTAATGACCACCTCCCTCAGCAACAAGGGGATTATAAGAGCACCAGCAAATGGCCAACCGACAATTGCGCCGAGTCCGAACCACATAATGCCCTGAGCTGTTTTGCGACCGCCTCTCGAATCCAGAAAGGCCGTCAATCCGAGCATAGACATGTACATCGTGAAGCTCGATGGGAGAAAAGCCGCAGATGCATGGAACATACCGGGGCTGAAGAGGATGACCATGAGGAAGACGAGACCGATGCGCGGGCTAAGCGTGCGGCAGATGGCGGAGTAGAGTCGTGTTTGACAGGCGGCACAAACAATAGCAAGGAAGAATCGTATCACGTAAAACTCGGAGGATTTGTTCCTGAAAGCGAAGGAGCCAATTTTGCCGACCAATGCATGAGCAGAGACATACAGCCAGCTGCGGATCGAATAGACCGGGGAGTATTCCCACGTTTGGAGTCCATAACCATGGCCCAGGTAATGGGTCGGCTCCCAGAAGTTAAAAACCTCATCGCAGTCCTGAATTGGAGCATATAAAGCAGCGAGCGCATTGGATATAAGGCACAAGTAGAGGGTGACGTTCAAGGGTAGGTAAAAAGGAGACGGCGCGGGTCTGTTCAGCGTTCGTCATATTAGCTCAATCATTCTAGCGATAGGAAGAAGCCAGCTGGTGGGATGTACTTCTTTTTAGTCCGCGAAGGATTCGTTGCGCCTGCCAAGGCAGCAGCAGCATCGACTTCCCTTGTAGGCGCCATAATGTGGCATTTGCTGCGTCAAGGGGCCAAGGTCGAAAGAGGAGGTTGTTCTGTCGGGAAGACAGGCAATAATGCCAGACGATGGATTGTTTGTACGCCTACGCAATCCATCTATAGATCCTCATACAGAGAAGCGGGAAGAAAGATCCGCCAGCGCCGGGCTCCTTATCGATAAGGAATTGCTCGGCTCGCCTGCTCCATTCCGTCAAAAAAAAGTTGCCGCTGCTTCAGCGCATCTTCATCTGCGACCGATCCAAATTGTCTTCTTTGTGGACCATATTCGCTTCAGTATGAGTGACACAAACTCCGCTGCTCAGTCCTCGGGACACATGGAGGAGTACCTTGACGGGCCTCAAGCCAAAAAACCCTGCATGCAGGATACGCCACCCATTGCTCTGACCCCAGCAGATGATGGCAGTGATTTCTACAATACACCATTGAATGCAGGCTCTCCGGTAGCCAGCGACGACATCAAAGACAAGGAGGAAGCTATCGTTAGCCCAACAAGCGATGTAACAGCGTCTGCCACATCTCATCTTCCAATTCCAGGATTGAGCCTCGTCAACGATAATGTCCAAGAGACTTCCCCAGAGAACCAGCCTAGTCAACCACAGCACACCAGCACCAGTAACGATCAGACTTCCGCGGCTCCAGCTGAGCCTGTTCTTGCGTTGGAGCAAACTGCCCGAGCCGCCCCCGAAACACAGCCCGAAGCCATGGAGGTGGATAAAGAGGCTACGAACGACGCAGCGGCCCACGAACGGGAACAAGAATCTGCTGCGGGTACCGTTGAAGGGGCCGAGGAGGAACAAGACGATGAGCATCCCGAATGGGAAATTGACTCCTCTCCCTACGAATCTTCTTCCGATGATTCCTCGACGGATTCCTCCGACGACAGCGACGATGACGAAGATTATCCGATCCTGAGCCCGGAAGAACAGGCGCGGATTCTGATGCAGGCGGAGTTAGGCTCCGACGATGAGGGTGATGGAAAGGGTCGATCAGGTGGCCAGCTGAAGACGGCAAATGAGATGCCCGAAGAGGTTCTGCCCATCCCTGACATTACTATTTCTCCTGAGATGAAGATTGTACTCCTCGGCCAGGTCGAAACCATTGTCGAAAACACCCTTCTGATCGTGGCCAACACCTCCGGAGAATATCAGGTGCTCGAGTCTGGCTCCTTGCTTTGCTTGGAGGACCGTACCATCGCCGGTGTAGTTGCCGAGACGCTGGGAAGAGTCGAGAACCCGCTCTATGCGGTGCGCTTTCCCACGGCAGCTGCCATCGAAGAGCGTGGAATCACGCAGGGCAAGACTATATACTACGTCGAGGCACATTCTACGTTCGTCTTCACTCAACCTCTCAAGGGGCTTAAGGGAAGTGATGCTTCGAACTACCATGACGAGGAAGTTGGTGAGGACGAGGTCGAGTTCTCCGATGACGAGGCGGAAGCCGAGTACAAGCGCAAGGTGAAGCAGGAGCGCCAGAAGAATAAGGAAGGCAAGAGTGACTCTGCCAGAGCGAAGCGAGGTCCACCGGGCCCCTCAAAACTCAGCTATAGCGAATTGAACTACGACGACTCCCCGGCAGACGATGGCTATACGCCCCTTGCCCGCCCGAAGAATCTGCACGAAATGATGCGCCAGCAGGAGGCACCTGTCGAGGCGGATGGCCCTCCTGGCCACAGCAGGAATAACTCCGGTTTCCGTGGTGGTCGAGGCCGAGGCCGAGGCTCGGATCGTGGTCGCGCTGGTCGTAGCCGCGGAGGGGCTGGAGCAGGATCTCGCGACACTCGCGAGCATCATGACCGATCGTCTTATCATCAGCAACAGGCACAGCCTTCGCAACATCAGCCCCAACCTCAAGCCCAAAATCAACACGCTGCTTACATGCAACAAATGATGAGTGCTGGCCAACCGTCCAGTGCATACGGTCATCCTCAACAGTATCCCTTCGCTTTCCCACAGCAGCAGCAACAACAACAGCAACAACAGCAACAGCAGCCTTACAGCCAGGGAGCTGTGCCGGCCCCGTTCAATTTCCAGGTTCCATTTCAACAGGCCTATCAACAGCCGAACCCGTACCAGCAGCTTCCGCCTAACATGCAAATCAATCCTTTGCTCATCGCTGCCCTTCAGCAACAGCAACAATTACAGCAACAGCAGCAACACGCTCCGGGACAACAACCGCAGGCGCAGGCTCCCACTATGAACTTTGACCAGGTCAAGGCTCAGTTGGATTTGCTACGGCATCTTAGCAACAATCAGCAGGGTCCGCCCCGGCAATGATTGTGTCTTCTTTTCTGTTTGCTATCTTGCACCTGGAATACAAAATTAGATATGTGGGGTTGGGTGTAGCTGCGTCTTTAATTGGGGGCATTTTCATGGCATGGGTAATCAAAAGTTGTTCTATACGTTCACCATTTAACATGAAGCGTCTTCTGAATATGTACAGTGTGCAGACTTGCTCAGTCCGAACATAGGAGTAAGTTATAAGCTTTCTAATTATACACGTCACTGGCATAGCATTCTTAGGTAACCGAGCACCGATTCCGTAATGATCATGGCGTGGTTTGCAGGGCGCAAGACAGTTCTTATGACTCGCTTTGCTTGGCGCTCTTCGCCAATGCCCAAAAGTTCTCTAGCTTCGCTCGAGCCAAAACATCCTTTGCTTGTGAATCAGTTTCGCAGATGCGTGCACCCAACCACTTCCGAAAAGCTCGGGCTTTGACCTGGCCCTCCCACAGAAGCTCACAACTGTTGTGGCTTAAGTCTTTCAGCTCTCCTGTCTGCTCGTCTTCGGCGGCTAACCATGATGCCTGAGCTTCGCGATTACCTTCTCGTACAGCTCCGGGGCCAGCATTTTCTGTCCAGTCAATGCGATTTATCATCAACTTTCGGTAATTGTTGATGGAATGAGCACCCCCCTCGACAATGACCAGATTGAATCGAGGATGCATGACGCAAACTCCGGTGAGGGCGTTTTGTTCGGCATTCTTGCTGATCTTGAAACGGTGTCGTCCATTGGCGAGAGTGTCAATGCGATAAACCGACATCAACACACCCCGCTCAGCGTCGGCCTCCTGTTGTCGAGCGAGCTTTTCGCGTCGCTCCTCTTTGGTCAGTTTGCGGTCTGCGTTAGCAGCCTCGTGCTTCTCCTTGCGTTCGGCAATCTCTCGGTTAACGCGTGCCTCAACAGCGGTGGGGTCTTTGACTGCCTGCTCGCCCAGTACCCGCATCAAGTTCGACTTCTTGACCTTCGGTGGCGGAGCCGGTTCAAGTCCCAGCCTGATCTTCGCCTGTTGCTCCTTCAAATCTGCCATTCGTCGCTGGCGACGGATCTTCGCCTGTTCCTTGGGTGTGAGATACATGGGCTTTTGTTGTGGCTTGAACTTTTCCTGTGGCGGGTCAAGCAACACAGGATGTTGAACGTATTGAGTAATGATCGAATCGGATGTCTCAATCTTGAGCTTTTGCTCGTCCTCAATAACCGAATAGTCATCGCCATCAACCAAGCCCTCATCCCACCATTCAATCGCAGGTGGAGCGGGCACCAAGAAGCTCTTCTCAATATCCAAATCTTCATCAATACCAGCCTGTCGTGCTCTTTCCGCAATTCGCTTCTTCATAGCCTCTAGCTGAGCCTGTCGACGTAGAGCAGCCGCCTGTTGTATATATTTGCCCTTCTGGTTAAAGATAAGCTGTCGACTTTGTCGCGGCTTCGCGACCGTAGCCTTGGGACCGAGGTTCGGATCAAAGTATGGGTTGTTTTTGATTTCCTCCAAGGATGGGCCCGAGAGGTCAAGGCCAGCTCGATCAGGTCGTCCTGCCGTAGCCGGAGATTCAGTCCTGCGGTTCTTGGGCTGTGAGCCCTGTCGTCCTTTACCACCCCTGAACTCGATCGTGTCCGATAGCAGGGCCGGGTGGAGACCGACATCAAGACCACCGCGAGCGCGTGACAATCCCTCATCTTCATCTTCGAAAGGAGGAGGTGGGGGAGGCGAGGGAGCCTGGGGGGCTGGCGTAGGAACAATTCGTTGCTGGGCTGTGGCGTTGGCTCGTCCGGTAGCAGCAGCTACTCGAGCCTTCATCTGTTCGAGCCGAGACATTGCCGGGCTGGCAGCTGGAGGTGTTGGACTGGGACTAGACGCGGCTGGTGAAGGCGACGGGGCGATGCCCTTTGCTGCTTGAAGTCTGGCACGTACTGCCTCTGCTTTTGCCCTGGCTTCTGCCACCATCTTCTCGATATCAAGCTTGCCCGCAGCCGGGGTCGCTTTCGCGGGTGGAGCGGGCGAGCCATGATTGGAACGAGGTCTCTTCTGAGAGTTGTCTTGATCATCTTCTGGATGACGGCGCTTCAACGCATTTCCTGAGGTATCTGCCATAGCTGATACCTAAGTCTTGAAAAGCGAGGGAGTAGCTGAGGGCCGACAGAGAGCGAAAGAGGACAAGACTGGACTGCGCTGAGAAGGAAGCTCAACTGGCGGGCGGTACAGCAAGACCGAGCCAGAACTGATTTGGATTTGGAAAGAAGTGGAGCCTGCCGTAGCGGGCGGTGCCGCACGGCAGAAAAAAAGTTGGGTGCAACTTTTTCGCATCGTCGCGGCCGAACGAACCCGCTTTTTCGATCTCCAGGCCAGCAGCCACACAAGGATTCGAAGGACTCGCACCACCCGTTGCTTTGCTCCGAGAGCTGCAAGGGGACATCATGGCGACCTTCGCACGACCGGTGGCTTCCACCATTGCGGGGATTGACTTTGGCGTCTACACCGATGAAGACATCAAAGCTCTCTCTGTAAAGCGAATTCAGAACACCCCGGCGCTGGATTCCTTCAACAATCCTGTCCCCGGTGGTCTTTACGACCCTGCTCTGGGTGCCTGGGGCGACCATGTGTAAGTCTAGTGATCTGCTTGCTTCTCATTCAAACACTGGACTTTGTGTTGTGGTTGCGCTCTTCTCCAACCCTCAGAATGGCCCGACAATAACGGGATCCGAACTGACAGTAATCAGTTGCACAACATGCCGTCAGTCTTCCTGGTCCTGCACTGGCCACTCCGGTCATGTAGAACTGCCAGTGCGTGTGTACAATCCCACCTATTTCGAACAGATGTACCGTCTCCTAAAGGCGCAATGTGTCTACTGCCATCGCTTCCAAATGTCTCGCTTCGAAATCAATACCTATGCCTGCAAATTACGACTACTGCAATATGGCTTGGTCGATGAGGTCGCTGTTATTGATACCATGGCTCATTCGACGGGCAACAAGAGGAAAGGCGCCAAAGACGGCGAAGGCTCCAGCGAGGAGGACGAGGACGACGACGATAGAATGGCCCGCAGAACCTCCTACGTCAAGAAATGCATTCGACAAGCGCAAGCAGATGGAAGATTGAAGGGTCTTATGGCGGGTGCGAAGAATCCGTTGGCTGCGGAACAGCGCCGTTTCCTTGTTAGAGAATTCATGAAAGCCATTGGCACCCCTAGCAAGTGTGCCAGCTGCAGTGGGTACGTTACCCCACGTCCACCAGCGCCCATTCCTCCCCCTCCGAGCTGGAGCTTATCTAACTAATATCAATCTGCAGGATTTCTCCTTCCTACCGGAAAGATAAATTCTCGAAGGTTTTCCGCAAGCCTCTGCCCGAGAAGTCCAAACACGCCATGCTGCAAGCTGGATTCCAAGCACCCAACTCTTTGATCCTTCTCCAGCAGGCTCAAAGTCTCAACAGCAAAGCAAAGGAGGCACTGGCTGATGGAGCATCCGAGACTGCATCTCAGGTCCATGGGGCTGAGGAGGAGGTTGCCCGCGGTAATGCCGTCGTCGCCGAGCTTGAGAGCAGGAAACAGGCCGCGGGTGAAGGCCAGCAATACATGCCCTCGCCTGAGGTCCACGCCGCACTGACTTTGCTCTTCGAGAAGGAAGCGGACATTCTGACCCTCGTGTATAACTCTCGACCACTGCCTAAAAAGGAGGCTCGGGTGAGCGCCGACATGTTCTTCATCAAGAACATTCTGGTGCCGCCTAACAAATATCGTCCTGTCGCACAGCAAGGAGCTGGTGCTATCATGGAAGCTCAGCAGAACACTATTTTCACGAATATCTTGAAGAATTGCGACATCATCAATCAGATCAGCAAGGAAAGGCAGAGCAGTAGCTCTAGTGCTGCTATGCGAGTTCGCGATTACCGTGATCTGCTCCACTCAATGGTACAGCTCCAGGACACTGTGAACGGACTTATCGACCGCGATCGAAACGCTTCCGCAGGACCCGCCGCCGCCGCCGGCCCCAACGGTATCAAGCAGGTTCTCGAGAAGAAGGAGGGTCTCTTCCGAAAGAACATGATGGGAAAGCGTGTCAACTTTGCTGCCCGAAGTGTTATCTCTCCCGATCCCAACATCGAAACCAACGAGATTGGTGTTCCTATGGTTTTCGCTAAGAAGTTGACTTATCCTGAGCCCGTGACCAACCACAACTTCTGGGAGATGAAACAGGCTGTAATCAACGGTCCCGACAAATACCCGGGTGCTTCTGCCATTGAAAACGAGCTGGGCCAAGTCACTAACTTGAGGTTCAAGAGCTTGGATGAGCGTACGGCGTTGGCTAATCAACTCCTTGCGCCCTCTAACTGGCGCATGAAGGGATCTCGCAACAAGAAAGTCTACCGTCATCTTACTACCGGTGATGTTGTATTGATGAACCGTCAGCCTACCCTCCACAAGCCATCTATCATGGGTCACAAAGCCCGTGTCCTTCCCAACGAGAGAACAATTCGCATGCACTACGCCAACTGTAATACCTACAATGCGGATTTCGATGGTGACGAGATGAACATGCACTTCCCTCAGAACGAACTTGCGAGATCAGAGGCGATGATGCTTGCGGATGCGGACCACCAATATCTTGTCGCAACGTCCGGCAAGCCTCTGCGTGGTTTGATTCAGGATCATATCTCCATGAGCACCTGGTTCACGTGCAGAGACAGTTTCTTTGAGGAGGAGGATTACCACGAGCTCTTGTACAGCTGTTTGAGACCCGAGAATTCTCACACGATTACCGACCGCATTCAATTGATTGGCCCAGCAGTCATCCGACCCAAGCCTCTCTGGACCGGCAAACAAGTCATCACGACCATTCTTAAGAACATCATGCCTCCCGGGAGAGCCGGTCTTAACCTGAAGAGCAAGTCCTCCACGCCCGGTGACCGCTGGGGTGAGGGTAACGAAGAAGGCACAGTCATCTTCAAGGACGGCGAGTTGCTTTGCGGCATTCTCGATAAGAAGCAGATCGGTCCTACTGCTGGCGGTCTGGTTGATGCCATTCACGAAATCTATGGACACACTATCGCGGGTCGATTGATCAGTATCCTGGGTCGACTTTTGACCAGGTTCTTGAACATGCGCGCGTTTACTTGTGGCATTGACGATCTTCGTTTGACCAAGGAAGGTGATCGCGTTCGCAGAGAAAAGATCAGCGAGGCTGCCGCCATCGGTCGTGAGGTTGCGCTGAAGTATGTCACTCTTGACGAGGCCACGGGCGGCGATCAGGAGGCCGAGCTGAATCGGCGCATGGAGGAGGTTCTTCGCGACGATGAGAAGCAGAGTGGTCTTGATAGTGTCTCCAACGCTCGCACTGCCAAGTTGTCCACTGAAATCACCAAGGCTTGTCTTCCTGGAGGTCTTGTCAAGCCGTTCCCATGGAACCAGATGCAGTCGATGACGATTTCTGGAGCCAAGGGTTCTAGCGTCAACGCCAACCTGATCTCCTGCAACCTTGGACAGCAGGTTTTGGAAGGTCGCCGTGTACCTGTCATGGTGAGCGGTAAGACGCTGCCCTCTTTCCGCGCGTTTGATACGAATCCTATGGCTGGCGGTTATGTGTGTGGTCGTTTCTTGACTGGTATCAAGCCTCAGGAATATTACTTCCACGCCATGGCTGGTCGTGAGGGTCTAATTGATACTGCCGTCAAGACTTCTAGATCCGGTTATCTGCAGCGTTGTTTGATCAAGGGAATGGAAGGCTTGCGGGCGGAGTATGACACTTCGGTCCGTGAGGCTTCAGATGGTTCTATTGTACAGTTCTTGTACGGTGAGGACGGTCTGGATATCACGAAGCAGGTCCACCTGAAGAATTTCGACTTCTTGGCCTCCAATTACCTTTCCATCATGTCGCAGGTTAATCTGACGAGCGACTTCCACGGCTTGGAGAAGGAAGATGTCGTCAACTGGCACAAGGATGCTATCAAGAAGGTCCGAAAGACAGGCAAGATCGATGCTATGGACCCTGTTCTTTCTCTCTATCACCCTGGAGGCAATCTGGGCAGTATCTCCGAAGCATTCTCACAAGCACTCAAGAAGGTAAGTGTCCATTGAAGATCCCGCTCATAACTCTCCGTCAGAAACTGACATACTTCATTAGTACGAGGATGCCAACGCGGATGGATTGCTCAGAGATAAGAAGAAGAACATCGAGGGTGTCATCACCAAGAAGTCGTTCAACACTCTGATGAACATGAAGTACATGAAGTCTGTCGTTGACCCTGGTGAGGCTGTTGGTATTGTGGCCGGCCAATCTATCGGCGAACCCTCCACTCAGATGACCCTGAACACTTTCCACTTGGCTGGTCACTCCGCAAAGAACGTCACGCTGGGTATTCCCCGTCTTCGTGAAATCGTTATGACGGCTAGTGCTCACATCATGACCCCTACCATGACCCTGGTTCTGAATGAAGAGCTCTCCAAGGAACACTCCGAGAGATTCGCCAAAGCCATCAGCAAGCTCAGCATCGCAGAGGTGGTTGACAAGGTTCAGGTCAAGGAGAGAGTTTCCTCCGGCAGCATGAAGGCCAAAATCTACGACATCGAAATCTCGTTCTTCCCTCCTGAGGAGTACACTGCCGAGTATGCCATCACGACGAAGGACGTGCAGAACGCTCTGCAAAACAAGTTCATCCCTAGACTTGTGAAGCTCACCAAGGCCGAGCTCAAGAAGCGTAACGAAGAGAAGACCCTCAAGAAGTTCTCGACCGCCCAGCCTGAGATTGGTGTTTCCGTTGGTACGATCCAGGATGGCCCTAGCGGCAGGGATGCCGAGGAAGAGCCGATGGATGACGATGTCGAAGACGATGAGGATGATGCCAAGAGAGCCCGCGGCAACCAGAACCGCAACAACCAGGTCTCCTACGAAGGTCCCGAGGACGAAGAGGCGAACATGGTGCGCCAGCAGGATGCCTTGGATGAGGATGAGGATGACGAGGTCGAAACCGCGCGCCAAAATCGGGACATCAACATGGATGATGTCTCCGACGATGAGTCCGACGACCAGGGCAAAGACGCCCAATTGCGTGAGGAAGACATCAAGAACAAGTTCGGCGAGGTCACCCAGTTCAAGTTCAACCCCAAGAAGGGTGGGTCTTGCTCCATCCAATTGCAGTACGACATTGATACCCCCAAGCTTTTGCTGTTGCCCTTGGTCGAAGACGCTGCCCGTACCGCGGTCATTCAGTCCATCCCTGGCCTGGGCAACTGCACTTTCGTGGAGGCAGACCCCGTCAAGGGCGATCCCTCCTATGTCATCACGGAAGGTGTCAACTTGTTGGCCATGCGCGACTACCAGGACATCATCAAGCCTCACTCCCTGTACACCAACTCGATCCACCACATGCTCACTCTTTACGGTGTTGAGGCCGCTCGTGCCTCGATTGTCCGCGAGATGTCCGACGTCTTCGAGGGTCACAGCATCTCCGTCGACAACCGCCACCTGAACCTGATCGGTGACGTGATGACCCAGTCCGGTGGCTTCCGTCCCTTCAACCGTAACGGCCTGGTGAAGGACAGCTCCTCTCCCTTGGCCAAGATGAGCTTCGAGACGACGGTCGGCTACCTCAAGGAGGCCGTCGTGGAGAGAGACTTCGACAACCTCAAGAGTCCCAGTGCCCGTATCGTTGTTGGTCGTACCGGCATCGTGGGTACTGGTGCGTTTGATGTCCTTGCTCCTGTGGCTTAGACCAATCTTCTGTGGATGCATTTCTTCGCGTTGTATATGCTTGCCTGTTTGATTTCCATGTAACCCTACGCATTCTATCCTCCTGTTTCCCATTCGTCGTATCTCTGACGTGTCCAACGATTTTCTGGAGTTGTCTTTTCAGCGGAATAAGAAAAGTCCTTCTTATTATTTCTCTCAGAAATAAATAGCATTCAATTAAGAGTATGAATCTTTGATCAGGAAAAGCATAAGGCCGAAACACAGATCTTTAAGATTTTTCTCCATTTTTGCAGAATCATTGCGCTGTATTGTAACTATACATTCATCGACCCTTCAACACCGATTCCATCCGTGGTATCATGCAATCTATGCAAGCATTTTTCTGAGCCGAAAATAAAAGGTCGTAAACAAAAGATCGCCAATATGAGCATAAGATCGAGGGTGAGAGGGAGTTAAAGAGACCCCCCCCCTAGATGCGCCCGCAGGAATAATCACTGAGCATCCAACATCATCAGGTCTTCATCAATATCATCATCGAACTCATCGTCTGGTGGTATGGCGGCACCGCCGCCACCACCATAATGAGCGCCATTTGCTGCATGCGCATTGGCGCGCTCTTCCTCTCGCCGCAGCCGCTCCTCCTCCAACACCTGCTTTTCACGGTGCTTCTCCAAGTCGGCTATGCTCCACGTCGAAATTCCTTCTTGGTCGCGGGCCTTGAACGGCTGAGCCATGGTCCGCAGGAAGTTCTTGGCGGTCGCGACGGCCATGTCTGTGCTGAGGTTGGTCTCGCTTTCCAGCATGGCCTGACTGATCCACTTGGGGAGCTGATTGCGCTTCTTCTGGAAGCGGCGATCTGCCAGGACCATGACTCCGTAGTCGTCCTTACCACGCAGCACACGACCCAGGCACTGGGCGGCGTGCCGCATGGCGTCGAAGGAGAGGAAGTCGTTCTCCCGGATGCGGTAGTTCTCGCGGAGGAACTCGAGGCGGGCCTTCAGGATGCGGGACTCGGTGTACTGGAACGGCACGCCGATGTTGATCACCGCGCGGCCGTAGTGGTGATCGAAATCGATACCCTCGGAGACTTTGCCTCGAGCGACGCAGAAAAGGAGGGCCCCACGGCCGTTGCAGCAGGCCGTGCGGTAGGTCTCCAGAGCTAGCGATGACTCTTGCGCATCGGGGGTCTCGACAAGGATCAGTTTGTAATTCCAGATGGAATCCAAGATGCCCATGCCCTGCCACATGCTAATGATGGATTCCATGTAGAGATAAGATGGGAAGAAGACGACAATGCCGTCCGGGGTGATGCGAGCAAACTCCAGAACCATGTTTCCATAATTGCGCACGACACCGGGATCATTGCGGATCTGGAATGAGGACGAAATCTGGGCTTGGTCGGATCCGCGGGTGACGATCATGGGTAGAAAAGACCGACGTGCAAGGGTCATGCTGTACGACTCCTGCAGAACGGTGTCGAAGCCTAGCATCTTAGGGTACATTTCGAGGGGTGACAGGGTACCGGATGTGATGATGACGGAGCTGAATCGGTCGAAGACGGGTTTGATCGCTATAGCGGCATCCAAACATGTGAAATGCAGCACTGGGTTGGGTACTGTGGCTGCTTCCGACTCGAACGGCTCTAAGATCAGAAGGAAACCCTTCTCGTATGTGGCTACCAAGGTAGCGAAGGTCGCGACCTCTTGGAGTGGTTGGTAGTCCTCTATGTTGATGAGTTCGAGGGTGCGCACGAGTGATGTAAGCCGCTCGGCGCAGAATCGCAAGGGCTTGCGCTCGATATATGTGAGGTCCTTGACGTGTGTCAAGAACGATAAAGGGGTTTCGGAGATAGTGTGTGTAACCTTCATACGAGTCTTCAAATATTCAATGAAGCGTTTGAGGAAAGTGACAAAGTGTTCGGCGCGACGAATATTTCCCGGTACAGCTTCCTTGAGCAAATCGTCTGGAAGGACTGGGTTTGAGATGAATTGATCCTCCTCTCTAGCTTGTTCTGCCTCCCGGAGTCCTTCAACCAGCTTCGTGTATTCATTTTGAAGCTTCTCAGCATCTGAGCTTTTCATCTCGCTGATTTTGCGTTCGAGGTTGTTCGCGCCGCGTGTGGCCTTCCGTAAAGAATCTTCGGTCAAGTCGATGCTCAGAGACTCAATGCAGACGTTGTCGATGTTGTGTGCCTCATCGAAAACAACTATGCAGTCTTTGGAAAGCTCCTTGGATACTCTTTCGGCGATCTTTGGATCGAGGAGGTAGTGGTAGGAATATATGATGACGTTGCAGAAGGGCATCTAAATGAGAGACGAGCACATGAGATTCCGAAGCTGGTCTGCTAGAGCTTTGGATAACCTACCATACGACGGGCTGAAAAGTATGGGCATTGTTTGTGCTCCTCGCCATACCTGCTCAACCCATCAAGGGTGAAGACGCCGGGAGGTACGAGGTTGTGCGGTTCGAGTAAGTCGAGGTTCTGTAAGGCGTCAACAAATCGTCACATCCCTCAAGACGACAAATCAAATTCTCCGTACCTCGTGATATACGCACAGTTCAACATCTTCACCTCGTTCCTTCTTTTCCTTGACAAACCCCGCAGTTAGACTCCGACACCTCGCATCCACCACTGTGCCACTCTTTTCTCGCTTGACTGAGGGATGGAGACACAGGTTCTTTCGACTGGTCAGTCCGAGCGCGCGAAAATCTTCGGTGTAGCCAAGCTCTTTAGCACGGAAGCTCATGAGGGCCTTCAACTCCGCCAGCGCTTTCTCGATCTCAGACATTGTTCGAGAGCAATAGATGAGCTTTCTATGTTCGGGATAATGTTGCTGATACGCCACAATCAACGATAGCAGCGAGACCGTCTTTCCGGTACCCGAAGGCATCTCGAGGACACAGTGACCCCCGGCATCGAGGGTCTTCTTGAGATCGCACATGTAGGCATACTGTTCGGGATAGATGCGAGGATAAGGGAAGAGCACGGGAAGATCACTAGAGGCCGGAATCAGATTAGAAGCTTGTTCCTAGGAGATAGGTCGCTGGAAAGAGGCAGAGGTGCGAGCCGAAACTTACTCAATGAAGAACTTCATCGTGACGGGATGAGCGCAGTGCTCGCGACAAGACCGAGAGGATTTTCCGACGCTGTATCTTTCAGTTCGCCTCCTACAGATCTTCCTTCTAGAACCGCGCCGGCTTTTGCCCAATCGGGCGATCGATGACACCTGATCACGTGAAATCCCGATACGGACGCCGATAATGTAATGGATGGATTCCGAATGCCGCTGGATTTGAGATGAAGACGATGACACACTACAGCTCGATTGACGGGGATTTTTGGAGTAACGGACCTTGCAGCGTGGATTACTGTTTGATTTGACTCAGCGGTCTGATATAAATACCTCTGGCTTGCACCTGACACCCACAATTGTGTGTCAAATCACCATCAACCATCTTATTTCGTCATTTTCTCTACACCCCGCCATCCCCCACTCTATTATGAGCAGCAAAAAGTACAAGTCCCAGGCCTCAAGCAGCCGCGCTGCCGCCAGCACATTCGGCGCATTCGGGGGTTTCTCCAGCGCATTTTCCAGTCAGGGAAGGGAACCTTCATCTCTCACATACGTAACAGAGCCTCCGGATCTCTCCCGGATATCGGAGGCGCAGTTGACGATCGCATTCAAGAATTTCCTTAAGAAGGATGAGGTTACACGCATCAAAGCTTTAGATGACCTGCGCGACCACGTTCTGGCCATCGAGAGCCGCAGCGGGACCTTAGATGATGGATTTCTGGAAGCTTGGGTAGGTCTACATGGAGTTTACACTTGCACTTGAGCACTCGTTGATCGTGGTTCGGTACCCTGGCAGGTCAAAATCTACCCACGCGCCTCAATAGATCTTTCTCGGAGAGTGAGGCAGACAGCGCACTCGACTCAAGGTACCATTGCGTTTCTCGTCGGGAAGCGCATTGCCCGCTTCTTGCCCAAGGTGATTGGCGCATGGCTAGCGGGACTATACGACAATGATCGGCCAGTTCATCGCGCTGCTCTGGAAGCTTTTACGCGAGTTTTCTCAACCGATGAGAAGAGAAACGGTGTTTGGAAGATCTATCAGTCTTCCATTCTGGACTTTGTGGATGATGTCATCCTTCAGCAGACTCCTCAAACGTTAAGTGATGAGAGAACAGTCAAGGCAGACGACGCCACAGCCAAATATGCACGAGTGGCCGGAACCGCTCTCTTACTCTTCAACAGGATACTCGGTATGAACCTCCATCTTGCGGCTGATTTTGGCACTGTCTGATGTTTGCCATACAGGAAACTCCGCACAAGAAGATCTGGACAAGGCAACGCCCACCATAGAAACACTTCTGGGAAGTAAGTCTCTATGGGCTTTGTCGTATCATGATGATCCTTTTGTCCGTCGGTCACTCTATGTTCTCGCGCGCACCGCTGTCTCCAAGCAACCCGAGGAACTGGATTGGAAACTGATCAGTGCCGCTCTCATTGGCAAGTCTTTGCACTGCAGCCAACTGGGTTCTGCAACAGAGCTCTCTGAGACCATATTACACGTAACCTCTGCAAGGCCTCAGTTGTGGACGGACGACTACTCGGGAAAGTCCTCGTCTTCGAAAAGACTTCTTCAGTATCTTCAGAAAGGTTCCCAGGGGGGTGCAAGCTCGTTCTGGACGAATGTTTATCAATTGCTACAGATTATGCCACTAAAGACTATTGCACAAGTTGGTTCAGAGACACCCGAAGAGAATAACGTCGGAGTGGCAAGTGCGCTTGCATTGACAGAGTCGTTCCACAATGGACTGATTTCCAGAGATGAGCCCCGGCAAAACCGAGCTGTTGGCTGGAAAGCTTACATTGACACTGTAATGTGGCTTGTAAGCCGGCTCGGTGAGGATGACGGGCTGAACTTGTTGCGCCGAAGGCTTCAACCTTTGATTCTTAAACACGTGAAGCCTGATCCAGACCAGAATCAATGGGCTTTACCTCCTCAGTCATCAGAGTCCATTTGCACAGATTCCCTTCTTGCACTCGTCACGTCGGGTCATAAGCATACCCTGGAGGAGACGTGGAAGGAGCTGTCGGATAGCTTGCTCGAGGCTGTGAGACTGTCTTCGCCGGAACAATCGAGAGATTTCAAGTCTTCCCAGGACGCGGTCTGCGCACAAGCCGAACGTCTGCTCGGCTTGGAAGCCTCCTTACTTTCTCGAGTGAAAGAGACAGAACATGAGGCTGCAGTCCTGGATGCGTTCACTCAAACTAACCTACCTTTGCTGGATAACTGCCTGGAGGTCCTGCGCTCGAGGAATGGCAAACCGTACGGAGCTGCTGCCGTCGTCGAACAAGCCGTGCTCAATGTTGCATCAATCGCTAAAGCCTCTCAGTCACTATTGAGCTTTGTTCAGGATGACGCACCGGAACTCTTATCGTCGCCTTCTGCTGATAGGCTGGTCTCGATCATTTTGTCGTGTCGATCGTGGGAGGGATTCGGTCCGAGCTTCGAGAAGGTCTTAGATAGAGTCACTCAGTTTGATCCAGTATCTTCGAATGCGCCCACTGTCCAGAAGCTACTTTCTACTTTGGACTTCAAGGAATTGGACGACAAGAGTGGACTTATCTCTCTGATCACGCGGGCCCTCGATCGAGCCTGCAATGGGAGTGATTTGCATTGGTCAATTCTGATAGCAGTGCTTCATAACGAAACCTCACATGGATCACTAACAGACACGATTTTCCTCGCTATCATAGATGCCTTGTCCGATGAGACCAAGGTTCTACACACCTTGCATGGTCTCTCTCAAATCGCTCGGGCTGTGCCCTCGGCATTCAAAACTTTCCAAAATGGGCTTCACGGCTCTAAACTCACTGGGAAATTACTCTTCCTTGCCGAGTCTTCATCTGAAGATGTTGCAAGTATGGCTAAATCCTTGACCAAAACCTTGAAGGAGTCAATTGTTAGTGAGACGAGTGCGAACAAATCGAGCTTTGAGATTTTGCAGCACAGTTTTGACAATGTCAACGAACAGTCGCTATCGTGAGTTTCAACGCAGAATGGCGAGAAGGATGATCAAGACTAATGATTTTAGGGTCGAATCACTGGTGAGCATCGCCGAAGAATTGCTGCATAACGCCAGTGCGGAAGAGATTGGCAAGATCGCCAAGGATATCCTGCCCTCTCGCGAGTCGTGGGAGAAAGCTTTAGGCCCATTCCTTGAGCTCCCTCCGAGACCTTCGACAGCCATCACTAGCCCGCTTAGTGGTACCGTGCACCTCGTCAACCGTACGTTGTCGGAGACACTTCCCCAGCGATACGAAAGCCTCCCACGAGATTCGAATAATTCATCATCAGCATTCAGATTGACATATTTCACTATCAGAGTTCTTTCGTCTGTTGATCTTGCTAAAAATCTAGCCAAGGCTGAGTTGGAGACATTATTCTACAATATTCCCTTGGCATTGCAGCTCATTGACGACGACTTGAGTATTGAAAACAGTAACGGCATCAGCGGTATCTCGCTTCCCGAGCAAAGGGAGGAGTATATGGATGTTGTCAACGATGGTTGGAAGGTGATTAGTGGCTGGGCCCAATCGCAAGAAAAAGGTGCAGCTGGAGCAGAGACAACCAGCTCAATGCTCTTTGAGTTCTGGAAAGAGAGACTAGAGAAGCTAGACAGCCTTACACCGGTAGACTATCATGTTGGAGTCGCTTTTGTGAAGGTCCTGGCCACCACCGACTCCTCGAATAACATGAAATCGTCGGAAGAGGTGACGCAGCTCTGCAGAAATATGCGCAAAGCAAACGCTGTTTGCTCAGCTGCTTGGGTTGCTACGTTGCGCCATGCTATCCTTTCTAACCCCTCCGGTACGCGGTTGTGCAACGAATTTGTTGCAGACTCTACGGGACTGAAGCCCCAGGATGGTAACAATGACGGTCAGTATGCGTTGAACGTACGCAGGGCGAATGCTAATTTCCACAGGGCTGCGAAAGCTGGTACTGCTCAATCTCTTGCTTGCTGGAGATCAAGATGTCGCGGCATCTATCCCGACTCAACGTTTGATGTTCCTGATCAAGCATCTCATCCAATGCCTCAAGTCTGATTCTGTATCCCTCAGCCTCAAAGCAGAAATTCTTCAGACCCTGGTCTTTGTACTTCCGCGCATTCAAGATATGTACGGATCTCACTGGGAAGACTGCCTGGAAATCCTTGACGCGACTTGGACGGGGACTAGCGGCGGTGACGAGGCCCTTCCTGTGCTCTTGTCATCCTTCAAACTCTTCTCTAAGATACAGTCAATCGTTAGCGACGAAGAGAGCAATGATGATGTGAAGGATGCATGGTCGGACCGGAAGTCAAAACTCTTTAATAGCTTAGCCTCGACGCTGCGCAAATTTGGTAAGTCCATTTCGTCTTGCTATCCTGGATTTTATTAATGGACGATATAGAATCCTCAACTACCTATGATCAACCCCGGGATATTACGGTTGGACTGCTGTGTCGATTCTTTCAAACCATCCCGGTCGAGAGCTTGGAGGACGTTAGCAACGTCTTCTCGCTCCTCACGGCGCAAAGTCGAACTATTCAGCGGGCCGCCTACACTTTGCTTCACCGGTACATTCCCAGCGTGCAGGAGCAGGTCTCGTTCGACGTGGCTCTATCGAAGACGACAGTCCGGCTACCCGACGAGCTCGTGTCCTTGCTGCTTGGCGCACCCACTATGGATGCAATCCACAGTTCTTATGGTGACGAGAGGATCTGGACTGAGTTACGGTCCTACCTGCTCAGCTGGAAGATCGTTTTTGATCATTTCGTCAACGCGGTACGTTCATCTGTGTAAATACGCTATAGAAAGTGGGCAGTATCTGACTGACGAATCTAGTCTCTCACTGTTCAAGAGAACTATGTTGCTAGCATCCGGGAAAATGAGAGCTTGGATCCGCTTCTGGAGCTCACATTTGACTTCCTCCAGCAATCTCATGGCAAGATGATTGATGCGTCCAAGTTTGATGTTCGCTCCTTTGAACCGGATCAGTCTGAGACCCCGGAGAAGGAGATTCAGTGGCTCCTCGTTCACTTGTACTTTTTGTGCCTGAAGCACTTGGCCAATATGACCAAAGGATGGTGGATTGATACGAAGAAGCGCATCAAGGGACCAGTAGAAGCCTGGACCGAGAAATACGTATGGCACCCCAGCGCGTTTCTGAACCTCGTCACTAATCCACTATAGGTTTCACCGTTGGTTATTGAAGACGCACTGCAAGGAGTCACCGAGTGGACTCTGACTCAAGATCCCAATGAAGAGCGTGCGCTGCAGGTGAAGATTTCACCAAAGACTGCCGAGATCATCGCCAGCATTCCAGTCGACGAGGATTCCCCGCCAGTAGCGCTGTCGATTTCTCTCCCACCTGCCTACCCACTTCAGCCCGCGTTGGTAGTTGGGCGGAGTCGTGTGCTGGTGGATGAGAGAAAGTGGAAGAACTGGCTGACCACCATCCAGGGAGTCATCATGTTTGCAAATGGAAACATGGTGGACGGGTTGCTCGCGTTCCGAAAGAACGTGCAAGGTGCGCTCAAGGGGCAGAGTGAGTGCGCCATTTGCTATTCAGTTATCTCGACGGACATGCAGACCCCGAACAAGCGGTGCGCGACGTGCAAGAACACGTTCCATTCGGTATGTCTGTTCCGGTGGTTCAAGAGCAGTAACCAGAGCACTTGCCCGCTGTGCCGGAACAACTTTGTTTATGTTTGAGGTGCTGTGGAGGATGCGGGGGTGGTACTGTACATAATGGAAAAGGGGTCTACGGTGACCAGCGTGGTAGACACATAGAATAAGTTATACTATCAAGTTATAGAGAGCTTTCTTCCCTGCCAATTCATGCCTGAAAAACCAGGCAGCATGGACAACGCCCGCCGCGGGAATCTCCCCTCAGTTTGCAAAGCGCGAGGTTTCCCCTCTTTTTACCCACTCCGCTCCTCTCCCTCATGTCGGCTTCACAGATCCCCAATCTCAACACCCTGCGCCGCGGCGGAGGTCGCGGTCGCTTCCGCGGTCGAGGCGGAGGCGAGACCGGACGAGGAGGGGGGTCTGCCTCCAAAGACCGCGTGGTGCAAGGCACTGACAATGACGCCAGCGTCTCCCGCCTCAGCGCGGTGAACCTGGGCTATCTCGAAGACCCATTTGCTTCAGCCCTGTGTCCTCCAGGGCAAGAAACCCGTCGTCTGCCGATTATCAACCGAGGTATGTGTACACCTTTGTCTCAAGTCCCAACTATTTGCTCTTTCCCTTGATTTACCGAGACACATACAACACATAACGAACTAACACCGCCTCCGTGACAAAAGGCACCTACGTCCGCACCACAACAATCGACCACCTCCTCACGCACTTCCTCCACTCCGCAGTAACCCACCACCATACAAACAACCAGGCCACCCCTCCATCACAACCCACCTCTCCCGCTGCTCCGAAGAAACAGATCATCTCCCTCGGCGCCGGCTCCGACACCCGCATCTTCCGCCTCCTGACCTCCCTCCCGCCCTCGCACCACGCATCCCTCGTCTACCACGAACTCGACTTCTCGGTCAATACCGCGGCGAAGATCCGCGCCATCCGCGCCTCTCCACTCCTCCAGCGCGCGTTGGGGTTGGGCGCGGGCGCAGGACCGGGGTCTCCATCCCCGCACGATGTGACCATCTCCCCGGCTGCCGATGCACTGCACACCCCACACTACCATCTTCATCCTGTTGATCTTCGGCAGTTGGCTGCATTAGCATCGTCGAGATCGCCGGCTGCAAAAGCGGGAGGAGGAGGAGCAACAACCACCACCACCACCACAACAACAACAGCAGCAGCAGCGGCAGCGGCAGCGGCAGCACTCGACCTCCAAACCCTCCTCCCAGGCCTTGACACCAGTCTACCCACCGTCTTAATCTCAGAATGTTGTTTGATCTACCTCGAGCCAGAGGAAGCGGATGCTGTAGTGGAGTTCTTCACGGGAGTGTTTTCAGCCCCTACCACCACAAGCACCGCAACCGCAACCACAACCGCAACCCCCCTAGGCCTCATCCTCTACGAACCCATCCGCCCCGACGACGCTTTCGGGAAAACAATGGTCTCCAACCTCGCGACACGCGGGATCCAGCTGCAGACGCTGCATCGGTACGCGAGCCTGGCGGCGCAGCGGGAACGGCTCCGCGCGCATGGGTTTGTGGACGGGCAGGCGGCGGCGGATGTGGATTTCCTGTGGGAGCGCTGGGTGGGCGAGACGGAGAAGGAGCGGGTCGCGGGGCTGGAGATGTTGGATGAGATGGAAGAGTGGCGGTTGTTGGCGCGGCATTATTGCGTGGCGTGGGGGTGGAGGGCGGGTGTAGATTCCAGGGTGAATGTGTTTGAGGGGTGGGGGTTATTGGAGGGGCAGCGGGAGTGATACTGCTTTTTGGGTTTAGAGATGGGAGATGTAAGTTGAGCTGCGGTGACCTGTGGTCGTGATTGTAGCGTGCAACAACATTGAAAGGGAAGGAAAGGAAGGGAGGGAGGGAGGGAGACAGCTGCATAAGGCTGTGCTACAAAAGCTACTTCGATGACCATTTGCAGCCCTCATGTATAACAACTACTACTATACTATACCTACCTAGTCCGCTAGCCCCAATCCCAGCTAGGTAGCGTCATCCTCAACCCCACCCCCCCAAGAAATGCTACCTACCCAAAGAAAAAAGAAAGAGACTACAACCTCCCCTGCTCCAAGAACCGCACCGGCACATCCACAACCCTTGCCCGCAAAAACTCGGCGACGTTCTTCCCCAGAAAATCCACCGTCACCGTCGCGCACACCCCGCGGTCCAACAGATTCCGAAACAAGAAGTGCACCGCCCGGAGATGGGGCAGCTCGAACCGCTCCACTTTCAGATCGGGATTGGATGTGTATTGCGGCCCCAAGAGCTCCCGGATGGTCGTCTCCGTCAGCACGCACCGCAACCAGGGGAATTCGTCCGCATGGCGCACCCAGAAGCCGCAGTTGGCGTCGGGGCCTTTGTCGCCGGAGCGGGCGTAGACGATCCAGCCTAGTGGGGCCGGGGTGGTTGGGCCGAAGGGTTTGCTGGAGAGAAGGTTTGGTGATGCGGGTGCGGGAGGGATGGGAGGTGGGGATGGTATTTGGGATTGCAGGGGAGACGAAGGGGGCGGGGGAATGTCTATGACTCCGGGGGGTTGGTCACCCTCGGCCGTTCTCTGCCAGGGAAGATGCACGCGGTGCTGGATGTCCGTCTGCGGCAGAAGACAGACGAAGTACTCGAAGATGGGCCGCGGGAAGCCCTGGCGGGTGTCAATGTGCCAGGTCGCCCCCGGGTAGCCCTGCATGATGTTGTCGGTGATGGGCCGCAGAAACCGGGAGGGCGCGAGGGCGTCGGCGGTGCGGGCCTGCGCGACGACGCGGAAGGTCACGGTGGCGCTGTCCTGGGTGCGCGGGTCGTCGGGCGCGGACCCTAGCGTGGAGAAGGTCAGTTGCGTAAAACCGGCGGCATAGGGGGCGAGGAGGTGGCGGATCTGCGCCTCCAGCATGCGCGCCTTGGCGGGGATGTCGAGTCCCACCAGGAAGTAACTCGCCTCGGCTTGGAACCCCCCCCGCGCGCTGATACCGACTTTGGTCGTCGCGGGCGGGGGTGCGGATCCCACCCCGTGCAGCGCCACGCGGTTCGTCCCGAGCTGCTCGAACGAGATATCGCTGAGCAGTGCGGTGACGTCCGAGTTGAGGTAGCGCGGGCCTTGGATCTCGTACAGCAGTTGCGCCGTGCAGGTGTCGACCGTGACGGCGCCACCCACGGCGGAGTTTTGCATCGTGATGATCACTTGCCCCTCCGAGGAGATCTCCGCAATCGGATATCCGATATTGGTCCATCCGTCCCGGCCGTTGAGGGATTCGAGCATCTTGAAGCCGGTGAAGTTGCCGCCGCAGACGTAGTTGCTGCATTCGATCAGGTGGCCGGCGACGAAAGCATTGGCGAGTCGGTCCAGGTCGCTGCGCTTCCAGCTGTGGAACCAGTATGCGGCCCCAATCACGGCCGATGCGTCCGCGACTCGTCCGCAGAGGACGATGTCCGCGCCGTTCGCAAGAGCGGCGGCAATCCCTAGTCCGCCAAGGTAGCACTGCGCGGAGATCGGCTCGAACGGCCAGTCCGACAGCGACTGGCCGGTATAGATGTTCTGGAGGTCGGACTTGCCCGACAACAGCGCATCCTTGACGGTCGACAGGACCTGATCTCCAGATACCCAAGCGACCTGCAGCGACGAGTGAGCACACGTTCCCATGGAGACGGCAACCATCAACCAGAAGTAGTGACCTTGAGGTCCAGTCCTTTCGATTTCACCAACTGCACGACAGCCTCGTACAGACCCTCCGTATCGGCATTGCCTGCGTTGACCGCCAGTCTCATCCGATACTTGGCTAGGTCCACCAGAGCCGGCTCGAGAGCGTGTAGAAATGACAGCTCATATGCAGGCGCGGGCGTGGGATTGGCGGATTTCCGGCCCGTTTGGACCTGTTCATTCCGCGCTTGCAGCTGGTCCATTCGGCGTGTTGCCCCGGCAGGCATGTTGGCCTCGCTCAGAAAATCGGCGGTAATCACATCCACCGGATCCTGAGGATAATTGCGTGCAAACTCCGCGATGGCATAATGCCGGTCTGAGGCGGAGCCGGAGGCACCTGGAGTAACTCAGTATCGAGCGGAATGAAAGGGCTCTCACGGCCTACCCGCAATGCGAATGGGACGCGAAGCCGTGGTCATGGTGGATTGATAGTGGTAGTGATACTGCAGATGAATTGTCTCTGGCTGCAAGTGAGCACCGAGCAATCATTAAGATGAAAAAGGCAAGGCAGGACAAGGCAGGCAAGGGGATCCCCAGTTGAGCCGAGGAGATTGGGCTGAACCAAGGACTGGCGATGCGGGGTTAGCCATTCAGATCAGTGAGACAAAGAACGGACTCAATTTAAGGCCAAAAGGATGAGTTAATTCACACAAACAAGTATGAATGATGTCACCTGCAACGTGGTGATGCTTCGCCAACCATGGTCTCTACAACATATCCGATTTTAGTGCATAATTCTCATGGCAATGAACAGGATCAAAAGGGAGGACGTTGTGATCGTCTTAATCTCCTCCCGATGGCGACGAGCCTAGCTCTCCATTTGTACTACGCCGGAGAGCTTATTGTTGTCCTTCACGGCTTGTTCACGGCGCCGGCAAGCCCATCAAGGCTGCGGTAGTTCCACTTCTTTTGGTAAGCCCGCATCTTGTTTGCCTGCCCAGTGAGCCAGTGTGTCTCGATCCTTCAAGTATGGCTTGGATCTCGGGATCAAGCTTCATGGACAGTCGCGGGACTCCATAACCGCATGGACGATTGAACCTGCACTCATCGTTATCGAAGACATATTAGTGAGATTTGAAGTAAATATCACCATGCATAAGCATGGATGAACAGTATTCGCACACAACTTCGTAGGAGTCGAAGTGCAGGAGATTTTCGTGGGAGAAAAGGTAGAGACGCAACCTTGAAGACGTCCAGGCGAGTGATCGCCCGTGCTCCAACCACGGCCTTGCCTCCCATGTGGTCCAGAGTGTGTGGAAACTCGGGCTGATCGATCATTAAGCCGTTGCAGAAGAAGCGCACGATCCTGGGCGCCGCGTCGAAGGAGCAGAACATGACCGAGATGCGATCACGCACATGGCTGATGGTCTCACTCCCCGACCCGATCGCGTCGATGTAAGCAGCTTCGTTTGGACCTAGTATGGCTCGGGAGGCATCCGATAACCCCTTGGGAGTGAGGAATTCATATGGCGACCTTGCAGCGGGGCGGAGGCGACCAAGAAGACGCTCTGTCGTAGAACCCCGTCCCGCATATCATCGGAGATGGACGGATAGAATTCGGGCATTGTGTGGCTTGCAACTTGATTCCTCGTCTAGTTGTCCAGAAGACTTGCGGGGTGTGCGAGAACAAGAGAGCAGGAGGATGCAGGAGGATGCAGGAGGATGCAAGCGAAGGAATGTGCGGAGTAGCGCAACCCCGTCAGCCGCGCTGTTCTCTTTACTGGCACGACCGGGCCTTGTGTCTGCCACGGACAGGTTCGAAAGTGATTATTGAATCTCTAGACATCACTACCGTAGAATCAGTCAGTCCTTGTGTAGCAAAAAGGCCCGCCCAGGTCAAGCTGCAAGAATCAGGTTCACTAGATGGGTCGACAAATATCTTCAGTGTCGGATGAACATTTCTTCTTCGATGATGAGCAAGAGTAAAGATTCTGCTCGGCCCTCAATCACCCATCATATCTCGATTGCTGGCCAGGTAATAATGATGGCATAAGTGTTGTATTCGAGCAGTGACTGTTAACTTACGCTTACGGAAATAAAATGGAATGAAACGGAATGAATCAACCCGAGACAGCGACCGGGGGAACTGGGACAAAGTACCGAGGGTCCGCTCTGGGGAAGAGCAGCCCCGTGACCAGGGCGATAACAAAAACCATTGGGGCGGTGACGTGGAGGGGAGACAATGATTGTCCAGGAATGGTTAATGCAGGGCAAGCTAGTCTAGTCTCTGTACTTCGTCTAGTTTAGTTCCGTAGAGTAACTTCTGTTCCTAGTACAATAGTCACTTCTACCTATCTGTTTGTCTAGATCTGGCTAAGCCATTACTACTGCGTCTGTACTCGGTAGATAAAAGTGGGTTGCCAAGCCAATCCCCCTCTGCGTATCAGCTTAAGTGTAGGGAGCTTGGCAGTGATTCATGTCTCACTTCTTGCAAAGCACCAGTTGACTTCCCTTGACCCGGCCGATCGACCTCAAACCAATATTGGCCCATTGGAACAGGGTTGATCTCCTGCAGGATGGAAGGGGGCAAAAGGTTGCAATAATGCCGATGGCTGCAATTGGCTGACGAGGGATTTGGCCGGAGATCAGAATTCAGTCAGTACAATTATGGACGGGACAGGCGCGAGTTATACTGGATTGAGAGCCGTCAATGAGTAGTAATCATCCCCACCCCGAGGCTAAGCGGAAAGGTTCCGCTCCACTATGAGCTTTGGTGACAGTCCATGAGAGAAAAGTGTGCAGCCTGGCCCCGGATTTCGAGAGCTGTGATGGTCAGGCAAGATGACGAAAGAGTTGAGAAGACAAAGGAAGTCATCACCCAGAGATTCCCAGTCTGATTGAATAGTTTGAGGGAAGAGTGTGTCTATTGACTGGAATGGAGGGGGCAGCAAAGATGGGAAATCGAGTTGCGGAACCCCCGCACGATCTCAACACCGAACCCACCCACGGAAAGATGGGAGCGGGGGCTCTTTGCAGTAACGAAACAGCGATGAAGGAATAGTCACCTCTCGAGATGGTAATTGCTGCACCCCGCCCCTTCGGCGACATCTTCTCCACCTCCATCCTTTATCCACCGAATGTTTCTCCGATTCCTCCGTCTCTCCATCCACTTCACAGCTCTCTGGTTCACCCCCCAGCTAGTAGTAGCTGCAATTCCTTTATTAATCACTGGAGCTTCTTCCCCTCATACTTCCCTTTTCTCCTTCTCTACTCTCCTCTCCACCTCTCCTCTCATACCATTCTAAATCTCACACCATGGCTGATCTCTTCACTACCATCGAGACTCCTCTCGTCAAATACGAACAGCCTCTTGGCTTGTATGTCTACCTCTTGTGTACTGTTTCTGTGTCCGGTTCAACCCCTCCGCTAACTCTTTTTCTTCTTTTTTTCCTTCTGCCTTTAGGTTCATCAACAACGAGTGGGTCAAGGGTGTCGAAGGCAAGACCTTCGAGACCATCAATCCTAGCACCGAGAAGCCCATCGTCTCCGTTCATGAAGCTACCGAAAAGGATGTCGACCTTGCCGTCGCTGCTGCCCGCAAGGCCTTTGAGGGTAGCTGGGGTCATGTCCACCCCCACCAGCGTGGCCGCTACTTGGTCAAGCTGGCTGACCTGTTCGAGCGCGATCTCGATATCCTGACCGCTATCGAGGCTCTCGACAACGGCAAGTCGGTCTCCATGGCCAGGGGGGATGTTACCGCCGCTGCCAAGTGCTTGCGCTACTATGGTGGCTGGGCCGACAAGGTCCACGGTCAGACTATCGATACCAACAACGAGACCTTTGCCTACACCCGTCACGAGCCCATCGGCGTTTGTGGTCAGATCATCCCCTGGAACTTCCCCCTCTTGATGTGGTCGTGGAAGATCGGTCCGGCTTTGGCCACCGGCAACACCGTCGTGCTCAAGTCTGCCGAGCAAACCCCCCTCTCTGCGCTCTACGCTGCTAAGTTGGTCAAGGAGGCTGGCATCCCCGCGGGTGTGGTCAACATTATCTCTGGCTTTGGTCGTGTGGCTGGCGCCGCTATCTCTAGCCACATGGACATCGACAAGGTCGCCTTCACCGGTTCTACTTTGGTGGGCCGGATGATCATGCAGGCTGCTGCCAAGAGCAACCTCAAGAAGGTGACGCTCGAGCTGGGTGGCAAGTCCCCGAACATCATCTTCAACGATGCCGACATTGACAACGCCATCACCTGGGCCAACTTTGGTATCTTCTACAACCACGGCCAGTGCTGCTGCGCTGGTTCCCGCCTTTTGGTTCAGGAGGGCATCTACGACAAGTTTGTTGCCCGTCTGAAGGAGCGGAGTGCCCAGAACAAGGTTGGCAACCCCTTCGACAAGGACACTTTCCAGGGTCCCCAAGTCTCCCAGCTGCAGTTTGACCGCATCATGGAATACATCGACCACGGCAAACAGGCCGGCGCGACGGTTGCGGTTGGTGGTGAGCGTCACGGCAACGAGGGCTACTTCATCCAGCCCACCGTCTTCACTGATGTCACTTCGGACATGAAGATTGTCCAAGAGGAGATTTTTGGTCCCGTCGTCACCGTGCAGAAGTTCAAGGACGTTGAAGACGCCATCAAGATTAGTAACAACACTTCCTACGGTAAGCCTTCCCGGTCTCCCGTGTCTTGACGACTTTGATGCTAAATTCACTCCCCAGGTCTCGCCGCTGGTATCCACACTAAGGATATTAACACTGCTCTCCGCGTGGCCAACCAGTTGCGTGCTGGGTATGTATTCTCCATCCCGCTACGAGTGCGATAGAAACAATACTGACAGTAGGAAATAGTACCGTCTGGGTCAACAGCTACAACCTGATCGACACTCAAGTGCCGTTTGGTGGCTTCAAGGAATCGGGCATTGGTCGCGAGCTGGGCTCGTATGCGCTGGAGAACTACACTCAGATCAAGGCTGTGTCTTTCCGCCTGACTGATGCTCCTTTCCCTTAAACAAGCGGGGGGAGGGTGCTGTGTGGGTGATTCGCTACGGAGACGGGTCATCGGGAAGTCAATTTGGGAATGGCGCCATGACTGGTTCATGTAAAACAATTTTTCAGGAAACGAATTTACGAGACGTTCACAGTTCAAGCCTCGTCATGCCTGATCCACCAGGTCATACCGTAGTTGGGGGAGGGTTTGAGGGCGAAGGCCGGGCTCGGGGCCAACTCAAGCCGAGTAACCCCTCGGGGTGAAGTTGGCCCGACACGGAGAAAGCCGTTGCAAGGTAGATTCTAATCACCGGTAGGGATCATCTGCTCTGCACAGGATTGTGTGCGAGGGCTGTTTAAACACCTGCAGCTTCTGCATTCGCTGTGACACAATGGCATGGATCCACCGCAATCCACTGATGAAGCCTGACTTCATCGGTCCTGGCTCGCACTGAGTCTATCACTCCATTCGGATTCCGTCTCTATGCACCAGAGCCGCTGCTATCGGGGGCGGCTTTTCCTGCATCAGATCCGAGATCAGTGAAATGGGTCATCATGGGCTTTTTGGGCACCAGGGCAGTGAACAACCGATATGGTACCACATCACAAGCACCATACTCATGGGACCCCGGTACACTTCTATCTGAATGGAGTTTCGTGCTGCTGTGATCCTGATGGGCTGACAATATCTGCCTGGGTGCTCTCTTCGTGTCGCACAGCCCACACTGTATGCGTGGCCCTCAAGCCAGACGGGACAAGCTAGATCATATATATGAAGAAGCACCAAGCACCTGAAAAGAGCTCTGGGTCTGCTCTCAAGCCGACGTGCATCCCCAGGCGGACAGTCAGTGACCCCTGCATCCAACCATGGCGGTCTCCCCGGATCTCTCCTTTCTTCTCGTCATCGGCCTGCAAAACCTGGTTATGCTCACCCTGCTCAGCCGGACCCCGAGAAACTCCTTTCTGCGCTGGATCTGTCTGCCCTCGATCCTCTACTTCGCCTACCTCGAGATCCTGCTCACCCGCCTGACCTCGACCAGCTTCGACGTCAAAATCCGGACGGGCGGCCACGCCTTCACGTTCCTCATCCAGTTCATCGACCTCCTGTTCATCACCAACGTCGACCTGACGACGACCATCCAGCCCAACCGACTCCAGACCGCCTGGCGATATCTCCTGACCATCCGCGGCATCGGCACCCCCTGGCAGCTGAAGCAGCTCCCCGCCTACCCGCGGGTACTGCGCACCAACCCTCCCCCTTCGCGGACGCAGTATGCCGTGCGCCACCTGGCCATCGTCGTCTGGCAGGTCTTGTTTCTCCGTCTCCTCGCGCACCCATCCTTGCACCCCTCGCAACCCTTCTACGATGACGGGCAGGAATTCTCCTATCGTCTGACCCAATGGCCCAGTCGGCTGGTAAGCACCTACATCCTCGGCGTGATTCCCTCTTATCTCTTCCTGGATATCCTGTACCGGTGCGGCGCCATGGTCGCCGTGGGCACCGGTCTGCAAACCATGGCTGACTGGCCGCCTCTCTTTGGTAATCTGGCGGATGCTTGGACACTTCGTGGTTTCTGGGGGTAAGTACCCCATCCCCATCCCCATCCCCATCCCCGTTCCCCTGATAAACTCCAGATCATAACCCCCCAACGAAAACTCCCCCTGACCCCGTACCCCATACCCCTGCACAAAATTCAAAAAGCATCCCTCCCTAACATCCAAGCACCGTACCCACCCCCCGAATAGAAAATTCTGGCACCAATACCTCCGCTGGCCCTTCACCACCCTCTCCACCTTCCTCACCGGACAAGTCTTGGGTCTTCGTCGCCACTCGCTCCTGGAGCGCTACCTCAACACCTTCCTCATCTTCTTCCTCTCCATGGCCAGCCACACCGTCTGCGAGATCGTGGCCGGGGTCGAGGGGGGCCATCGCGGGAACTTCTTGTTCTTTGCGGCCCAGGTCCCGGCGATTATGTTTGAGGATGCCGTGCGGTATGTTTGGGGGTGGTGGGTGATGCGGAGGCAGCAATATGTTGTAGCCGGTCAGAGTCTTCAATGGCGGATGAGGACGCAGAAGGAGGAGGAGGAAAGGGAGGAGGGGAAAGGCGTGACTGCTGCTGCTGCTGCTGCTGCTCCTTCTCCTCCCCCCCGTCTCTGGCAGCGCATGCTAGGCGCAAGCTGGGTCATCACCTGGATAGCTTTCTCGTGGACCTGGTATTATTTTCCAATCATCCGGTCGATGATCAAGCAGGAGGACCGGATGGTGGCGCCGCCACCGGGAGCGGCAACTGATTGGGACTGGAGGACGTCGGGTCTGCTCGGGTTGGTGGTCGGGGGTGCGGTGTTGCTTCGCGTGGTGTTTAGGGCTGAGCTGTGAGGGAGGGGGCTTGGTGAGGGTGTATCTTCGGGGGGTGGGTGGTAAGAGAGTCTAGTGACTCGTCAGCGTCGAGACGCGACTAGGATGGACTGGTTGGTGTTGTGGGGACTGACTTTGAAGCCTTTGGCTGGGCTTGCGGATGTATGGACTTGTAGCTCATGCTGACAGGCAGACTGACTTAACTTATGATATTCATATTACGGATCAGTTCAATTGATACAATTAATATCAACTTTCAAGCCGGCGTTCATTCCAGTCATCAAGTCTAGCCAGCCCGTATCGTATAAGTACATCTCGTCTGAGAAGAAGTAGAAGAAGTAGAATACATAAGAAACAAAACCCCCGCTCGCTTCCCCCCCCGCCCCAATACCAGCGCCAGTTCTCAGCAATCACTCGACCTAAATCCAATTGACCGCATGCAAGAATCATAGATAATTAAACCACAGCTCCCGCTGCAACTCCTCCAACCGTCGCAGTCCTCCCGACACCCTCCCCAGCGCATCCGTCAAGAACGCACTCCTCGTCGCGCCCGCCCGCGGGGCCGACCATCTCGTCCACCCGCGCGACATGGCCCGCTGGAACGTCGTCTCGGCGTGCGTGTCGGGCCCCAGGGGGGCCAGCTCGACCACCGCCTCCGGACCAAGCGTCAAAAGATACCAGACCCACTCGTGCAGCATGATCATGCCTTGATTCCGTTTCTCCGTGTTTGGAGCAGAAGCAGTGTCGTGGCCGTTGCTGGCATTGGAGAAAACGCCGAAGCGGCGGGCGCGCTCCGTCTCGCCGCGCAGGAAGCCGAACACGTATTTCAGGCAGGTCCAGACCTCGTCCATGTCCTGCATGTCCGTCACAGAGAGACCCCCCGGGTTGCCCTCGCCGAAGCCAGGGGGTGGGTCGAACAGGACACTGCAGACGTCGCTGGGGTCCGGACAAGGCTGGAACGGGGAGCGCACCTCGCCGCGCAGCCAGCTAACTTGACCGTCAAGGTCGTGGTCGCGGCCCGTCTGCATCCCAAATAGATGGCAGAAGGTCCAGACGCGCCAGATTGCATTATCGATCTTGCGAGCCGCGGGGCTGGAGGGCCGCGAGAGCGCCGTGTAGGAGGCGGAGCGCATGACGGCGCGGCAGTGAGTCATCATGAGGCCCTTCAAAGTGACGAGTGTGCGTTGGTCCCGAATGTAATGGCGGTAGTACACCGCAGCCGTGAATGCTTCCTCCTCCGAGGACTCTGGTGAATTGACATCGCTTATCTGCCGGTGTTCCCAGGCCGCGGGCGATTGAAGGCGGATGGTGTTTTGCATCAGGGGCAGTTCATGGCGCTTGAAGACTTGGTACGTGGCGCGGTTCACCTGGGCAAAGGCAAAAAGGTCATCTAGCTCATCGAGTTGGAGGAGGATTTGGAGGGTCATGTCTTCCAGGCCGGGCTTCGTTAAACTCCATCGGGTTGGCCGGAATGCCTTGGTTAGGTTGTCTTCAATTTCTGCCATCATCTTCGTGTAGCGAGGGAAGGTGCTGGAGGTATCCGAATTGTCATCGGCGAGGTTAAAGAAGTGTATGGAGGGGCCGTCATCTTGCATCGTCGCATCATCTTCGTAGCCAACGTAGCTCCAGGCATCTTCATCCTCGATGCCTGTCTTGCGGATTTTGAAAGTAGTAGCGGGAGAAGAGGGTGTAGGCGCAGGATGAGCCGAAGAGAAAGGAAGAGGAGGTAAGGGAGCGGTAGGAGCAGGGGAAGGAGGAGGAACGGAATGAGAATAAGTATGGGTATTCAGATGAGGAAGTGGGGGAAGGGCTGGCGAGCTTGGTGGAGGATAAGAATTGGCATGGCTGTGGGCATTAAGGCGAGGAGATTCAGGCAGGGAAGGGCTGAAGTGAAATGCTGCAGGAGAGGCACAGCGACTGGGTGGAGCGGGCGGAGCAATGTCCAAGCCGAGAAGAGGGTCATTTTGCACCCTTAAGAAGAGGGACTGAAGGAACTTTTGATTCGCCTCAGCTTGGAGGATCAAATCCATCGAATAGCCATCCTCTAGTAAACTGGCGAGCACATTCTTCATGCGGCTAACTGCATCTTGGTATCGCTCTGCATCCTCTTTCTCTGCGACCTGCATCCAATCTTGTTGCTGATACCCCGACTCTTGCTGCTGTGTAGGAGTAGACGACATGCGAAGTATGATGGACGCTCTCCGGTCAATTTGAGATTTGGATTTCTTTGAGCCAGAAGATGAAGCTTTAGTGGTGATGACGCGGCGCACTCCCGCTTTGAGGGTCCGCCATATAGGCTTTCCTTCGCCGGTGTCCTTAGCGAATAGCCTTTGTTCTGATGATTTCTTCGATGGTTGCTTCGAGGGTCCGTCGTGTCGACTTTGAGTTGACGCGGTGGCATTGGGGCTATAGGGAGGAAATAGGCCCTTCTCAGCATTGTATGGAGGGTAAAGTCCTGTTGCGGGCTGAGCCTCTACAGGTTGAGGCCATGAAGCTTCGTTGGGGAATGCCTCTAATGCTGCAGCTGCCGCCAAGGAAAATTCGGGGTTCAACGAACGTTGGTCCTGAGGCCGCGGCATCATCGCCCAAGGATTCATAGCTTTGGGGGCCACTGGTCGGCTCACAGAGGCCTGGGGTGTCATGGGCTGGGCTTTCACTGGCTGCGGAGTCATAGGCCGTATGTTCAATGGTTGCTGCGTCATTGGTCTTGTCAGTGACGGCTGTGGAGTCATGGACCTGGTTTGCAGAGGCTGAGGAGTAACTGGTCGGGGAGTCAGAGGTCGAGGCGCCATTGGTGGCTGCGGTGTTGTAGGACGCGAAGACATAGAGCCTGGAGTCATGGGTCTAGGTGTCAGAGGCCGCGGGGTATAAGCCGGTAAAGACTCCCCAACGGACGAGCCTGCTTGATGCAAGGACGGGAAGTGTTTCTCTTGTGGATGAGGAACAGGTGGAAGCGGCTTATTATACTTCCATTCGTTCGAGGAGGGTGAGCTCATTGTGGGACTTGCTCGAGAAGTATACGACGGGCATGGACTGAGCGGCGGCCGATCATACATGCCAGAATTGGGTATGCTTAAACTCGGCACAACTAAACGGTCTGAAGAGTCCCATTTCGTTTCCAATCCTGCCAGAAGGAGTTTGTCGTCAATCTGCTTGGAAGGCATCTTGTTTGTGTGGTGGTGTTGAGTTCGGCCTGCCACGTCGTCGGTGTGGTCTTCGAGAATGTCATTCGGGAGGAAATAAAAAGTCGATCGTGAGCTGGGACTGTCCGAGGAGTTCAGAGCGTGCAGGTCACTGTAAGACACCTGTCCAGGGGAAATAGGAGTCTGTGGGTATCGCGGCGCGTGGGATTCCTGTCTGTATTGAAGCGTAGCAGGAAAAGCCATGATGTGGAATCAGCACCCAGAAGTCAGGAGATTCAAAACAAATAGGCTATATTAGATTCACGGGGACCTGCAGGAGGTGATATACGTCGCATCCCCCAGACGGGATCCCTCGCAGGCGCCGAGTCCGCCCAGTACGCAATCCTGTTCTCAGCTTCTTCCCAGCTCAGCACAGATCTTGGGTCCATAATGTTTGAACAGGGGCTAGAAGCCCACACGAGCCATAAGAAGCAAGTGGGCAAAGTGATCTAGCACATGGCTGCAACTCGGCAGCAACGATCAACTGACCGGCCAGGCTTGCGACACAGCAAATAGCGAGCGAGTTGCATCATGGCAGGCATCTGTCCCTTGCTAGACGGACATCACCTATCTGGCAATGTGGCAGTGAGATTTTGAACGCGAGTAACACATTTTGCGAAGTATCATCGTGGGCCTGAAAAGACTAGTTCATACTGGCGTTGGGGCCAAATCGTGTCAGAGTCTGCAAGGCACTTCCAACCCGAATACTGCGTTGGAAGGTTAGCAAAAGACAAATCCGCATATAAGCAATCGTACCTTTGAGTATACTAGGTAGCATCTGCTGAGATGTTGGGGTTGAGGTGGGAGGCTCAATTGTTAGGCGAGAAAGAGGACGGTGTGGAGGTTGTAGAGAGCAACAACGTGATAACCGGATAAGGGATATTGATTGCTGCCTGCCCTCTCGTATGTCTACCACACACGCTCCGTCACAACAACTACCTTCCGCCCCCAGACTTCACTCGCATTCAATTCCTCATCCAACTGATTTCGAAAAGTTCAACACACTTGTGGAGCTTCTGTGTGCGCCATGGCCATAGGGCGATGATGTACGAAAAGGGCTGTCTGGAAATGTGTCTGACATGAGATTCTCCTTTCAGAAGGGGGCGAAAAGTCTCCTTTTCCAAGCATCTTGACGATTGTCACTCAGTCTCAGGGAGCTATGCAGCTTGTTTGGAGCAATTTGTGCGCTCCGTATCCCAGAAGTCCAGGTCATAGTCAGATGTTTAATCTCAACAGAGCAACCGTCGTCGTCTAAGGACATAGCCTCTACAGCCATCGAGACGCCGAAGTCATACGGGTTTACCAGCATCAGCAAGTGGCAGGGGGAGTCAAGAGTACCCAGCACACTCTGTACACTCCAGTTGCTGATTCCTATTTGGTAATCAGTTTGACAGGGTCTCCAGCCGAACCACAGAGTGGATATCAACCACATGGTTGCAACGAGCCAACCCCACCGGCAGAGTCTCCCTATCTCGTGGCTCTATTGTTGCCGGCGGTCGAATGATCTCTGCTTTGAGGCGTTGTCAAATGGCCCCCAACGGACGATCACGAAAGGTGTTACTGCGCCTTGCACCACGCCCATATGTCTCGGGGAGGAAGCCCGAAACTGTTGCATGGATGGTCAACCTGAAACACAGACGCACCAGATTTTGTCGCTCGGAGGAGGGGAAGGGAAGTTGGACGAACTATCTCATCGAGGCTCTGCCAGTCCGGTGAATCGCGATCTGTCGGAGTTCGCGGGCAGAACCTCATGGTGGAGACCTTATAGAAACAAGCAGGATTGAATTGTTCTGGAGCATTCTGCGACGTACAGACTGAGTTTCCCACCAAGATTCATGGCGCTCCATGGTGATCTGGTAGGACTGCACTGGACTCGTGTCCTATTACAACAGGCGCCTTGATGTTGATGGCCGTGTTTGATATGCGTGTAAGAGTTACATCTTGGTATCCTATTGCGAAGTATCACCATTGTTGCTTTGCAGTTGTCAGCACTGGGTTCTCAGCTTCGCAACCAACCGTAGCCCAACAGGGCGCGGTGATGGGATGTGTCGTTAACGGCCCGAGTCGAGTTTTCGTCGTCGAGTTTTCGTCGAATGATCTAGGTTATCGAGTATTGACATACATTGGTAATGTGTTTGGATGAGATGAACTCCTGCCTTTGTGACGTATATGTGGTTGGATTGTAGTCATCAGGTGTTGTGCTTGTAGATAAAGTGTCGGTCCTTGCATGAGTTAATCCGTTGGAAGATCATCATAAGTGTATCACGTACTACTCGAGGGGATGAAATATTACCAAGCAGACCATGTAACTATTGTCCAAACAAATGATCAGTCCAATCTCCAGTGAGAGCAGCAGCAACTCGAATGTATTTTATGCTGCACGAGTAACCCGATGATGATCGCGTCAATCGCCTCATTTTGGCATCTTGATCAGTTGACGCAATCCGCGCCATCCGCCAGGAGCATTAGAGGAATTGAACCATTTTCCTCTAGTACAAAAATCATTATTTATGTGATAAGCTATGGCTTGATATAACATGGTCTAAGAACCGTGCAAGGGCTTCATACTGCCACGGATAACTTAAGCGCTATCGTTTGCTTTCGTAGTAGTATCCGCTCCGAGTCCTCCTTGAAAGAATATATGTAGTATCCCGTGCTTTAAACCACCATCCCACCACTTCACTCTCCCATCTTCAAGAAACCACCACACAACAAAGCCTTGCTCTGAGCTCGTCTCGAATCGGCCGATCATCAGCACAGTTGACATCAACCCAATATTAGCGCGATCGAGAAAAAAGAAACGCGTTGAGGATCAACTGCCGACATTCACTGCAAGCAATGACACCCTTTGACGTCACCTCTACGCCAGGACTTGGCAATCAGATCAAATATTCGATAAATACATCCATCCCTCCCCCATCGCCCATTCGACTGTCCAGACCCTCTCGCTATCAATTGACACTACAAACAAGCTAATTCCATCTCAAAGAACAACTCCCAACATGTCCAGCACCATCGACACCTCCGCCGGCAACAAGCCCCTCGACCCCTACACAGCAAAGTCCCACGAGGACCCTCCCCTCCCCCAGAAGGTCGAGGACCTCGTCACCTTCATCTCCGACTCCAAGTTCGGCATGCTCACCACCAAGTCCTCCTCCGATGATCTCCTCACATCCCGCTGCATGGCGCTGGCCGGAAAGGTATACCCCTCCCAACCCCATCTATCCATTTATTGACCTCAGTGGAGGGCGGCGGGACAGCTAGCTAATAGTAGATCACACATTGTAGGAGCACGGCGGCATCGACCTGGTCTTCCACACCAACCTCTTCTCGCACAAGACCATGGACCTGACCACCCACCCCAAGGAGGTCAACATGTCCTTCCTCGACCCGATCAGCGGCTCCTGGGCCTCCATCTCCGGCACCGCCTCCATCATCTCCGACCGCGACGTGGTCAAGAAGTACTACTCGCCCGCCCTGCAGGCTTGGCTGGGCGACCTGGGCGACGGCGTGCACGACGGCGGCCCCGAGGACCCCCGCATCGGCGTCATCAAGCTCGAGGCGGCCACGGCCCATTATGCGCTGGCTCGCAAGGGGATGCTCTCTCGCGCCGTCGAGACCGTCAAGAGCGTGGCCACCGGAAACGTGCCCGCTATCAACAGTATCCGCGAGTTGAGTCGGTCTGAATTGGAGGAGTGTAAGTTCTCCCCCGCCCCCTCCCTCCGCCCCCCGGGGCTGTGGTAGTTTCTTTTATTGGTTTGATTGAGTTTTGCGGATGCTAATTGGGAATGGTTAGGGCGCCGTACGCACGCGAACGAGTAAACGATAAGCGGCTCCTTATATTACCGCGGCATCATGCTCGTCGAAACCCGCTCTCGAGCTGTGAATTGAGAAGAATGCTATGATTTGATGACCCTGATGACATATCTGCTGGATAGCATGTCACTAGTATTAAATTCGTATTAATCTGCAAATGAGACAAGTGCTCTGAAGTGGATTTCAGAAGTGTAAGCTAAAGAGGCCGGGTGCATAAAACAGACAACTTATAACAACGCGGTAACTCGCAACATATGGTAGCGAGAGATTCCAGTTTTCAGCTCGCAAGTGTGTGCTGAGGGTATCACTAGCTTAGACTCCAATAGACGCCAATGGAACAACGCCAAGGTAACAAAATACCCCATTAAATCTACTTTTCGTCAGCAGTGCATACACATGGACTATTCTGGAAACAACTCACCAATCGTAAAGGCATCCGGGCTGGCACGCGGCCGTTGTGTAGCAGCATAGCAATGTTCTTGTTGGGCGTCGCTTGCAACTTGCGATAGGCCTCGCGAATATGTTTGGGCTCGACAGGAGTGCGGCCCTCCTCAGGCGGGTCGAAAAGGCCGGTCTCGCGCTTGCGTTTCTTGGAGTCCTCACCATTGTCTGCGCCGCCACGACGATTCTTCTCTCGATCCTCCCGCTCCTTCACCTTGAGGGCTTCTTCGGTCAGCGTCTGCACGATCTCGAAAGTCAAAAACCCCAGGATGTCGACGATATCATCATTTGGCTTGGACTCGGTCACGATTCCAAATCCAGCCCACTCTCGGAAACGCTTGCTCTTGCGGTAAGTGAAGGACGCCTGACGGCATTCCGACCAGAACACATACTCTTCTTTAGTCATGTGCTTGGTGCGCTCGTCGGCCGCGGCAAGACGCTGCAGAGTGGCATAGTTCTGCTCTTCCTCCTCCTCATCTTCTTCGTCCTCGCGCTCGGGGACCTGCACAGAGTAGAAGCTGTTCACATCCCAGGCGAGACCTACACGGGCACGCTTGTTCTTGGGCTTCGACGCAACATCCTGGGGACCAGCCACGACGCCTCCGGCGATAGGATCGTCGGCGGCTGCGAAGTCGGCGGCGTCGGCGCCTCCCTTGTCATCTGAATCCTTGACGTTTTTGCGCACATCCTTCCATGAGAGAAAGGTTTTCAGGCGAGAAACTTTGGCCTTGTCATGACGGATCAAGAAGATCAGATCGTCAGTGGAGATGGATCGCACACCGCGGCGAGTCGCTAAAGCGGTACTTCGAGCAAGCTAACAGCCAGTTAGTGTCATAGGCGAGCGAGGGGACAGGGCGGTCATTTCATACAATCTCAACAACCTGCTGGCGAACGATCTCCTCGATAAGTGTAGTCGTCTCAACAGATGGTTCGGCAGTCTCTCCAGAGACAAACATCATCTGGTGCCAAAGGTCAGTTAAACGCTCTCTGAACTGCTCTTCACTTTCCATGCCCGCATCCTCCGGCCTATACCCGGATCCGACAGGGAAACTCCTGGGATAGCAAACATGATAGACTAAGGAATAGACCGAAGGTCAAGTGAAAGGATTATGATTGAGGATGTTCGTGCTGCATCGAGAAGCACTGATAGACAAGATGATATAGCGCTGACAAGAGGCAGTTGAGATACAGAAGGTAAGTAGGAAATGAAAGAGTGAATCGCGTAGCATATACTCTGATATGCGATACATGAGAAAAGGTGGTCAAGGCCGCTGAGAGACGGACTTCGATCGAGAGTCAATTGCGATTCAAAAGTTCACAACAAGCAAGGATTTGAAGTTAAACCACAGCTGAAGAACAGGGCTGCTCGCAATATGGAGATGGTATAGTCACTTAACCAACGAATCCACTCATGCAGACACTCACCTGCTGGATCTCTTGTCGATACTTGGGTGTCCGATCTGTCGACATCTTGGCGGAGAGTCAGAAGCGGGCTGCCTGGCGCTTCGAGCGCAGAGAAGAGACAGTGAAAGTGTGCTTCCAGTCCCTAAATATATCGTAGCCGATGGATTGGACATTCCTCAGTAGGACCCCCAGAACATCCTATGAATGATGGAGGCACGTCACCTGACGGACGCGTGCTCCGCCCCGATAACATAAGTTAATCGGATCATCAGTTACTCCGCCTTCCCACCGCATCTGGTGGGGTGATAAGGGAAACTTTCACGCCGCATGCAACTTTCTTCCAAGAGCAAGATACTTTCCATTGAGCCTTCAAAATGCTTTATCTAGTGGGGCTCGGCCTTGCCGACGAGACTGACATTACTGTCAGAGGCCTGGAGGTTGTCAAAAAGGCCGAGCGCGTTTACCTCGAAGCATACACAAGCATCCTTCTTGTGGAGAAGGAGAAACTAGTGGGTTTTCCTGCGCGATCACATTCATAGCAACCGGGTGCAGGGTAGGCTGATTGGGGATGACTTGTTTCAGTAGGAAGCTTTCTATGGACGTCCCGTCATTGTGGCGGACCGCGAATTGGTCGAGACTGGTAGCGATGACATCCTCGCTGAAGCTGATAAAGTCGACGTCGCTTTCCTGGTCGTGGGCGATCCCTTCGGGTATGTGTATTCACACCCACCTGCTTAAACTGCGAAGAACTGGGAGAGAACCTATTGGGCTGACAGCCAGCTACTAGTGCTACAACACATACCGATCTGGTTCTACGTGCTCGCGAACTAGGCATCGAGTCCAAGGTCATCCCCAACGCATCGATCATGTCCGGAATTGGCTGCACTGGTCTGCAGCTTTACAACTTCGGACAGACCGTAAGCATGGTCTTTTTCACCGAAACCTGGAAGCCTTCATCCTACTACGACCGCATCAAGGAAAACGCTGGACTGGGTCTTCACACGCTTGTTCTGTTGGACATCAAGGTGAAGGAGCAATCGCTTGAGAACATGGCCCGTGGCCGTTTGATTTACGAGCCCCCGCGTTTTATGACGGTCGCGCAGTGCGCCGGTCAGATGCTTGAGACGGAGGAGGAGCGCCAGGAGGGAGTCTGGAACCCAGACAGCTTGGCTGTCGGTGCCGCTCGCGTGGGAGCTCCTGACCAGAAGTTGGTTGCGGGTACTCTCAAGGAGCTGGCCGAAACCGACATGGGTCGACCCCTTCACAGCTTGGTCCTGCTCGGTAAGAGAGCACACGATCTTGAGAAGGATTATATCAAGCAGTTTGCTGTGGACGAGGCGACATTTGACGCCGCTTGGCAAAAAGGAGGCTATGGTACCATGTAGGGTACTGCAGCCTTGTAATGAATGATGTTGAACGAACATAGAGATTCACCCCGCTAAATCAAAACATGTGAGCCATCCGAACCGACATTTCCAGACACTTCAGAAGCCAGCTTTGCAGTGAAGTCAAGTCTTGTAGCAGATCATCAAGCGTGAAAAAATTTATCACCACCCCCCGTACAATCGTTAAGCTGTCTTTCGGCCAAAGAACCTTGTTAACCGTTCAGGAAGTCGTACCTGTTTCAAAGCAGACTATTAGGAGGTATCATGAAACCCGAGAGAAGAGCTCTAAACCTACCGTCGCCGACGAAGGTGTCGCTGGTGGCGTTTGCTCGCTATCGTGCTCTTCGCTATCTGGATATGACCCCTCTTCATCGTCCATGCTATCCTCATCATCCGACGGAGGAAACCATCTCTCCGGATCGCCGTTGTAGACAATATACCAACCCACCCTCTCGCCCGCGGCGTATTTGTCGCGCATCTCGGCTATTGCTTCTTCGGCAGCGGGCTCCAAGGGTGACTTGCTGAATAGATCCTCAGGCGTCCAACTGGTTTCGGAGCAAGGGACTCCCGCTTCAGGGACTGAGATGACTTTCGCGGCGACGTAGGCGTAAGGCTTGCTGACAGCCGCGTCACTCGTGTCCTCAGGATCGTATTGCTCGATGAAGCGCATCTCCGGCAAACGCTCGACAATGCTTGGCTCTGTTTTCCGGAACGATTCAAGAAGAAGTTCGGTTGTAGCGGATTGCTGGATATACTCGGCTGTGGCTTCCTCGAGATTGTGCAGGACAACGTAGACGCGAATACCCGTGAAGCCAGCTCGGGGCCAGCGAAATCCATAGAGCATGTAAACAGGCATGGTTGACAAGGCAGCCGCGGAATGGAAGCTGGAGTACGCTGCCAACGAGATGGTGTGGCGTGGCAATTCGCTTTCAATATGTCTGATGAGCAATAGAAGGGTGCAGCAGCCCAGATAGATAAGAATACAGGCTCATGTTAAGGTGCCCCAGAAAGGTGCAGAGCGCACTGCGCTGTTTCACAGGGTGGATATGCAGGTGAAAGTGATGAGTTATCGGTCCAATTGATGACGGGAGAGAAAAGCAATTGGCGCTAAGTTCGATTCACTGGTTTTACTCAGCAGGGGTGACCAGGTTGACAAGGGTATGCATTGCCCATCATAGAACAGAGTAGCAGCCTAGGTCTTCTGATAAGCTACTGTTCGAAGTCAATTGTTTTCACAAGTTGGAAAGCGGATTGACCTGGGGCGTGAAGTTTAGATTGTCGGCCTCGAATTGATCTCCAATTTTGGGCGGTGAGATCCGGCAATATGGTTGTCGACCCGCACTTTCTCCGGGACGCAAGCGGAGACTGATAGCTGCTTCAGCCTGTGCTGCACCATCATTACAGTTTCCCTCATATTAGCCGCGCAACAAGCTAGACGGGATGGTCTTATCATTTATTCTTGTCCAGAATCGCCAGTAAGCGGACAGCCCTCATTCTTCACGCATCGCGACTCAGGAGCTGACATGTGGGCGAACAGGGGGAAGACGCGGTTGGCCAAGTGGTACGCTCCGTACAGCGTGAGTCTCTCTACATTGCAGCGGCTGTCCTTCCTGATCTACTGACACTTACCGCAGGATGAAGAGAAGGTCAAACTGAAAGGCGAGGTACGTCGTGTCTGACCGGAATGCCAGCTGCTCCTCACTCCGTTCCCCTCCCCGCATCCCACCTGACGGGCCGTTCACCGTTCGTTTACCAACCATCGCCGAGTGCAGGTCCATCGTTTGGTAGCCCCAAGAGACCAAAAATACCAATCGAACTTTGTTGAGTTCAAGCGGAGTACGAAGATCGTATATCGGCGATATGCGGGGTTGTTCTTCTGTGCGTGCGTGGACGCAACCGACAACGAGCTCGCCTATTTGGAAGCCATCCATTTCTTCGTCGAGGTTCTAGATCAGTTTTTCGGAAACGTCTGTGAGCTTGATCTGGTTTTCAATTTCTACAAGGTGCGTGCGCGGTGGATTAGAGTCTGGCCCCGGACACGGAAGGAGGGCAAGCTGTTGGCTGTGGCTGGGCTCGTGGCTGGCTGGAGAAACAAGTACATGGCTAACGGAGCATCATGCAGGTGTATGCTATCTTGGACGAGGTATTCCTTGCAGGCGAAATTGAAGAAACGAGCAAACAGGTCGTGTTGACGAGGCTGGAGCATTTGGACAAATTGGAATGAGGGCAAGCAGTTTCGAGAAGGATGGACCGCAACAGGGCGCAGAGGCATTGAGCTCTTATTTCATACCTAGGTGGCTTCTGTTATGGTTCAGTTGCATATATGACCACAGGACTTGGTCATCACAGGAGTTAGGGCTTTCTTGGATTTGGTTCTTTTATGTGGATTGTGCCTGCACTGTTACATACCTTTAGCGCTCGTCTGAAACCTCCACATGGCGGTATCTACTGTACAAAGTCTAATACCCTACGCAAAAGCATGCATTTCTTATGGACCGGTGACTGATAGGAGGCATGTAGCACGGAACGCTGCCTTTAGTGTGTCCCTATATCCTTTGTAGCAAGTTTCAGGGTTCTTTTTCAGGGTCTCCAGCGGAGTTTCCAGGGTTCAGACATGCATTATTGAAAAAAACGAGGTTGAAACTGGCGAGGTTAGTTTGACGGCTGCTGCCTGGAATGTTCAACAGCCGAGAATGACTGCCGTGAAGCTCGACAGGCGGAGCACCCGAGACATCTCGCAGCTGACACCGGACCACTCGCTGCACCATGCCAGCAGTGCAATTAAGCTTATCTAGATGTCTCAAATCTAAATACAAGTCGCTTAAAAGATCCTGGACGACCCTAGCGCTATGACTTGGCTGCAGAAAGGGGTTCAGCACCTTCAAATGAATGAGGTGATCGTGAGGTTCGATTGCGAGCAACTCCCCGGCGATGGTGACATGCTCTTGGCAAGGTATACTTAATGAGCCCAACCCTCAAGGCGGAACGACAGCCTTGCTTTTGTTTTGACTTGATGCAGCATTGACTGGAAAAAGCTGTTCCACAACCCCATAATCCAGTATGATTGTCCGTTGAAGCAGGTCGGTCTACCACACTGTAGCCTGCCAGGTCTGACAAGCAACCACCCCAACCAAGGCCTTTTTCCTGTCACATGTCTCCAAGCGATCATTTCGGTTCTCCCCCTGATCATCGAACCTGACCACGCAGACCTTCCGCTGACCATGGGTCTAAAGACCTACTCCGTACACGGCAAAGAATACCCATCAGGGGGACAATCTTACCTTCTCCGACGAGTTACGACCTTCACTGAATTTGGCAATCATGGTACGCATCTCCTGCAACAACGCATACAAATGGACACACACGCAACCAGTCTCCGCCTTGATTGCCACAGGACTGCCCCGTCCTTCTGCTTAATCCAATGTTGATCATACGGCGGTCCGTCCTCCGTAGCAGATACTACTGCACTTGCCAAGGATGATCCTCAACATTTGTACGAGCACTCAACAATCATCTTTTCCCGCTCATCTGGCTCGCTTCTCTCCCTCGAGCCGTGATAGGCTCGACCCTGAATCGTTTGCGTACCGCTCACGATGGAGGAAAGTTGAGCCGATGGGTCCTTTCCGTGGATTGACCCTCATCGTGTTTCTTTCTCCTGAGCCGCTCGGTTCAACCGCCCTGCCAAGCCATGGCCGGCACCCCTTGACACATACTGTGTACGGAGTAGGCCGATACAGACCGGCGTGATGGGGCTTACGACGATTCATTCGGGATAGATTGCAGCTGGCTCGCCTGATAGGTGGATAGATCCACTGGGCGGGTGACTATCAAGCTAGGGCTCGACCCCACTCTTCATGAATCAATAGTCCCGACCTCCGAGCACGAAACGTCACGCCACACCGTCCTTCATCTTCACTCGGTCGGAGGGAGTGATACGCATGAGACTCTGTGAGGCTGGGAGAGAAAGAAGAGACTTTTGATGATTCGAGACAAGAATCTATGTGAACGAACAAACTGGCTACAATATCGAATTTCTGCTGGCATACACCCTATTAGATGGGAGGCCTTTTCTGGTGCATTAGTCATGAATTGGTGATTTAGCCGACGGTGAGGTTGATTGTTACGACTCGGTCGCGGTCATTCAATGAAACAAGAACGCCGAGTGCGAAATTTTCGAATCTCCAAGCCCGACGCGTGCACATAGAGCTTATGCTTGTGGCCGTAAGAGAAAAAAGCTCGAATCATGAACGGATCCTGGATTTTCTGGGTCTGACCGAGTTTGGATAGTGGGTACAACCTTCTTCCCTCCTGGCCAGCGGGTTCACAACCATCCGGCAGCCACTGACGCGGACTCCCTGATGTGTACGGATGCAAGTGTGATTGCTTGGAGTCAGTCATGATATCGTTGCTTATACGTGGAAAATGTTGGAGTCATGGTCTAACAGCAATGTTGATTCAACAATACTGTCTCGCTGGCTGAGATATCCTGAGAACCAGCTATGACCCCCCGAAACTTGGTAGAGGGTAGAAGGTTGGATATACGCAACACTTGGTGAGCCAGGGCGAGTTAGATGATATGAATACTCTGTCCGCAGAGCTATGGGGGGGTCTTTCCGGCTTCAGTCTATCTGTCATTTGGTCGAATGAGTCGCGATCCTTGAGCGCTTGGGTCCTGTCGCAGATAAGTTCATAACACAAAGGCTTATCAGCGCCAGCAGCAATGCCTATTGCATGCCATGGAGACGAAAGCAAAGTTGGTTAAACGTCTGACCCAACCGCACGAAAGACTCACTTCTGTTCAAGTCTGTCTGGGCCGAGGAATTGTGGCTCCTAAGGGATTGTTCATCGGACACCATAGGAATGGTCTACAACAATAATATCAACTTACCCGAACCAGTTTGCAACTTACACGGTCGGCGACCGCATACAGAGACCATCGTATACTGTGTAGATCTGTCCACAGGCACTATTGGTCAAGGCTATAGGTGAAGAGTTTGATGCCGGTTTGTTACTCCGTATGCACGCTGTCGGGGTCCTGCTAGATGTTTGTGGTTGAGCGACTGCTAGATGAAACTTCCACAGCCGTTGCATTCTTACGGTGCACGACCACCGCGGTGCAAGGATCGGACCGTTTGACTCGAAAAATTCAGTGATCTGCGCCAATGTTCCTGAAGTTCTCCAAACTCCGTCTCCGCACGTACAGTACATTCATTCCCATCAGGCGGTGGACAAACGATATTCTGGTCGTTCACAAAAAGCTTCATGTTAATTTGGTACGCTAGCACTCGATTCACCACTACGACCCTGTTCTACAGAATCAATCTAGTCAAATGCCCTGAATAGCAATGCAGGGGTCTTGTTTACAGAACCCTGCTGAATGTGGGGGAAACAAGACAGATGGCGTTTCAGCATCTCGGACTTCGGAAGTACGTATCCTTCCTAAGCAGTGTGCTTCCCTGCGATATAGTGCGGAGACTATACCGGATAGCGACAGGTCATTGAGCGCTGCTAGCTGATGATGACGACAAGGGGCTGCAAAGGTATGATGCACCGGCGTGGATTACGGTTATCAATCATGGCTTTTGGCATGACGGAGAATTGTACGCGTCGCCTGCGGCGGGACCACCAATCAAAGGGGGCCAGGGCACGGTCCGGCTGAGGCAGAGCTTCCAGACTCTCCAGTGACAGGGCGCTGGGGGACAAGTGAGAGCCATTCCAGTGTTCCAGCGATCAGCGAAACGAGGGCCTACGCGGCCGATCTGCTGGGTTCGCGGCAGAAAGGCTTGGCATTTCTCCAGTTTTTGCTTCAGGATTTTCAAAATTCTACCACATTTGCAGGACTGGAATCGGTGCCCCGCCCCGTCCGCGCTGGGTTCCAGGAGAAGATTTGGCAATCGCGGCTACAATTCCCTGGATATCCGCCCCCTGAGCCTCTCGCTTCTGAATGGCGCAGAGGGTAGTCCAGTCTTGGCGATGGAGTGTCTGCAACTCTGCGGACGGTGGGTGGCCAAGTAGACGAGCACTCAAAGTTGCCACCCCTGACTATCTTTGGTTTGTATCGAGGAAGAAAGGAGGAAAATGAGAGGGAAAGGGAGAAGAGAACGTCAGCCGGTGACGTCTCGGTATATGTGTCTTTTTTTTTTTTATGTTGTCTCACACGGCTTTATGCGTATGCTTTGTTTTGTTGGGTCAGCGATCGTACAGCTTCTCATCAAATTGTGGTCGTAATTATCGATTGTCTGTTGTGTCACTGTTTTCCCCTCCACATCCTTCTCTCTCGCTCTCTTTCTCTCTCCCTCTCTCTCTCTCTCTGCCGGGCAATTATCGTTGATGGCAGAGACGATCCAGAACGTGGGTGGGGATCCGCGGAGGGGGGGCCAAGAGAACAATAATGGAAAGAACAATAGAATAAGTTCCAACCATCAAGTAATTAGTTGTAAGATTTGTAACAACAAGGTATTGCAAATACACGCTCAGGAACCATCCTATTCTAGCTTCACGACGATTACCGTCGGGTATTCAAGCACAAATGGCTAGAGTTTGAAAAGTGTTGCAACAAAATGGTAGTGGTTTGGTGGTTCCTACGCGTACCTTTTTTTCTCACTTTTTCTCCTTTTTTATTTTTTTTTTCTTACTTACCTATTCCGTTTCTCTCACGAATAAAAAAAAACAGGGTCATTTTTTTCCTCTACAAAATCAACACAAAAATGGAGAAGGAGAATTGCCCTCAGCCACTCACAGTCAAGGCGTCATCTATTCGAGAAGCAGTGATTTCCTTTCCTGACTTCTTGAGAGTGGATCTGGAAGTAATTGATTGCCATATCGGCACTAGTGAGCTTTCTGCTTCTTATCCTACACGAAGTACTCCGTACATACGCCGAGTCCATCGCAAGTTGACTGCTTGGTCTGGATGGGCGTTGATCTACCCGCACTCTCCTTTTAAGATCCTGCCATCGCCATTCCACGGTCGACTTTCTTCTTTCTCTTTCTCAACTCAACCTCGTGTGATCTCTCTCTCTCTCCATCGGTTTGGGTCTGACCTGCGTCGCCTGAACGTGTCTTTCCTTGTTTGACTCTGGTCTTGTTCATATTAAGACTCTCGTTACTATCACTATTGCTGCCGCCGAGGCTTAACCCGTGGCTCTATCGCTCAACTTCACCTTTATAAATCAAACATCCTAATTGATACTTCCTTATCCAACCATGTCATTGATTCACTCCGACAACCTGGCTCCTCAGCCATGGACTGATATCTTCACCGAAGACACCTGCATCGACAGACGGCAGTGCCACCGCACGGTGCCGATGAAAGTGCTCGCTTTGGGTGTGGGGAGAACGGGAACAGCTTGTAAGTGTCATTCCACAAGCCGCACAATCAATGACCGGCGCCACTAACACTGGATCTCCCTACAGCTCTTCGCAAAGCTCTTGAGCGCTTGGGCTATATGAAGACCTACCACATGATGTCCGCCAGTATGGAAAACCCACCGGATTGCCTCATGTGGCACGATGCTCTGTGCGCCAAGTACGATGGCGTCGGCGAGTTCGGCAGGAAAGAATGGGATCAGCTCCTGGGTGACTGTCAGGCCGTCTGCGACTGGCCTGCCTGTGCCTTTGCTAAGGAGTTGATTGAGGCCTACCCCAACGCCAAGGTCATCTTGACCACCCGCGAGGTCGAGTCTTGGCATGCGTACGTCCTATCTGAACTCTTTTTTTAAGCATTTCATCCCGCTAATGTTTCCATGCCATAGTTCTGTGATGAAGACTGTTTGGTGGCGTGTGTCGGATCCCGAGCACAGATTTGTCTCGAACTTCAGCTGGGCCGCCAGCATGTACTACCCGATGCTCAACAAGTTCTTCCAGACCTTCTTCCGCGGTGACTTCCCCAACCAGGGCAAGCAGGTGTACCTCGAACACGTGGAGGAGGTCCGCAGTCTGGTGCCCCCCGAGAGACTGTTGGAATACCAGATTGGCGAGGGCTGGGGCCCGCTCTGCGAATTCCTCGGCGAGGAGGTGCCTGACACCCCCTTCCCCCGCGGCAACGACATGGCCGACTTCTTCAAGCGCTGTCGCTCTCGCAACAGGCGCCAGATGCTGAACGCTGCGCTCCAGGCGTTTACCATGGGCGGAGCTATTCTGGCCACTGGATTGGCTGCCACCATGGCCTTCAAGCGTTTCTCTCGGTAGAGAGCGTCTGACCACTTTGCATCTTTCGCCCTGTCGTGAGCGCTGGACGCCCATCGTCTCGGGCTTTTCTGTTTTCTGCTATGTCTGTTTCATATTTTATACACCGATGAGCGTCCCGACCCCCGTGCGAGGGTTGCATTATTCTTATAATGCTTGATTCTTTCTTATTTTGTGCCTGTGAAGTTTGTCTCTTGTATTGGGGCTTGATGGGGTTTTATGGCTGGATTGATTAGACGGGTACCGGCATGGAAAACATTGGGCGGATGGGCATGGTTTAATCTTCTCGCTCATTCATGAAAATTGGTTATCATTCATCGCTGATATCACCTGGCGCCAAATGGAAGTGGAATGAATTCAAAATCTTGCAAATTTGCATATACTGAATCGCATTGTGTAGATGACAGGTAGGACAGGTAGGACCGCAGGTCTCGGCATGCATGCAGCGGGTCAGTCCTGGCGCGCCCTATGTACAAAGGTACATCCTTCCTGGCCTTGGCAACCCAACAAAGTTGGCCAGACAATAAGGTAAGTTACTCCGTAGTTAAGGCTTTGCTTGGCATTCTACCGAGGCTCAGACTGTACACACTGACCAACAGCACTCTGCATCTTTCTGAAACTCTTGAAAAATAAAGTGCATTTGTGTTTGCTATGGACTGTTGCTATGGACTGTTGCTATGGACTGATAGTAAAAGTGGTTTCTGGTTGCGACAAGTACCTGGTTTGTAGTCTTCCGAACAGTAATCACCCATAACTTAGTCAATTACCTAGAGAACACCCAGGAATACTCATTCTCCAGTAATGGCTCCTCTGAGTACAGTGATATGCAGTCCCTTCAGATTCATACGCCAAGCCATTCGAAGCTTGCTGACGCCCGTTGTGTGCCTCAAGCTAGTTGTTTTGTGTACGGAGGACTGGATTACCAATATGAGTATACTTCGCCCCGCAAGCGTAAAGCCCGTCACTACGCAGAATTGCAAGTGTAGTACGGAGTACATCCAGGAAAGACCGTGTGTTCCAATGTGCTACAGCCAAAGGATCAGGGAACGTCGTTGGAACACTTCCAGTCCTACAGTTTACTGACTGTCCTACTCAGTATCTCGGGTCCAGCCCGAGGTCCCACTCCAGCCGTATCCCGTTTTGCCTCAAAGAATCAAGCATTTTGTCTGTGGCGTGACGCGGCGCCTCCCCGGGGCCCTTCGGTTCGAGGCTTGGCAACGCCTTAAAGTAGTATCTACTTCCTAGTACCTACCAGGGGAAGGAGGTTTGATGACTGAGCGAAATTTGAGTGCGCCGCGGTTAGATTGGCTGCTCCAGAGTAGGGCCGGTTTCGAGCTTTCGGGTGCCGTTACAGATTTATGCTCGAGGGGTAGAATTTACCCCGGGGGTTGCGGTTTGTTTTGGAAATTGGTATCGTTTCGGTAATGACGGATAGCCGGGTCTAACTCACTCATTCCTTAACTCCACTGCTGTAACCTCCGACCTCTCGTTGAAGTTCATCTGTCGGAGCTACTTATCAGCCATTGGTAAGAGATCATAGTGGCTCAATGAAATGATGACTTCATTAACGCTGGCCTTGTTTCCCCTCCTCTTTCTCGGTGGAATAGAGCCAGTCGCAAAATCATGATTCTAAGCGCTGAAACGCGGGGGCGCATGGGGTTGGGGTGACTACGACAGCAGACAACGGACTATTCTTAGGTCGAACACACACGCACTCGCGCCTCTCCTGAGCATCATCTTGAGAGGGAGGTCTCCACGAGCTTCCGCGACGGAAAATCTTTGACTTTTGAACCACTGACGATCACGCTCAAAACTGGCTCTGCGGAGAAGATCTGTCAATGAGCGACCAGAAAGGGGACTTCATCTCAATAAGATGCATCACGCTGTTTTCTAATCCGTAGGAGAGAGAGACCGCTAGACTGCACATACAGGACCCGGCCTTTTGCCCAAGCTGCAAGAAAGCAATAAATGTGAACTAACCGGCAGTAGTGGATCCTGTCGCGGCACTGATTAGGATCCGTTGGCGATGCTTGGCAGCCTCCACTTACGTCGCCGGTCCAGAAGTTGATGCGTTCAAGCACTTCGAGTATGCGCGGCCTCGCAGGGCACTGACTGACGGGCCTGCCACTTAGAGGTCGTGGTCTTCGCACACCGGGAGTTTTGGACAACCGCTCACCTTGATTCTCAGCAGTGTATCGCCCGTAACTAACGTATAACTGCGAAGATGGTTTTTTTACTAATCCTTTACTCCCCTCCCTCCCCTCTTCGGGTCTCTTTCTTGGCTTTCCCTGGAGTGTTCGTTGTGGTTTGAACTGGCTTACCTTCGGTCGCTCTCTGGGAGGTGACACTGTGATACTGCTCTTGACGATCAACGGCTTATTCTTCTGTCCTCATCTTCCTCTCTGTTTTTGCCTTTCTTGTTCCAACGCAGATCCGGCGCGAGGGATGTACCAAGAGCGACAGGATCGATGATCAGCTCTATACACAACCCGAGCGGGCTCGCTCCGTCCCGTTTACTAATTTGTGCGACTATCCTCTGTACAATTCTGTCAACGGTTCTTGCAGAGATCGACTCTGTATTCAAATCGGTACGTCCTGCTATGGGTGGCTGTTCGCGACCAACAAGATAAGCAGAAGCATCGTACACGCCATAAAGCCAAGATGTTCGCCATGCGGATCACTAACCTTGTGCCAACAACCATTCTAGAGACCTGACCTTTACCCGCCAATCCTCACTTTAGAACATCGCAACCCCGACAAGCTCAGTCCGGGTTATATCTTCGTAGGACCCTATGAAGCGGCTAATTCCGGACCCTACATCTACGATGATGAAGGGGTATGTGCCTGTCACATTCGTTGTAACTGGTCGCATCTGCTAAGAGCTTTCAGGACCTAATTTGGAGCGGATGGGGAAACTCGGGCCCCGGAAATGCTCATGGCATGCATGTGTGCAAGTACCAGGGCAAAGACCATCTGTGCTTCTTTCAAGGCGTCCAGCAAAATGGTTACTGTCGCGGCCATGGTGTGATCATGGATAACAACTATCGAATCGTTCGCACCGTGGTGGCCGGAGGTGGCATGGCGTCCAGCGACATGCACGAGTTCAGGCCCATCAACGACGGCAAAACCGCCTTGTTGACCGTTTATCAGCAACGGCAGTTTGACATGAGTCTGTGGAACGTGAAGACGGGCATGGGGTGGTTAATGGAAAGTATCTTTCAAGAGGTCGATGTTGAAACTAATGAGGTATTATTCGAGTGGAAATCTCTGGACCATGTTGACCCGTCGGCTGCCTACACCTGGCCCAGTCACACGGACACCTCGGGCACTGGGCTGGACCCCCGCTCGCCTTGGGATTACTTCCATATCAACTCCATCGATAAAAACGAGGACGGTGATTATCTGATTTCCTCGCGCCACACCTGCGCGATCTACAAGATTTCCGGCAAAGACGGATCCGTTATTTGGCGGCTGCACGGAGCCAACCCAACGTTCAAGAACATTAACTTCAGCTTCTCACAGCAACACGACGCAAGATTCCTGAGCGAGAATTCCACCCACACGCTGCTGTCGCTGTACAACAACGGTTTCAATGGCTTCAACCGGACGCACGAGTACTCCTCTGGGATGATTATCCTGATCGACCACCGCGACAACACCGCCACCCAGCTGTTTGAATATGCACCCCCGGGCAAGACCATGATCAGCTCCAGCCAGGGAAATCTGCAAGTGCTGCCGAACGGCAACGCATTCATCGGTTGGGGCAACAACGCCTACATCTCCGAGCATGACCACGAGGGCAATGTTCTGCTGTGGGGCTATATCGACAAGGACCGGATCATGAACTACCGTGCGCAGAAGTTCGAGTGGGAGGGCAACCCGACCGATGTGCCGGCATTGTGGACGTATGCCAGGACCAGCGAGACGTACGCCCCAACGAGCTTCTACGTTAGCTGGAACGGGGCGACCCGCGTGAAGTACTGGCGCTTTTATGGCGCGCAGAACGCAACGGGTCCGTTCATGTTGGTCAAGCAGGTTGCGAAGAAAGGGTTCGAGACCAGTTACACGGCGAGTGAGTTTTACCAGTGGACCTATGCGGAGGCGGTAGACGTGGAAGGCAAAGTACTGGGCAGATCCCGGAGTCTGTACACTTTCGTTCCTTCGGCGGAGTTGCAGAACTTCTGCGCGACGGAGGCTTGCGAAAATGCTCAGTCGTATGGAATGTCGAACGAAGAGGGCGCGGGGCCTACGATCCCGCCAGCTGGAATCATCACCGTGCCTTGGATTGATCCGGGCCATCCGGACTTCTTGTACGATTGGGGACCGACGGAGCAGTCTGAAGCAGAGCAGGCGGAGGCGGAGACAGACAATTCCGAAACAGCCTTCGGTAAGTTGCTCTCTCATATGCTTCTCTGTTGGGATGTTTTTGGGATGCTAATATCGAGACCAGACAATGTAGGGTGGGTGGCCCGGGCCTTCGGATTTGTGGTGACGGCAGCGACCCTGTACACGATCCATCGTCTCTACCGGCGACGGCAACAGAACCTCGGCCACATCAAGGAGCGAGCCTCGACGGAGAGTCTGGATCAGATGGAACGGGCGCCGCAGTTGACGGGGACGGACGAGCTGCCCTGGTGGCATTGGCGTCGACTCCCGGGTTTGCAGCCGCGATATTCGCCTCTGAACGAGGAGGGGCAGGGTTCAACATGGCACCAAGGGAGTCCGATCGTACGATAGCAGCTTACCTGATCACTTTTCCACTTTTGATGTTCTACAAATCCTCAATAAGATTCACCATACGTATGAACCGCTGCTTGTTAATCATCAGCCATCGTACTCGTATCGTTGTTGCTGTGCATCTCGGGTAGAGCATCCCTCGGACTTAAAAGTGGATTACCATACCTTACTCCGAGGTCTGAGCCACAAAGGGTTCGTCATGAGCGGGAGAGCTTTCGCCTCATGCATAAGACGAAAGTGTACTCCGTAGAGTAAATTGGGAGATGTTATGCAGGCATACGTGGGGAGTTGCGTAAGATGAGTTTGGTGGCTGGGGTGTTGCGGCCTGTCGGGTTTTGTGGAGTCTTAACCCTGGAGTTGACATATCAGACATTATCGGGTATTTGTCCATGCACAAGCAAAGGTGCGTGAGAATGTCCCTTTCAAAGAAGAGCAGACGGGACTTTTCGCTCGATCAGTTTTGTGAATGACATTTTCTGGCGGAGAATTTCCTGGTAGGGTGCTACTAAGAAAGAGACTCTTCTTTCATGATGGAAGTAGATCTTCGATGGACACAAAACCCAAGACTATTCTATAAAAGCCACATCTCACAATGACCCTCTATTGGATCATGATCCCCAAGTGAACACACTCCCACTCCGCGTAGTCTCTACTAGCGATAGGTATTCCCACCACAATGAGGTCTCAGTCCCGCGACGAGGGAGTGTACGGCCACTGCACCTTCTTCTACATGAGCGATTTCGATTGGTGCGACCCCGACCGAGAGGAGATGTGCATCGTCTGCAGGGTGACGCAAGAGATGATAGACCGGCACACGCTGGGATTCTATGAGGAGCAACTTTTGCTCTGGGTCGAAACCAAGCGCGGAGCCTTGCCCCGTGCGAGGGCTATCTACTGTATCCTCCGCTGGGGGGATACCATGCGCATCTACCTGGAAAACCTCCAGCCCGCCGGCCACGGAATCGTAGCTCAAGTGATTGAGGGCCGCGTCGAGTTCAACGTCCAGGCGGACAGGTGGGCGATTGCTGATTACTTTGAGAATACTGTACTACCATACTGGGGACATCCGCCGCTGAGGGAGGTTGTAGATGGATCGCAGGTTGAGTTGCTTGTGCGGTATAGGTGGTGGTGGTTGTAGTTTTCATTCTTATACTCCCTAACTACTACTACGGGGCACTCAAGAGTCATAATAATAGTATACTCGTTCCACAACCAAGTCATTCTCACCCGGTAAAATTGGCAAACGTGGTTAGCCGCCACTATCGGGTGCCAAGGGTTGCCGGTGGAGCCGAGCGTCGCAAGCCTTTCGTAAATTTCCTCCTGCCAGTCTTCAATGTGTTTTGTGTAATGTGCATTGTATAGTTACATCCGTATTGTGTATTGGTCCCATCTCTGTCACATTTCATTTTTCCGTCCAAATCAAGCAATTGAAGGCGATGAATGGAGGAGCATCTGTTTCGTGTTGGATGATCTGGCTGAATTCAACACTCCTAGTATTTCTATTATTCTTCCTCTTGGTGTACTTCCATACTCAACTTTCTTTTCTCTGTCATCATCTGCTGCATCATCAGCATCGTCACTCTTTTGATCGAAAATCCATCCTTCAATGCTGCTGCTGCTGCCAGCCAGCATCTATCTACCAACCAACACTATATTGACTGTGGACACGACGACTACAGTCCACGTCCCTCACTAAAAACCGATCTGACCCAGTTCTGGCCCCTCCTTGCATCGCGCTCTTTTTCGATTTTTATCTTTTTCTTTAAATCCCTGTCTTCCTATCACAACTCGTGCCGATGCCCGTTCCACGAACTGCTTCCCAGGGAACCGGCCGGCGACCATCCTTGACGCTTAATGCCGCTGTCCCTCTTACGGCCACTTCCACATCATCCTCCGCCGTCGCTTCTCCCCTCCCTCCAACAACACCCAATCCTCTCTCCGCAACTTCTTCTTCCTTCGCTCAATCCGCCAAGAATCGGCATGCTGCCCGTCATACCAGAGCTACCTCGTGGACTTCCGGTCATGACCAAGGCGGCGAACCCTCGTCCTCGACTTCTGCCCATTTCCCCCACCACCACCAACAACAACAGCAGCGTCGGCGTCGCGAGTCCAACCTCTCGCTAGCCGACGTTTCCGAAGGCTCCTCCGGTCGCCACGAGGACTACGATAACGACTCCCTGGCTAATATGGCCTCGAGGAACACCTCTCTCGACTGGGGCCATGCCCGCAGTCGCTCACGCAGTCAGTCGCAGACCGCCATGCTGCGACCCCTAGAACTAGCCGACACATCCTCCGCGGCCCCGGCCTCGCGCCCAGCCCCAGTCACTTGGATGTCCCTGCCGAAAAAGGGCCAGCTCGCGCTGCTGGGTCTGTGCCGGGTCTTCGACTTTCTCCAGATCGCCTCGCTGCAGGCCTATATGTTCTATCAACTAAAATCCTTCGATGAGAATCTGTCCGATGCCGATGTATCCACCCAGGCCGGAATCTTGCAGGGTGCGTTTACCGCCGCGCAGTTCGCAACGGCCATCCCCTGGGGTCGCGTGGCCGATGCGGAATGGGGTGGACGGAAGTTCGTGCTGCTGGTAGGTCTCTTGGGGACAGCCTTGTCCTGCTTGGGGGTCGCTTTTTCGACCTCCTTCGCGCAGGCCGTGTTCTGGCGCTCGTTTGGCGGTGCCATTAACGGCACTGTCGGTATTATTCGGACCATGATCGCGGAGAATGTCAAGGAGAAGAAATATCATTCGCGCGCGTTCTTGATCCTGCCGATCGGCTTCAACGTGGCGGCCCTGTTTGGTCCCGGTGAGTCATGTCGTTTGTCGTTGAGTTTTCCTGGGATTCCTGGCTGATGATTACTTTACAGTGATGGGTGGCATGCTGGCCGATCCGGTCAAGGCTTACCCCCGACTTTTTGGGCCTGACTCGTCGTTCGGCGGTGCCAACGGGGTACAATGGCTGATCCGCTACCCCTACGCCTTGCCTATGCTGGCTAATGCCGTGTTTCTGTCATTCGCGGCGGCTTGTGTCGCCATTGGTCTGGAAGAGGTATGTGATTTTGGGGAAGGTTGCGCTGGCCATCGCTAACAGTAGTAGACCTTGGAAGCCTGCAAAGGTAAGCCCGGTCTCGGAGTCTTTTCGATGCGTATCTTCGCACGAGGTGTCCGGGCCGTGGTGCCTTCTTCCTCCCCGCTGTACCACCGTCTGCCATTCGCCGACTACGAAGAAGCGGGCCCTCTTTTGGGCCGCCGAGATGCGGCGGAGAGCTACGAAATGGAAGAAAAGGCTACGAAACAGACTCGTCAAAGTCGCACCTTGCCTTTCCGTCGCATCTGGACCAAGAACGTGCTGTGCACGCTTCTGGCGCAGGCCTTCTTCGACTTCCAAATGGGGTAAGTCTTCCGCAGTGTGGCTTATATGACATCGACCTGATTATGTGGCAGTGCATTCAACAACCTCTGGCTGTTGTTCCTCTCCACTCCGCGCTACGATGCCAACGACCCCACGAGTCCCATCCAGAAGCTGCCGTTCATCTTCACTGGCGGCCTGGGCATGTTGCCACAGAGCGTCGGTTTTGCGACTGCCATCCTCGGGATCATCGGCATGCTCCTGCAGTTCACCATCTACCCCAGCATCAACGGCCGTCTGGGCACGGCCAAGAGCTACCAATATTTCTTGACTTTGTTCCCCCTGGCGTATGCGTTTGCGCCGTACATCGCTCTGGCGCCCTCGTCGGCCCCGCCGCCCGGCCAGGCCAACGGCGGCTGGGTGTGGTTCTCGATCATCGTCGTCCTCTTCCTGCAGGTGACGGCGCGCACTTTCACGCTGCCGACGTCGATCATTCTGTTGAACAACTGCTCGCCGCATCCGTCCGTGCTGGGCACCATCCACGGCATTGGCCAGTCCGTCTCCTCCGCCTTCCGTACTATCGGGCCGATCTTCTCGGGATCATGGTACGGCTACGGTTTGGAGATGGGCATGGTGGGCTTTGCCTGGTGGTTGGTGGCGCTGGTGTCGGTGTTTGGCTGCGTGGCGGCCATCTTCGTGTACGAAGGGTCGGGGCATGAGATCTTTCTTCCGGGCGAGGAGGAATATTAGCTCCGTGGTGATCACCTTTGGTGCTTACCATCTTCCTGCTATCTCTTATCACTTGTCATATATTGTTGATTTATTCTACATTGTACATAATTGACACCATGCATAGCGGTTGTCCCGGATGGATTTTTTTGATTCTCGGATGTATGGTCTGTGTTGCATGGTTCTGGTTCTCTTGCTGCTTTCCTATTCTTACAAGCGCTTGTTATCTGTTACATGATGACTCCAACTGGAGAGGTGGAAACGGAAGGATAGATGAATACTAGGTCGTTATATAATAGATTCCCGTTCCAGGAATGTGTGGTAGTAGACTCGCTAACGGAGGTATAACTGGCAAACCGTATAAACAGAAGAAAACAGAAACCCACTCCCTGCATACAATTCTGGTAGTAAGTGGTATCTACCGCCGCAGCGCAGCAAACCGTCTCGTCAACTCATCCAATTCGGGTATCTCACTCTTCGCCCTGGGCGCAGCAGCACCACCACCACCCTGCGCAGCACCGGCTGCAGCCTGAGAATCCTGCCCCGGCACCTTGACGCGCGGATGCAGATTATCCAGCCGCGGGGCAGGCGGCGCCACACTCACAGGACTCTTGCCCTGCTGCGACGCGCGCAAGCCCTTCGGCGGCGTCGCCTGATTCAACGCGACAGTCTCCGACGCCCTGCGCGCTTCCCTCTCCTCGAAAGGCGAAGCCGACGCTTTTCTCGGCGTGGTCGGCAGCTCGCCATGTGGCCCGTCCTCGCTCTCGCCGGGGAACGCAGCAGCAGGAGGAGGAGTAGTAGTCGTATCATCAGCAGTAACCCCCACAAACTCCGCAGGCACCTCCCCATCCACACTGGACGAAGAACCCCAGCGAACGCCATACGCCCTCGCGATCTCCGCGAGATAACTATCCACCAACTCCCCCGTCGGCGGCCGCACGCGCAATCCCTTGACCAACCGCTCCGGCACCTTGACATCCTCGAGCTTATTATCCTGCGCCAGCGCCATAAAGTCCTTGCCGTAGCGCTCACCCAGTAAATTCCGGAGGATGGTGAGCTCGCGCACCTCGTGCGGGAACCGGGGCCAGGCGTAGAAGATGACGGCGGCGGCTTCGTCGAGGGCGGCGTCGATGTACTCTGTTGGTGGCGTTGTGGTTGTGTCTGTTGTTGTTGTTGTGGTGGTTGACTCCCCCCCCTCATCATTCTTCTTCATCTTAGCGGTGGTTGAATTCCCCCCGAACCCGAAAAACGAGAACCTTGATCCCCCTCCCCCAGCGATATCGCCCTGCCCTTGCATCCCCTGCACCGAATGCTTATTTGCCCCCCCAGCAGCAGCAGTAGCAGCGGCTACAACTTTAGCGCGATTCCGAGCTTGCACCCCCTTCTCCCCAAATGCCGCCTGGTCCAACACATTCGCCCGCGCCAGTAAGAGCTCGCAGTACAGCTCGACCATCTCCATGACCTCGACGGCGATGTCGGTGGCGATGACATTCTCGACGCGGATGCGGGCGCTGGTGTCGCGCCCTTCCGCCAGTAAAGCGGACAGGTCGCGGCGCTGGATCACGCTGCTGGCGGTGTCCTTTTTTTGGAGGAGTCGGAGGCGCGGGATGAGGAGGTGGAGGGTGCTGGTTAGTTTTGTCTACAAGTAGGGTATTTTTTTGGTTTTGTTAGCTTGGGGATTTTGGGGAGGTTGGAGTGGGTTGGGTTGGGTTGGGTTTGGGGAATGCGATGCAATGCAATGCGACAATGCGATGCGGGGTTCCATTTGTGGGTTCGTCGGGTGGAGGAATGGAGACAAGGGTTGAAGAAGTGGTGGACAGGAACGCACTGTTTGTGGTGAAGGAGGCATTTTGAAGCCTTTCTGGAGATTTGCTTGGGAGACGAATCTGGGGTTTGTGTTGAGGTGGAATTGAATGGGTTGAAGCACGCCAGTTACAGCTTCATGAATAAAGCCTGGAGATGGAATGACGCTATGCCCTGGGCGGTCCCGCTTGGCATTTCCCCACGCGGGTCGCTGTTGTCGCTTTTTGCTTTGTAGGAGGTAACTTACTGCCAGAGTATAGTTACTTCAAAGTTCTCTCCCCCTCACTTCTTCTCATTCATCTTCGTGACCAGTCTTTATTCCTCATTCACCAAGACTACATTTCCCATCTTCCAGAATATCTTTCAGCAAATTAAAGATTATTATGATAACATCAAAACTCATCAATCAATAATATACAAGAACATCATATCATAAGGGTATACAAATAATATAAAGGTAAAAAATGTTCCTGTCCGAAGTGAAGTGAAGTGAGAGAAGAGAAAAAATATTAACGTAGAGAATGAGTAGGTTCGGATGCAGCAAGATACTTGCACCCGCGCGCACATCTACACCATCACAACGGCGCCAATAACCGCCAGCACCAATCCCAGCGTCGACACCGTCTTGCTTGCTGCAGCTCCCTGGGCGGCAGCCATAACCGTTGGGGTCGCAGAGGCTGCGCTAGCACCCTCTGACACTGCCTCCATTTGAATGGGCTCGGTTTCGTGGCCCGTCTCGACGAAAGCATGAGGTAGGTAGGTGTAGCGGGCGGATGCGGCTACGACGGCTGATGAGCTCACCTTCCAGCTCGACGAGGGCGTGTGAAGGGGAATGCGTGTGGAATCGAAAATGATCGTTGTAGAGTAGATGGTGGTGGTCCGGTCGCTGGCGGCGGTGGTACTGGAAGTGGTGAAGCTGGTGCTGGAAGCAATGGAGCTGGAACTGGTGGTGCTGACGGCGGTGCTAGTGCTGGTTGCGATTGTCGACGTGCTGGTGGCGCTAGAGCTGGTGCTGGTGCTGGTCGAGGTAGTTGAAGTGCTAGTGGTACTCTTGATGGATGAGCTCTGACTGCTGCTGGTGGCAACAACACTGCTGACAGTGCTGCTACTGCTGCTGCCACTGCTGCCGGACGAGCCACCCGCCTTGTCAAACACAACAATATTCGCCGTTTCACCCTTGGGAACAGTGACGACGCAGAAGGCTGCCCCGCCGGCGCCAATCGAGCTCGACCCGGTCATCTCGTTGACTCCGTTCACATCCGGATCGATCTTGCAGGGAAGTCCATTGCAGCCATCCCCCTCGCACTCGATCTCCACGCCAAAGTCGGGCACTACATCACGGAAAGGGGTAGTCGTTTCCAGGTAGATCGGGTTCCATCCAATCTTGACGTACGTGTCGCCCGTAGCATCGGTGTTGGCACCGGCAACATAAGGCGACCAGTTTCCAATGGGGCTCGCGGATGTACCCCAGACACAGGCGGTGTCAGTGCTATAGCCAGGTGGGTTGATATAGAAGCTGATATCGTCAGTTTCCTGCATTTCTCGTTAGGAATATACAAAAAGACTTACTGCGCCGCGGTCTCGAGCCAGTACTCAACATCCGGCACGGCCAGAGTCTCCAACTCCTGCACCAGGGTGGGGATGAGCATGGCCTCGTTACCTGGGAGGACCGTCTGACAAAATGCGACATGGCTGGAGCATTTGTTCTTCGCGCTCACAGCTCCGCTACCGTCTTGACAGTACGGCTTCTCCGGGAAGGGCTTCTGGATGTTGCCATTCTCGTCGCAATACAAACCGCCGTTCTACACATGCCGTCAGTCTTGATTTCTCCCACAACGTATCTGACTATGCGCATACCATCGACAATGGGTAGGAGTATGAGGTCGCCTCGGGATCCCATTGCATCGAGACCTGCCCGGGAGGGCAGGCATACGGACAGTATCCGCCGGGCGTGCACTCCTGGTCTGGACTCATGGCCCAGCCACCGTTCAGCTCGTCCGGGGTGACTGCCACCAGGCCCGCATCCGAGGGAAACTGACAGCTCCCAGTGCGCTTGGCCACCGAGGTGCTTGCTTCGCCGACCGAATGGTGTCCATGACGGTGGGCATGCTTGGCAGCCTCAACCCCAGCAATGAGAAGCAATGCAGTTGCGCTAAAGGTCTTCATGGCGTTCTACAGGGTTCAAAAAGGTGATATCGAATCGAGTATTATGACCTGACTGAGGGGGGAAATGATAGGTATGGTTGCCGACTGGCGATGGATCAGAAACACTGATCCCGAAACGAAAGACTGTGGTCAGGAGTTTGCACGAGAAACGAATGACTGAGGTTTGAAACACCTGAGGAGGAAAGAGAAGAAGGAAAGAAGGAACAAGAGAGGAAGAGGAAGAGGAGGAGGAAGAAGCACGGAAGACCAGGCAGAAAGAACGAGCCTGGCGGGCCCAAGCTGCAGCGCGATCAACCATGGCCATGGCAGAGAGGCAGGACAGCCATCATCTACGACGGTTTAGCGCCCCGGTGATGGACTCAAGTCAGGGAAAGCTGGAGGAGTGGGGCTCTTGCAACTCGACAAGGGACTCAACTGGGATAGCTTATCCTGTTGACACTGGAGCACATTTCCCAGAATGGTAAATCTCCAGGTCATATTCATGCAAGTTCATGCAGTTCTCTGGACGTCTTCGGGATCGCCAGGCCGCCAGCCTGGAGTCGCAGTTCGTTCCTTTCCTTGACTAAGTAAAGCGTCAGGGGGTCGAACCAATAACGAGTCATCAGCGCACTTTTTCGACTACCGGCAGTTCATGGGTTTTCTCCGCTAGCCCTGTGGAGATTGGCCAACAGGGTTCATGTCCACTCACGCTCCCTCTCCCCTTTTGCTGGTGGCTTTCGTATTCGTTTGTCCCGGTCGACTCGAACTGCACTCAGCCAACCTGCATGCATGCAGAACATCCATCGTGTGTTTGACTCTATTTGATTTTAACTGAGTTAGCCGCCCTTTTCCGAGGCCATCGTTAATGATCTAGTAGACCTACTAGGACCTACTAGGGTGAATTTGGCTCTCGAGGTTTATTTCTCCCTACCAATAAGTTGCTCACCGTACAGACTACCTCTCCCGCGAGTCCCCCCCCTATTTTCCAGCACCGCTCGATAAACTTCGAATTAACCACCACACTTCACCCGCTCTGATAAGGATCATCATCAGTCTAGATTCGACCACAGCACAAAGCTCGTCCCTGGCCTGGTCGCAAAGCTCGCTACCAAAAGGGGGACCAATGACTAGCCTTTCCTCGACCTCCGTGGCCGCCGCTAGTCGAACTGGTCAAGCAATAGTGTGTCTGTGCCCGCTTGGCTGCAATCAATGCTCCCTCGCCAGCCCGCCACACACCGTTGAGCTTGGAGCAACTGCCCATGCACCCCAGCTTCTCTGTGGAGGACATAATTACAAACAAATACCGGTAGAATGCCAGATTCTGCAATTGATTGAACAGGTTAAATCTTATGTAGGCCTGGAAAGCGCTGACACCCTCGAACTCCTATTGTGAACCTTTGGCCCATGTCCCGGACCGATGCGCCGCTGATGCTGAACAACAAATTGATCTGCCTAAACCACTCGAGTCATCCTCCGTCCCCAGACTAGACCGAACTATTTCCTCTTCCGAGGTACCGCCATCGGCTCAAACCCATCACTATCATCGTCGATCTCTTCGCTCATTACCCTTGTTCCCCTCGCTCTCGTGGTTCGGGGGGCACTGCTTTGGGAACCCACAAAGTTCAGCGTCGTTTGGGTTTGTTGACGGGATCTTGTTTGGCGCGTGCCTGTTTGCGTTGCCGCCGTAGTCCTAATTGAAGCGGCAGAGGGAGCGGCCGCGCGACGCTGGCTAGCACTCTTTGTGGAGGGCGCCGGCGGGGCCGCGGCCGCTTTTGCCCTCCGTGTACGAGTAGCAGGCTGCTTCACAAAGAGAGCCTGGGAATCATCATCTTCGTCATCTTCCTCGCCAATATCCGGCAGGGCAGATACCACGTCGCCGCCATCATCATCATCATCGTCGTCAAGCATGATCACATCTTCCTCGTCTTCGTCGTCCTCGTCCTCCGAAGCAGCGCGGAGGCGGCCTTTCCCTGCCGTTTTCTTTGCCGGGGTCGCTGTAGCCTTCTTCGTTGCCGTTGCTGTGGCTCGCGTGGTTGCAGCGGTTTTCCGCGTGGTCGTTGTAGTTGATGCTGCGGCGCGCCCGCCGCGTCCCCGGCCTCTGCCACGCGAGGTTGCGGATGCGTGAGTCGTCGTAGCAGCAGGCTCGGTCCCGTCCTCTGCAGCGACGTCTTCATTAGGATCCCCTCCCTCATTGTCTGAGTGAATCAGCGCCCCCGGCTGATCTTCCCATGCGCCATCAAACTCGGAATCCCAACCGTCGGGCTTGGGTTTGTAGCGTCTCTTCCCACCTCGAGCAAGGCGAGTGCGCTTCTTCGCGCCTCGGTTGAACGTATCCTCCATCTGGGCCCGATACCTCTCCATGGCCTTTTGTAATGAGCTTTGCGCGAGCTCCTCCGCCGCATCAATGTCGTCGGTGTCGCGGTCCAACGCCATGAGATGCTTGATCTGGCTCTCCAAGGATTCATTCACAAACATCTCCAGAGCATGCTTGTCGTCCTTGTCAATGAACTGAGCCACCGCGTCGCCGAAGGAATTCTGGGGCAGGATGGTCAGGGACTGCGTCGAGAGAAAATCGCGAACCAGCTGCTCGACTTTCACGGTGTCGAGGGTCGCGAGATGCGAAATGGCCGCCTCATCTACTTCCGCCGTGCCGTCCTTCCGGCGGGTGGTGCCGGCCGTATTCTTCTTCTTACGGTGGAATTGGACGACGTCGTTGACATTGGCGACGCGGCCGACAAACCGGTTGGAGAACCGTTGCGGATTTTCGCAGTCGAAGCTGTCGCCCTCTGGGGTGGAGATCTCAACGCGGAGGCGGACCAGCGGTAACGGGACCTCGCGCTCCTGCGGGTTCTCGTCGTCATCATCGCCTGCAGTGGCGGTCGGCTCCTCGTCTTGCATTTCGAGCCATTCGTCCTTGGCTTGCTCGATCAGCTCCTCGACGACGCCCATCAGGAATCGCGTGAGTTCGGTCCGGTTGTTTTCCTTGCGGGCAAGTTTCTGCGCCCCCTTCTCTTCGGAGAGGACGATCTCGCGCATTGCGAAGGGGCGGACGGTCTTGAGGCGAATAGGCTCGCTCTTGAACTCTCGACCTGTGATGCTGACAATCGAGACATGTTTGGCGACGGCTTCACCGGGGACTAATGAGGTGGCGACGGAGGACCCGGGCTGCATGACATGGAAGTGGTGTTCTGGGTTTCTGCGCGGGTTGATCAGGCATTCGTGTTCGTGGCCCCAGATTACCAAATCCAGGAAGTCCGGCAAGAAATTCTCGGGGAGGTATCCCGTCTCAGTGTAAGCATGATGGTTCTGATGGACGCAGATGAGATTGAACCAGTCTTCCTTTTGGATGGAGGGCTGGAAGAACTTGACCTTGCCGTCGCGGAAGGTGCGGAACAGACGCTCGTCGCGCACGTTGCTGATCCCGTAGAGAGCGAGCTTGGTCCGCCCCTTCTGCAATAACACAGGCTTGACCTGAATGTTGTCGGACTCGGGCGTACGGCCGTAGTAATTGATCAGCCCGGAGACCTGCAGGAGGTCCAGCGCCGCTAGATGGCCTTCGCCCGAAGGGTCGTCGTGGTTGCCGTGGATGGAGAAGATCGGAATGGCCACGTTGATGTCCAGATCCTCGTAGTTGACGTGGTTGAACGCCCCCTGAAAGTTCTCGCTGGCGTCGCTCAGCATCTCCAGCTCGCATGGCTTGTCGCCCAGACAGTTCATGCGGATCGAGCGCATCACTTGATACATGGACTTGCGCGACGGCTTGTTCTCGTGGAAGAGATCGCCCGCTAGAAGCACCATGTCCACATCGCGCTCCTTGGCCAGACACATCACCTCGTGGAAGCTCTTCCAGCTGTCGTCGCCCCGGATGGGGTCTCGTTCGTTGTAGCCGACATGATTGTCGGTTGCCACGAGGATGCGGATGGTTTCCGCGTCTGGTGATGATTAGTAAAATAGAGCACCTGAAATTTCCATTAGGATGACTCACCCCCGAGATTTGGCATTTCGTGTCTATGCGTATAGTGAGATGGAAGGACGCAATGTTGGTGAGGAGCAAGAAGAGATGCAGACGCTAAGATGGACTAGGTTATATTACTACTACTTATCATGAATCGTCTGGCTGCCTGGGATGGGGCCAGTGCTGCCTGAAGTTTCAACGGCTCGAATCGAATGCAAGCAGACTCTTGTGCCTGAGTTTTGCTCTGGTTGGCTGCAGTGATTCTCCATGGGATCGATTACTAGCTCGATTTAATCAATTACTTTGAGATCAATCAAGCGTCGCGCCTCGTCGCGCGTTCACGTGACCTGGATCATGGGACGCGGGCGAGACCGGCTCGAGTTCGTCCGATCCCCTCCTTTCGTCACTTCGGATCTCTCTCTCCCCTCCCTTCTCTTCCTCCCTTCTACTTCGCTCTCTCCTTGGTTTCTCTTTCACCATTCTCTTCTTCGTCTTGGAATCTCTACGGCTACGGTTTCCTTCTGCCCATCCTGTCTGTCCGTGCGCCCCCCATTCCACCATCACCTTCCGCCCATCTTCCCTTCTCGACTGATCCAGACTGTCTCCCTGGTTCAGTCGCCTCCGTTGTGCCACTTACCCCGCGAAACTCTTTTATGCAATCAGAGCCTTCCACAGTCTTCAACCGCTCGCCTCCGGTTAAACCCTTCTCGGAAGAACTTCTCGATTCCACCCAGCATGGACATGATTCACATGGTGAGCAACGAGTCTCTGGGTTTCGCGATGGCGAACCCCGAGACCACTCACTCAGCCGTGACTCATCCGGCGCGCTGCCGCCCTTGAACGGACATAGCGCCACTTCACCACCGCTCGAACCGTCATCTATCGATCCTGTCACCCAGTACGAGATTGCTGCTGCCGCGCAATCCTCAAGGAGCCCGGCCGATCGGGGTCTTAAGGTAGTTCCCTCAGTATCTACGTACTCGGGCGTGTCGTTGGACTCTTTCCCGAACGGTATGCTCTCACTCCGTCTGCTTTTTCCCATTCAGGAACCCGACCATCTGACTTGCTGCGTTGAACAGAGGTTCTCACGCACATCCTGTCGCATCTGCCTCCTCCGTCGTTGTCGTCGATTGCGCTGGTATCTCGTCGGTTTCACAACCTGGTCACCACTCCCCACGCGTGGCGAATCGCATTTTCCCGGTACTTCCCGGGTCCATACACCGCGGAAGATGGCGCATGGTTGTCCGTTGGTGAAAACTCGGACCGTGTGACCTCTGACAAGCGTTATTTCTCCCGATTGACGGCTTTGGCGTCGTGGCGGAGCGAATACATCCTCCGCACTCGCTTGCTGAGGTCGCTCTCCAGGGGTAAGCCGGGTCAATTTGAGCCTTCGAAGAGATCCGGTACCATCCGCTCTGCGAATGTTCGCAACGGTAGCGCGGTGGTCACCTATACGTCTCAACTTCTGTACCCTGTCAGCCATCTGCACGGCTCGTTTGGGTCGGAGGTTACGAAGAAGGAACCTCTCTTCATCCATGGAGCTTCGGAACAAGGCATAGCGTGCGCCAGCGACCCTTCTGCGGTCAAGGTCGGCACATGGGGTCTTTCCGATCACCAGATGTTTCGGCACTTCGCTGATCTATTCCCTGGTGATGCAGAGTATGGACTTGGATCCGGAGACCTCGCCGGAATGCCGAACCGCATGGATGTCAGTCAGCCGTATGGTATGATATACGGCGAGGCTTGTCCACAGGGTCGTACCTATTTCATCTCCACTACAGAGCAACGCGGAAGATTTCTAGGCATTTCGGACCTCGGTTCTCAGCCTCGTCTGGGCATTCCCGCAATCAACCACATTACTAGCGGTACAACCGCTGTCTGGATTGCAAAGTCCTCTAATATTCTCAAAATGACTGATGGCTTGGTTGCAATGCTTTCTGGTTCTTCCACCGGTATTCTGTCTGCGTATGCTCTGGGTCCTCATCCTACCTATGAAAAACGGTACGAAAGAGGCCAGGTGACCGCAAAATGGGCACTATGTCCTGGCGTTCCCATCGTTGCGATCGCTGTCGATGAGAGTTTTTCTCCGAAACGCTATGCACGTCGCCGTATCTGGGCGACTGTTTTGAATGCATTAGGCGAGGTGTTCTACTTGTCTGATCTCCCGCGACAGCCGGATGTTGCTTCCACGAAATTGAGTGCTGAAGAATACGATGAACTGGCCTGGAAGACTGGCCGAAGTGTCCGGTGGGAGTTGGTAGAGCTGACTAGGCGGACTGCTCGCCCAGATCCGTTCAGTCGCGAACCTCTCGATGGAAGCTACAGCCCTAGATCCTCATGCGATGCCATGAAGCTCGACGAGAAGCAGGTAACTTCTGAGACAAAGGAGATTGAGCGCTTTCTTTCGTTCAAACCGAAGCATTTCAGGAAAGTGTGCGAGGGCTGGGACATGAGACGCGAGCTGACGGTGGATTTCGCTGGCGATGATGGTCGGGGCGCGGGTGAATCGATCCTAGTGATTTCTCGCGGCATAGGCGAGGATGAAACAGCGGCGATCCGCCGTTACACTCGGAAAGTATCCAAGCTTGTTATGCCACCTTTGAACCTGGCCTCTCTTGCTGCGGATGGCGCTCCCGCACCGTCTCTGTTTGGGGGACCTGTGAAGTCACCCATTATATCCGCGTCTGTCGGCACATCTGGAAGTTCCACTCCCTCTCAACTCTCCAACGGTCTCGGTGATACTGTGTGTACGGCTGCAAATACCGAATGGTACATCTCAGACTTCAACTTCAGCGACCGAAAGTCGGTTCAGATCACGACCACTGCCGTGGATCGGTCGACTTACGCCCTGCTTACAGCCGATGAGGATCCGTTGATTGGGTTGTCTGGTAGTTCGGCTTTCTCGTCCGCTATGTCATCTCCATTGCCGCACCTGAAACAGACTGTGTCGAACAACGATGTCCCAGGTCAACGCGGACGATACCTGGCTGTGGGTACCACCACAGGAATGGTCTTCGTTTGGGACATTCGCTCCCCGGCCTCGAAGAACTCCGAGATTGTCAACGATATCGGGCCCATCCGCGTGATTCAAACTGAGTCACCGCAGGTGTCTAGCGTAGCATTGACGTCGTTGTATCTGGTTCACGGAGGGAACGACGGGCTTGTGCAGGCCTGGGATCCTCTGGCGTCCTCCACCCGGCCGATTCGCACGATCAACTCTCGCTTCTCCTCGCGCGCCCGTCGCCGTCTCGTTCAAGCCGAGGCGTCAATGCATGGGGTTGGCAACAACTATTATGCCACGGGCGCAATCTGCCTTGACACGGACCCTACTGTCCTGCGTGGCATGGTGGCTTTGGGAACCCATCTGCGGTATTGGTCATATAGCTCCTCTGGTGCTGACCAATACAAGACAAGCAAGCGACGGCTGCGCCGCGGCCCGAGAGGCAGCAATGTCGCTGCGGACGGTGGCCAGCGCTTCAGCAACAGCGGCCGTGGCGCACTGAATGAATACATTCAGGACGAACGTGTTGAGATGGAGCGCCAAAGAATTGCCGACGAAAAGCAACGGGCGCATCTGAGCCAACGCTTCGGCGTGGATCTTCTAGGACCCGACATCAGCGAAGACCAAATGCTCGCATATGCCCAGCTCCTCAGCGAAGAATCCTTCTCGAGCGAAGCCTTCAAGCGTGGTGATGTCGCTGTTCCCGCGGAATTTGCCACCGCCAGCTCCGCAATGAGCACTTCCAGCGACACGATCGGATTCAACGAAAGCTCCTTGGCGCCGGACGAACTCTCCTCCGCCTCATCTCCGTACGACGACCCCCTGGACAATGCCAACCTCGACCCGGACATTGCCGAAGCCATCCGACTCAGTCTGTTGGACCAGCCCCCCAAGCCGGACTTGGGTCCTCCGGCCTTCGACTCGGGGCCCCATTCCACGTCCTCGTCTCCGCAGGCATCAACGTCCCCGGTCCCCGAGAGCAGTCGCCAGCAAGAGATCGATGACCTGGAATTCGCCATCCAGTTGAGTCTCGCCGAGGCGGAGAGCCAGCAGTCTCAGTCCCGCCCGGACGAATTTCCAGCGCTTGCGCAGTGGGCGGCGTCGTCCCCACCTCCTTTATCCGGGCGGGATAAAGGCAAGGGTCGCGCCTCGTGATTCACATGTTCCCGACGAACCTATAGATGTATTGTTCAATTCGGCCTCTTTGCAACTCGATCGTCTAAGCTTTTCCGTGCTATACTTCTCTGCGTGTCTTCGAGCGGTTCCCACTCGCTCAGTGGAATTCATTCTCTGATGTTGTAGTATCTTTGGTTATTGTGGTACATCAATACTGCTTCGTACATGTTTGACTCTTTTCTTTTCCCCCGCAGCGTTGATTCTAGACTCGGTTTCGTCCAATAGTGTATGCTGTCGTCTAAATCTTTATTGTGACGGTGAACAGGCATCCGTATGTCAATGCTAGAAAAATCCCACAATAAAGCGACTAGACCAAATATAGCCCAAGTCAGGCTGTCTTTGATCGAGATTTGAAACCTGATTTGCATAGCATGATTCATGAATAAACCTCTCTAACCTTTCCAAGGACTCACCCAATACATCCCTTTCGGACCTACACTAGTCACGAAGTTTTGTGATAACGATACCTCTTCCCCCCTCCCCTCTTTTCCCACATGAGCAGAAAGTAATAAGAATGTGATTAGGCAGAAATTGGTATATACAGCAAATGATGGATTAGACGATATACTCGTTAGCAGCAGCAAGCAAGCCAGCAAGCGAACAAGGCGAAAAGCAAGCAGACTAAAAAGAGCTCATATTCCCGTGCCTCTTCCCCATACCTGGTTCATGGGCCTTCCGGGGCTTTCATATGGAATGGGAGAATCGACGACGGAGACTGTCATTCTGCTTTGTACATAAAATCATCTCCCACACCACCGACCATCTGGGTCAGATGGAGGCCTGCGGATGTTCGCCGGGAACAGGAAGAGCCCGCGACTGAAACAAAAGACCCAAGCGTGTCAAGCAAAGACTCAGCGGGACGATGCACGCGGAGGATGAAGTTCATATATATATATATATAGATATAGATATAGATATAGATATAAAATGCATATCACTGATATCTATATCATGTATGATGGGGAAGGAATGTTCACAGCAAGAAGGCAGCGAACAGGGTGACTCCGCTCAGAAGACCGAGGACGGAGGCGGACATCTGAGCCGCGGCGGTGGCACCGCTCTCCTTGGTGCTGGAAGTGCCGGAGCTGCTGGAAGCGCTGGAAGTGCTGGACGAGGTGCTGGACGAGTTGCTGCTGGTCGTGGTGGAGGTCTCGTTGTTGGGGACGTTGGACTCGTCGCTGGCCAGGACGGTGTACTTGATGCTCGAGAGCTTGCCGCCGCTCGAGGAGTAGATGGTCTGCGGGATAGTCGTGGATGAGACAGTAACAAGCTTGCCGACGGTGGCGTTGGTGTAGCCGTTGCTGATCCAGTCACCGACCTTGGTCGGGCGGGTGGGAAGGTCCCAGGAGTTGAGGAAGGAGCCACTGATCAAAGAGGCGTCGCAGGTGACAGCCTCCTGGGAGGTCTGGGTGGCGTTCGAGGACTCAATGCTGGTCATATTCAGCTTGGAGTACTGGGTCTTCAGGTTGTCGTAGTCGACCAGGAGGGTGGCTACGTCGCTGCTGTTGATGGCGACGAGACCGTAGTTGTTCGCCTCCTGAGTCCACTCGTAGACCAGACCGCCAGAGAAGACGGCGGACATGTCCTTGCCATAGATGGTCGGGACCTCGGAAAAGGTACGGGGAGTGACCTCGTTGCAGCCGAACTCGGAGAAGAAGACGGGCAACGAGGAGTTGGAGAAGTCCTCAACAAGCACGTTGTAGCCACTCTCCGTGTAGCTGGAGTCTCCGCACCAGGAGTAGGAGTTGAGGCCAAACAGGTCAGCCTTAGAGCTGGTCGAGTTCTTGAGGTCGCACTCGAAGTAGTTAAGGGTGTCGACTAGGACGTCGCGCACGTCTGCAGCAGAGTAACCGACGGGAATGGTACGGTTGGCGTTCTTAGAGATATAGTCCTTCATGTCACGCGTGACAGCCTGTGATTGCGGGAATTGTTAGCTGTCTGGACTCTCTGAGTATGGAGGCAAGACAGCTCCTACGTACCCGAACGTAGGCCGGAGCCTCATAGACGCTGTCTTCGTTGATGACCTCGTTGCCAGAGAAGAAGGCAAGGGTGTTAGGGAAGTTCTTGAAGGCCTCGATAACACCGAAGACCTGCTCAAAGTACTCGGCATTGTAGGTACCGGATGGGTCGGTACGATCCAGCGATCCACCGGACAGCGGAGAGTTCACATCCAAGATCATATAGATACCAGCGCCGTTGAAGATGGAAGCGCACTTGCTGTGGTCGATGGTAGGCGACAAGTTGTAAACACGGATGGTGTTGACACCGAGGCTCTGCATCAGGGCGGCATCACGAAGACAGGCGTCAGGCTGGCTGAGGGGATCCTCAGTGGTGCTGAAGCCGGACGAACCACCGGGCTGGTAGCTGTAGGTAAGAGTCGATTGTCAGTGAATCTGTGGAATTGGGGATGATGGCCTGCGTGGATTGGATCGCTGCTTACTCGACACCCAGGATCTGGAAGCGATCACCAGTCTCGCTGTTGACAAAGTCGGTACCCTTGACGACCAGGGGAGTGACAGCATTGGCAGTAGTAGCCAGAGCGCACGCCGTGGCGAGCAGACGAGCATAAGTCTAGATAAGACGAGGTCAATTGGTGTTTCAGTGGAAGTGGAGGTGGGGGGAGGGAAGAGAAGTATAGGATGGTTTGTTGCCTGAAAAGGGGGGCACCCACGGGAATCATCTTGGCTTTGGTCTTCTTTTTTCCTATTCCTGTCTCTTTCTTCTTTCCGGTTCTGTATTTATGAATATGTTATTTTATAGGTCGATGTCTAGCACCGAATGCAGCGAGAGATGATCTTCAAGAACGAGTGAACGAAGGAATTAACCAACAGAAGAGAAACGAATGACGAAGAATGGGAAGGAAGACAGAGAAGTAGCGAGAGCAAAGGGAGACTAGCAGGAAAAAAGCAGGGAAAGTGAGATGTGGTGGTTAAAAGTACAAAACCAACCACTTCCAAGTTCTGGCAAGGGAAGGGGCGCATCCCTGGCCTTGTCTTCTCCTCTAGTGTCATCCAGTGATTTAATCACGGCCAATCCATCGCGCAAATTGGCAGTGGACCTGGTCAGCCTCGCGTTCTGCGCTCATTGGCCTAGAGGGAGTTTGGACGAGACATAGCGGCACCGACGATCGACCCTGGCACGAGCTGCGAATTATTGCACGCACTGGAAAGAGGTCCGTGGATAATGAAACCAACGTTCGAAGGGTCATTGGCGGAGTGGCCCGCGTCAGTCTCAATTTCACATACACTATTGATCGCATTTCATCCCTTTTTCGTGCTTAGATGTTGTTGCTTATACTTGAGTTCCATAATTGTCTGATATCAACCATCACCATTTTTGATCTTCCCATCGAAACCCCCCTCCCCCCCCCTCCCTTCTTACAAGAATAAAGAGGACCACTGCTCGCTTCTAAAATACACGCCCCAGCAGAGAACAAATAAACCGGGGCAAAGACACCAGGGGAAAACAAGAAAAGAAATCATCATCAACTTCAACCCACGCAAGTCATCATGGCGCCGAGCATTACCAAGAGTTGTCCCTCCCATCGACACTCAAGACCCAATGCAAATATACAGGGGAGATGGGGGAAAGCTATAAAAGACAAAGAAAACACATGCAGAACTTGAGAAATTACACGAGTAGCGGAGAGGGTAAGTGGGATCAAGGATGATGTTTAGACAGATCCCTCGGTATGACCAAGCATGGACCGGGAATCACCATCACAGAAGCGACCTCCGTTCCAAAACACAGATTCGTGGCAGAAGAGAGACGGAGTATGAAATGAAAGCGTCAAACACGACAAAGAGAGTTGATCAGGGCGAAAGGATTTACTCCACGCCGTGGCTCTCGGGGCCTGAGCTCTCTGCCGTGAAAGAGCCGAGCTGGAGTCCGGCATCCATGGCAACCATTTCAGCGAGAATCTCCAAAACCTCCTTGGGCACCGTCTTGTCGTAGATGGAGATGAGGTCCTTGGGCTGGGGGTAGACCTTCAAGGCCTTGTAGAAGCATAAAGCCGCCTCGATAGGTTCTGTATCTCGGTTAATATGTATATCGCCGGAATATTGCGGAGAAAGGGCGCGGAGGCCGGCATCACCGTGGAAGACACATACCTTCCGCACAGAGAGACTCTCCACGGGCAACCTGGCCCATGAAGTAGGCCTCCTTCTCTTCCAGGTCAGTGGGGAAGCCCTCGTCCTTGGCCTGCTGCACAACGGCCTTAATGGTCTCGCGCTGCATGGCGCCCTGGGCCTCGGCTTCCTCCTTCTCAGCCCGGGCCATACGACGGTTGTTGCGCTTCAGAGCGCGACGGAACTCGGGATCGGTCTGGCGCTTGTGATCAAAGTAGACAGCGTAGGCTAAGCGGACAGGGAAGACGCGTTAGCATCGCATCACGCAAAGCAGCCGATATCACTGCTTAAACTAAAACGTACCCAAGAGGCCGGTGATGATCGTGCCGGCAGTGGCGGCAACCAAAGTTGTGGTTCTCATGATGAAGGCGGAAGCGAGAGAGAAGGTGATGGGCGGGGAGAGACAGCGACAACAATAACCACAGCCGGAGATAAGTAGATGGAGCGAGTTGAAGGAGGGTAGTTGAAGATGACGACGAGATGCGAATGGCTCAATTGGGGAATGATTTTGCCGGGATCATCATTTCTCCGCATCGGACATATTCTCCCGCTTCGGCCTTCGTGCCTGGAGTTGATCATCATCATCATCATCGACTCCTTCCCCTCCATTGTTCTACCCTCTTTACCTCGACCGACCTTTGATTGCAGGTTCAATCTCTTCTTTTCCCTCTCTCTTTGTATACGTCACCATGGAAAGCCGTGGCTTGACTCTCCGCAGCAAATCTCGCCGGCCCCGACCCCAGATCAGTGCTCCGAAGCCCATCTCCGGCCCTCTTCCGCCCAACACCACCAGTCCCAGCCCCAGCACTTCAACCACTACTTCTGCTGTCAGTAAGCCTGCTGTACCCGTGCAGGGGGCAACCGCCAGCTCTGCCACCAAGGATGCGACTTCCGATCTAGTCAAGCGACGGTACTCTACCAGATTCAATCAAGTCCCCGACTTTGATGGCGTGCCGCCGGTGCCCGGACTCCCTCCGCTCCCGGCCACGTATGGGGGATTGAGTCCCCCCGAGACGAGTCGTCGACCCTCCACCGAGTCATCGGGTCCGCCAAAGGTCGATCTAAATGCATTGCGAGATCCCAGTTTGCCCGTCGATAAATGTGAGTGGGCGCGGCCTTGTTTCAAACCCGTCCAGCTTCGGTACTGATTGTGCGCATAGATGTGGCCAACTTGCTTGCGAATGCGTCCGAGGAAGAGATTGAAGAATATCAGCGCAGCCTACGAAAGGTCAAGAACCGAACATCGACCGACCTCCAGCAGAATGTTTACCAGAATCGGACCCAATTCATCAAGATCAGTAAAGAGGCGGAAAAGCTCAAAGGGGAGATGCGGACTCTACGGACCCTAATGGCGGAGCTGACAACCGCACTCGGCCAGACTACAGTCGGCACCACCTCAAACCTCATGTCCCCGATGCCCGATGAACGGCTATCCAAGCGCCACGCCAATCGCAGTTCGATCGCGAACCTCGAGAGCATGTGGAACGTGCAGTTGCAGACGTTATGGAAGACGGTGGAAGGATCGCAGAAATTCTTGCCAGTCGTGCCCGGCCGGCACATCGTGATGGAAAGTGGACATTGGGTTGAGCTGGATTCAGCAACGTGGAAGCCGCGGCGCCCCGTGCACATAGTGCTGTTGAACGATCATCTGCTGGTGGCGGCCAAGAAGCGCAAGCGCGTGGACCAGAGCAGCCACCGGGGCCCTGTGCCCACCAAGCTGGTAGCCGAAGAATGCTGGCCTTTGCAAGATGTGGACATGATCGATTTAGGGGCTAATCTGGGGGCGGGCGTTGCGCGCGAGGAAGCTGAAGATCGAGGCATCACCAATGCGATCAATGTGCGTGTTGGAGGCAAACCCTTCACTTACCGACATGACAAGCGGGACAGCTCCGCCAAGAGTGATCTACTTGCTACTTTCCGAAAGACAGTCGAAGACCTTCGGCGTACTCTCCGGTCGGAAACCGAAGCCGCTGGCAAAGCTGCCCCTGAGACGATAGGTTATCGCGGGGTGCGCCACCCTTCCTATTCTCCTCAACCGGATCGGTTGGACAGTGTGGATAGCGGACGGGACAAGCCTGAGTTGCGCATTGATGTAGACGGCAAGCAACAGAATTTGCGATGGCTAGAAGGGCAGGTGGACGAATTAGACATAGACATCGCTCTGCAACGGTTTGAGGATGCCGTGGGCCACATTGAGCGATTGCGCAAACTGGCTAGAGGACTGAAGAGCAATGCGGTCGCGCAGGACGTGATCACAACGAAGGTCGATGAGCGTGCGGCCACCCTGGCGGAGGTCTTGCTGCGTGCTCTGGTGGAAACTCACTCATTCCCTCAAGCCACTAAGACGAAGACAACATGGCTGATGCGCCTGGGCTTTGAGGACCAAGCTCGGGAGGCCTATCTCAAAGCGCGGTCTGATATCATATCTAAGCGAATCCGGTGGGTTCTATCTCGTCTCCATTCCAATGGCATGGACTAACATGCTATAGAGCCTGTGTTTTCGAGGGCGACCTCCCGATATACATCTTCCAGATATCGTACGTCTACTTTACCTTGATCAAGAACACGATCAGTATCTACCAGCAGTGCTTCCCGCCAGCCATGTCTAGCGCTAGTATCAAATGGGCCAAGTATCACCTCGACGGGTTCAATGCGCTCCTCACGCGGCAGCTTAGCAGTGTGCAGCGCGGCACCACGGTATATCAGAAATGCCTTGATATCGTGCACGAGCATGCCAACCTATTGACCGAGGTCGGTGTCGATTTCACTGACCTCGTCGCGAAGGGGCTCGAGGTGGAGGATCTCGCCGAACGTCCGCAGATGACGCGCTCGGAGTCGTTAATCTCGGGGTTGGCCGAAGCTGCGGCTGCTGCGTCGCCGGTCATCTGAGGTGGAGTCATAGTTATGGGTTTCGTCCAGCGTTGAGTTGTTAGCCTGCATATATACGCCTACATTTAGTACCCCAGCCTCAGGAGGCTTCATTGTGTGACTGTATGATTCGGTTCTGTTAGAGCTTGCTGCTCTCTGTTTCTATATCTTTAGACCTATGCAACCATGTGTCGATTACGATCCGCTTGAACGAAGAGAGAATCAAATGAAGAGATACTGGATCCCGGGTGAAAGATCACCCCTAAGCGGTCCGACTTCGGCCGGCCAATAGCGACACGGTCACGTGCTTCATACTTGTCCTGATCATTCCTTAGCCCACCAGGGGGATGTGTTTGCGATACCGACAATATCTTGGTAGTACACTAATGACTTAATGACTAATGCTCTCTCAGAAGCCATAAGACGAATATGTCGAATCGGAGGAATTGCCACCGAAAAGAGGATCTTTGGTTCCTGGACGTAACTGACTCAATACGTAACTAAAAAAAATCCCTCGGCCAGCGACCGAAGCCGAAGCTGCGGTCGGAGTCCAGAAGTAGTCGCCGAGGGCGTCTTCCGGCATGCATTGGACGATCGACAACGAGCAATGGAGGGACAAGCGGGGAATCATTACTTGTTCGTCTTGTTTTTCTGATCCAATTCTCTTCTTCTCTCTCTTTCTTCCACACGCGTGCGCTTGTTTGGATTTCTTGAGATACCACTCTGCTTCATATCATACAAGATGGGCCTCACCACCGAAGTACAGGACGGTACGACGCAACCGCAGTTGAGGTACGAGCTGGATCCCCGAACGCCCTTGCGTTCTCTTGCGCCGATGATGATCTCCTCATGCTCACACGTCGACCCAAAAGACAACCCAATAATCCCCTGAATTTAGCAGCATTGCCTTCGCTGCCCCTGTTCCTCGCGGCCAAGGAGCATGCAGAGAATCTCCCCGACCAGATCGCTGTGGACGATGCGACCAAGGGTCAACAGTTCACCTTCCGCCAACTGCTGGCTGATACGGCCGCACTGAAGCGGCATCTACTTGCGACGCTCTCACTTACGGAGACCGGAGACTTGGGGGAACGTCGGATCGCTTTCCTGGTGCCTAATGGCTACGATTACGTGGTTACACAATGGGCCATCTGGGCCGCGGGCGGCGTCACTGTGCCACTCTGTAAGTTTTCGATCTTGTTGCACCGTTGACTGTCTCCTACGTACTTTAGGACGATGAACTTTCCTGTCAGGAAAAGCACTGACCATCGGTGCTCTTTTGGAAAGGTACCTCGCATCCGGTCAAAGAGCTTCTGTATACGATCGGGGACTCGGATCCCTCGTTGATCATCCTGCATCCCACCTTTGCCGGCACCCAGCAAGCTCTGGTAGAGGCGGGCCTCAACAACGAAAGCACACACCCAATTCCCTTCATGAGCCTCGCGCCTTTTCAGCAACAGAACGAGGCCCAGCTCGCATCGCTCCCCCTGCCCGAGTTCTTCTCTCTGGACCCCGAACAGTGGGCCCTCACCCGCCGGGCGTTGATGATTTACACCTCCGGCACGACCGCCAACCCCAAGGGGTGCGTCACCACGCATAAGAACATCACCTTCCAGGCGCGATCGCTCGTCGAGGCGTGGAAGTACTCCCCCTCGGACCGCCTCATCCACGTGCTCCCCCTGCACCACGTCCACGGGATCGTCAACGGGCTGGCCGCCTCTCTTCTCGCGGGCGTGACCGTGGAGATGCACCCCAAGTTCGACCCGCAGGTGATCTGGCGCCGCTGGACCGAGGGCGGCTCGACGATGTTTTTCGCCGTGCCGACCATCTACGCCCGGCTGGTCGACGACTTCGCGGCCCGCATCCAGGGCACACCGCAGGAGGCGGGGGCGCGGGCCGGCGCCCAGGCCTTGCGGCTGATCGTGAGCGGATCCGCGGCGCTGCCGACGCCGATCAAAAAGAAGTTCGCCGCGATCACGGGGGGCCAGGTGCTCCTGGAGCGGTACGGGATGACGGAAATCGGCATGGGGATCAGTTGCGGGCTGCCGGTGGACCAGCGGATTGACGGGAGCGTGGGATGGCCGTTGCCCGGGGTGGAGGTGCGACTGACGGACAAGGAGACCGGACGGGTCATCGAGGGGCCCGACGAGGACGGGATGATTGAGATTCACGGGGACAACGTGTTCCGGGAGTATTGGCGTCGTCCCGACGCCACGGCCAAGGAGTTCACGGCGGACGGATGGTTCAAGACGGGTGATGTGGCCCGGAGGGATGCGCAGGGGGCGTACTTCATCCAGGGGCGGGCGTCGGTGGATCTGATCAAGTCCGGCGGCTACAAGATCTCCGCGCTGGAGGTGGAGCGCAAGATGCTGGGCTTGGAGGCGATTCAGGAGGTGGCGGTTGTAGGGTTGGCGGATGAGGAATGGGGACAGCGGGTGGCTGCTGTGGTCAAGCAACGACCTGGCGTGAGTTTTTTTTTTTTCCCCCTTTCCTTTCCTTGGTGGATGAAGTAAGTTTCGAAGCTAACAGAATTTATTCTTTTACCACAGACTGTGCCTCTCGAATTGAGCAGTCTGCGTGCGCAGCTGAAGCAGGAGATGGCCGCCTACAAGGTGCCGACGGTGCTGAAACTCGTCGACGCGATTGAGCGCAATGCCATGGGCAAGGTAAACAAGAAGACGATAGTGAAGAAGTACTGGCCGGAATTGGCTGCATAGCTTGCGAAGCTGGAATTAGTATATTATATGATACGTTAGAGCTCCTGGCAATCCAAGCGTGAATACTACTCGAATGAGATACATTGAGCTTCAACGCGCTTACAGATCAGGGAACGATTATTGATCTGAGGGAATTTGCGACAAGCCGAATGCTACCTCTATGCATGTTCATTAATCGACTTCATGGAAACTGGCAGGACTTTCTTCATCTACCTCTCCCACAGGCAGGCGAATACTTACAGTTCTTGTCCACCATTCTCTGTCACACAGTAAAATGCACATATCATCTAGAATTGAGTCTGGAGAGGATCTCAAGTCTGAAACACCCACCTAGGATCCTCATCTCCTAAAAATGCCTCATCCTCTCCGAACTCCCCCACAACAACCACCCCCCCTCCACCCTGACTCGCGCGCAACGAAGCCTTAATCCGGTTCTCCCTGCGCAGCACCCCCCACAACGCCGTCACCACCGCCAGATTCCCCACCAGATACCCCAACGCAAACCCATGCCCGAGAAAATACCTCGGTTTCGTCTCCGTGCGATACAGCTGAGTCCCCAGCACCGCGCCGAGATTCCCAATCGAGATCTGCAGCGCATTGGCGATGGCGCGCTTGGTCTGGCCGGAGACATTATTAGCCGGCCAGGCCAGCACGATGGCCACGGCGGGGTAGATGCCCGCGGCGGCGAGGATGGTGCCGACGTACGAGACGCCCGGGCGGGGGTCGCTCAGCAGCAGGATGTATCCCACGCCGGCGAGGGCGGTGCCGGCCAGGATGAAGGGGGCGCGACGGCGCGTGCGCTCGGAGAAGACGGCGGCCAGGAGCGTGAGGAGGAAGGCGACGGCGTAGGGCGGGACGGTCAGCAGCTGCGCCTGCGCGGCGGTGTAGCCCAGCGTCGCGATGATGGTGGGCATGAACAACGAGAGCGTGTACAGGGGTAGCGACAGCGTGTGGAAGGCCAGCCCGTACAGCCAGACTTTCGGGTCCCGGAATGCGTGGCCCACGGCCGGCCAGCTGAAGTGCTCGTGGCGCGTGGCGTCGCTGTCGTGCGAGAGGCGCGCTTGGATGTGCTTGCGCTCCGCGGCGGTTAGGAAGGTCGCGGTCGCGGGGTAGTTGTGCACGCAGAAGTAGGCGGCCAGGGACATGATGATGGTCAAAAGCCCTTCCTGTATGGTGTTTATGGGAGGTGTTGGTTATACGTTCTAGGAGGGGAGTGGAATGGGGAGAGAGGGCATCTCACCAGGATGAAGATCCAGCGCCAGCCGTTGTAGCCTCCTACGCCGCGCATGTGAGCGATTCCCTTTGCTTCCATGTCAGTATGTGCTATACTTCTAATTCTGAAGAAGCGCTCACCCAGGCGAGAATCCCTCCAAAGGCCCCCGCCAGCGAGGCGGCGCTGAAGAACAGAGCCACGCGGTAGTGCTGCTCGTTGCGTTTATACCACATGCTCAGGTAGAAGACCACGCCGGGGAAGAGTCCGCTTTCTGCAATTCCCAGTGCTAGAAGAGTACAGCGTGATTAGCATGGGGCACGGAGAAAGAGAGAGAGAGAGACAATCAGACATACCCAGTCGCGAAATCAAAAAACCAGCATAACTCTGAACCACCCCGCAGAGCGTGGCGACGATGCCCCAGACCAGCGTCAAGGTCGGCAGCCAGGCGCGCGGGGTGGTCTTCTTGAGGACGATGTTGCATGGGACTTCGAAGAGCACGTATCCGATGAAGTAGAGCGTGAGGCCGGTGAGGTATTGGTCTCCTGCTATACCACCCCCCTATCAGTTAGTAGAATATCGTCTTTGGGAGCGGACAAGAGGAGCTCGACTCACACATATCAAGATCGGTACCCATGCCTTCCAACCGAGCATTGCCGACTGTTGCAGAGTATCAAGGATTACTAGTTAGCCATGTTCGATGCATCATACTACATCATCATATTCCACTTCCACGCCCCGTGGCAAAGAACATAAATACCATTACTCCGATCGAGAAACGACAACAGATACAGGACAGTCAAAGGAGGCAACAGCCGATAGTCCAGCTTCCGTAGCAGCGCCTTCTCGTTGATGCCCGCATGTTCGGCGATGCTACTGTCGCTGCTGCGAGGCGCTGCTCTGGGTTGAGAAGTCGGATTTGGTCCAGGATGGACGTCCACGTTCTTCTCTGCATTGAGTGCTACCATGACGCAGATGCAGATTCTCTCTGCCAGAAACGTGGAGCACCCTGGTTTAGGTCGCAAAGGGAGCACTGCGCGTTTACACGTTGATATAATATGCTCGCTGTGCGGTACATGATGTATTTTCCTGCACCATCTGTGCCACAGTTGGCGTGATTGTGTAGTATCCACCCCGCTATTGGAGGCTTGGGGTCTTGAGAGTGTGTATGCTTAGCATGGGCATTACCAGGTGGCTGCAGAAGAGGAATGGACGGTTCAATGGGTTTGTAAATCCTGGGCGAGAGGCAGATGGAGATCCAAGCACAGAGTGCAGAGATGAGCAATTCGGGGTCCACTATGGCGTAAACTCGGCCGAGAGGGGCAGTTTTATATATTGGATCCAACTTGAAACTTTTGCTATGGGTGACATTCGCATGTTGACCTACTACTTAGTATTGTACACAGAGCTTTGCTTGGCTGTATGATGCGGATTCAATAATGATCACTACGCGTGTTTCTAGACGTTTCCTAAGGGTTGCACTGCATCCTTGGCAACGGTAGTCATGCTGGAGGCACGCGAGCAAATCATATAGACATACGTAAGTCAACGGCTACCGAGAGTATTCCTTGTTCTCTGTCTACAATGTCCTTATTTGGGGCTGTGGTACTGAAATCACAAGGCTGCATGGCTCCAGATGGACCATTAAGTCGTGGACTATTGTTCTCAGTCTTGCTGCCCAGGCAATCAGCCAGGGTTTATCTCCCATGCATGCGGGGTTCATGGGTGGGGCTTTTGTGGAGGATCTATGCCTCCACAGTGAGAGCTTGAGTCATGTTAGTTGCACATTTGAAAATTGTTCTCGCTACGATGGATGACCCACGGGCTGTTCAAGAGCTAGCTCTGATATTGTCATTCTGAGGTGACTATAGCAGACTGGGAAATGAGTGGTATCCATACCTTACCGTGTAAGGAACTCTCCGCCTGGAGAAGATAACCCCTGAACCAATCGGCTAAATTCCAGCTTATCTTCTGCCTGCGAAAGGGTCCGTGCCGCAGGTACCGTGCCGTGACTGCAACCTACAAATACCTCGTGTACCGTACCTTTCCTCTTCCTCTGCTTATCCCCCACACCTCCACTGATCTCCACCTCCTTGCCATGATGCGACCGACTCTATTGACCCTCTCACTGCTCCTGAGCACCGCTCAGTCTGCACTCGGCGTCGCCAACGCTCCCCCGAGCACCCAACAAATCCTCGAGTCCACCAACCAAGCCCCCTACAGCCACGATGACGCCATCTTCGTCCTCGACGAAGACAGCGTGCACGCCGCCCTCCACGCGCATCCCAACGACCCAGTGGCTGCCTTTCTATCGCTGAGCCCGGGTAGCGCCGATTTTCTCGCCCAACCCCGGTTGCTACACGTCCGCGGAGAATCCCGCCCGCAATGGATGACCGAAGGCGACAAGCTGCTGCTGCGTCAACAGGGGAAGAAGTTCATGGACATTACGGACCATGAAGATTACTATGCTGCGCAGATGCATGCTCTAGCCGGATCCGCGAGTGAGTCCTGCGTCTGTGATCACGAAAGGTAGTTTCTGAGCTCATGGCACCTGCTAGATCTGCCCGACTTGACGCACCAACGCTATGTGCGACCGCTCTTTGATCAGGTCGAAAAGGCGCACATGGAGTATGTTCTTCGCCACATGACCGGCTACTACAACCGGTACTACGGCGGAATTCATGGCGAGATGAGCTCTCAGTGGCTTTACCAGCACATTGCTAAGGTGCCTCCCTCCACCATCAGGGTTCCCTTAAACAAAGAATGCAACTAATTGAGCCGTGTTAGATCATCGACGAATCTCCCTTCCGCACCCATATCTCGCTCGAATACTTCACACACACCTTCCCCCAGTCGTCGATCATTGCGCGCTTCGAGCCCAAGGTCCGCAACTTTTCGCTCCCCCTGACGATCCTCGGCGCCCATCAAGATTCGGCCAACTACTTGTTCCCGCTTCTCCCGGCGCCTGGCGCCGACGACGACTGCTCGGGTACGGTCAGCATCCTCGAGGCGTTCCGCGTCCTCGCCACGAGCGGCTACACCCCCAAGAACGGACCGGTGGAGTTCCACTGGTACGCGGCTGAGGAGGGTGGACTTTTGGGGAGTCAGGCTATTGCGCGGTATAAGAAGGAGTCGGGGGCGCGAATTGGTGCTATGCTGGAGTTTGTACGTGACTTGTGTCTCTCGTTGTGTTTAAAAACTTCCGCCGTGGCTGATGTCCGTGTATAGGATATGACGGCATTCGTGGCCCGTAACTCGACCGAAGAGATCGGATTCATTGTGACGGAAGCGGATGCAGCGCTGACGAACTGGACCGTCAACCTCAGCCGGGAGTATATCTCCATCCCGACCGAGGCTTATGAGCTGGGAGCGTATGTCTTCCTCCCCCTTCCATTTGCATTTCGTGGTTACTGACGTGATCGATGTGCAAGTGGCGCTGGCTCGGACTACATGTCCTTCACGCAGCTCAACTACCCGTCGGCCTTTGCCTCGGAGGGTAATCCTTTGGCCGGGGGCAAGATGCCCGGTAACTCCGACCCTTATATTCACGGGGTGAACGACACGATGGACATTGATGATGAGACGGGGTATTTCTCGATTGATGTGAGCCGCCTCCTGCACCGCACCTACGAAAAGCAATAACTACTAACGCGATTCGCAGCACATGGCCCGTTTCACCGAGTTGGCCATTGCCTTTGCAGTCGAACAAGGTGGCTGGGATAATAAATGGCGGTGAATGGCAGTCTGACTCTCCGCATGTTCAACTAAACTGAAACGCAGTTTTACAGTATACGTCCAATCTATGTACATGTTTTGAGAGACTTCCAATGACCTCCTCCTCCTCCTTATGTCACCCCGTAAGACCCACGTAAGTTAAGCAGAATCACACTGCACAAACCCGTCATAGCTGCTGGCGCCCGTGTGGGTGATCAACCCCGCCAACTCGTCATTGTCATTGAAGATAACGCGGTCCGTGCCGGGCGATCCGCTCGTGAAGACCTTGTAGTCACTCAAGATCGGGTACTCGTAGTAGGTGCCGGCGACGGGGAAGTCGAATCCCTCGTCGTCGCGGTAGACGTGCGGGTAGTCGTCGACGGTCTTGCCCTCCTCGAGCAGCGACCAGCCCTTGGCCTGCGCGGCGCTGACATCGCTGGCCCAGTAGCAGGTGTTGCCGCAGTAGTAGGCGCAGCTCTCGCGGGCGGCGTTCTCCGTTGCGACGACGAGGCCGGTGGCGAGGAGAACGAGGACCTTACTTGGTGTTTAATTTGGAGGTCTAGGTTTAGATGAAGAAGGAGGGAGGGGGTACTGTACCTTGACGGAGAGCATTCTGAGTAAGTTGGCTTTCGGGGACGAGGTTGAAGACTAAGAAGGACAGAGGAAGAGATGAAAAGTGAACAAACAGCTCTGAGGAATGCGCTTCTTGATTCCTGATCCTAGCATCGGAGCACTCAACCCAGCTATTTATATCTTCAAGTGGCTACTAGCAGTCCAAATCCAAGAGACCTTGACTTGACTTACTTTTGCAAGTTGCAAGTAAGTATCGGACGTCCTCCGATCCACCTAGTAAGTATCAACAGACAAAAAGACCAAACCCC